TCTTCTGTTTTATCTGGCATTTTAAAAGTAGGTTCTACGCTATAGATATCTTGAGCTGTCAAATGAAAATAGGTGGTGCCGTATCATGATAAGCTGATGCTAGTGCCAGCCTAACAGAAATACTCGGCCGACTGCTACTGTCTCTTAACCACTGGTCTGCCGGAGTTGCTTCTTGGGTGACCGCGTCGATCGTGCTGCAGAAATTTGATAGCTTGAGCGATGCATGAGTCGCAATGTCTAGGATGGATACTCAGTCGTGTCTCCAGTTATGTCTCCAGTTACGTGCGGGTCTCCTTTGGTCTCTTTCGAAGGTGAAAGGCTCAGCCTTTCGGACGCCTAAGCCACTTCTTACCATCCTTACCACAAAGAGACACATCTCTAAGAAGGCTTACTGCTCATGAAGAACAGACCTTAACTTACTTTTGTCGTCTGCCTCCGCCTCAGCCGGCTGCTGACAATACCTCGTATTTGTTACGCTTTGATGAGACTTGTCTTCTCTCCTCCTGTGCTCCATCAGAGAGAATCAAGCAAATGCAAGATGTCATGTATAGCTTTTCAAGAATATTCAGGATTTCTGTTTACTGGTCGGTGGGAAAGTGAAACTCTGAAACAAGCGCCATGACCATTACAAGATACGGCCAGTCTCTCCGCCATACTCCGTATATGATTGAACGTGAAACGAGTCAGACTTCACCCGCAAATTAACAATCGCGCGGGATGTGGGCCATTTCCAACGACATGACAAGTCTGGGCCTAGTTAATGGTCAGCTACGCCTGCTTACGGACTCGAAGCTGGATCGCCTCTCTGCGCCTGCCTGCTTGGCCGCCCCACTACCAGTTCGTATCAGCCGACCTAAGGGGCTCCGGTCCGTTGCCTGTTCCCTGGTTTGATGGCTTGCGCTCTGTCCTTCCCGCTGTTGGTTACGGCAACTGATGGAGAATACGTTTATACGTACTAACGACGTTGGTGGCAGTGGGGTTGGTGTCCGCCCAAAGAAACTGAACATTCGTGAGGGGAACCTGGTCTTTGTCACAGTGGTTCGCCAGAAGCTTCTCCAACCGATCTGCAGGAGCCAATTTCACTAACCAGGTTCGAGAGAATGAGGGAACTCACTGGCCCACCTCCAGAGGCCAAAGGCTGGTTCGTTTGATTATTTCAAGCATCAATAATTGTTGCTCATCAAACTGTTGTGTTGTGGCAAATGTCCGCAGCGGTGATGCAACATCTTCTTTTCCAGTAAGTTCCTTAGGCTTTCTAGTAATATCTGGTCCCAGCCCATATCCAAGTAAACACTTAAGAAAGGTCATTTACTACGTATATAAACCATCCGTCTTCAATTTACCAACTCAGCAGTGAGTGGGCATCGCATCATGACCACAACTGATTGATCTCCAGTGACGAATGCAACCATCAGCCCATACTGGGTGAACGCAGTCGAAAAAACACTTCTGTCAAGGTCATTGGCAGGCCTCAAACGACGTCTTGCTAAAGAGAATGCTGGTCTCTAATCTTGGCCGGATTGCCAAACAGAGGCAAGGCTCATGCACAAGAGGACGTGTCATTCCAGCTAACCCCGGGTTGCCATACCATCTAATGCAGAGCTCTATCACACGAACTTTCTAGAACTAGCGCCAGTTATTCGCCAATGGATCCCTTACCTTAAGTGGCCTCTGCAGAAATCGCCAGCCAGAAAAACTCTCCTCCACGCAGCCAGTGATAGCCGATGCTGTCAAAAAGCCGTTATATGCCAATCGTGTGACAGTGCGTAACGTTGCACGGAGCGGAGTCTTGGTATACTCCCGTTGGAGGGAGTGACCTCAGCTGGCTTGTGTCCGGCGAGGTGGAGGTTGAAGCATGCTTGAGGAGTGAACCTTCTTTTCGTATCCTACTCGCACAAGCATGCCTGCTGTGGTAGTCCTCCTAACCACCGTCATTACGTTTGATAGCTGCGAATTGCCAAGCGAGACAAGAAGTATGGTAGCGACTGCAACCACTATGGCTTCTCAGGACAATCGGCTAACGACGATAGTACTTCCTTATAGGTTGTATCATTACTCCGAACCCTTTTCATTGCATCAGCATGCGCCCAGTGGTTCTGAGACCTCCGAACAAAGCCTACGAGTCCTCCCCGCATATCGCGAAGATTGCGGATATAACACAAGACCTCAGTCCAGGGGCTCCGCCACCTTGTGAGGTTAGCTCTACTTTCCAGGTGTGGGCCAAGTCGAGGAAGAGGGTAGGAGATGATGCTACGGTAAGTTTCGCATTAGCTTGCAATATTGTTGACCTTGCCGAAAAATTCTATCTGTAGCTGAAAGTGTGTCTTAAGACCAAATTACGTGGTGCGCCTGATGCGTATGACAGGGGAGTGGCATTCATGCCGATCGAAAAATTGCAAGGAAATGACTCTTTTCATGTCCAAGTGGCATCGTCGCTCGCAGTGGCTATACCAGCGTTATCTCGCTGACGTCGGTCCAACTCGCCAAAAGGCCTGCAGTGATGGTCAGTCGTCCTTATCAAGCTCAACCTGAGAAATGTCAATGTTGTTGCGTAGGTGCGTAGGTGCGCCGGCACTCTCTTCAAGGCTGGCCACGTCGCTTGATACACTTCGCCCCTTCGACGCCCTTAGGCGACTGGAACGTTCTCGACTCCGGCCCTTTACCCATGCTGCATGGCGATAGTGATGGACGACCATCATAAACCCCCGCTGTGGATCGTTCAGGTAATCAAGCACTTCGCAGGTTTGCAACATGATAAATCCCTCAACCGAAAGCAAATCTTGCCGCAGGGATCATCAAGCACGAGCTTCACGTCAAAGGTGACACCTTTTGGCAACCGTACGTTGAATCGGCCAGTCTGGAGTGCTTGGTCACCTTGTCTATTCTTACGTTGCGTTCAACGAAGACGACATGCGCCAGCTCCCCTGAATTTGACGAAGTGATAGTTCCGTCGACCCCACCTACCATAACAAAGATGCCTAGGTGGCGCTACGGGGTTGGAAAGTCGTCTATCTGGCTGACGACGTAGGAAACGGGGAAGCCGGGAAGCGCTGAAGATGCACATCCATCAATATAGCTCTTTATCTCGAAAATCTTGATTCAAAGCGGTATTAGGTATCTTCGGCGTTCCTGTCTCGCTACAATAGACCTCGTCCTGTCTACCTTCCTATTCTCTTATCTAAATGTGCTCTCCTATCCGTGCTCATCTCAGCCTCCCCGTCCCGCCTCATCACGCGCTCTGAATTCTGTTGCCCTCCCCTCTTCCATTCAATTCCGTGCAGTCTGCTCTTACTGTTTCGCCCAACCGGTTTGGTCTCTTTCCTTGTTGGAGGGACCGTTGATTGACCAGATCATCCAAAGGACTTTCGACAAAGTATCAATGCCAATGACTTTGGAACATGACCATACGCTCAAGTCAGGCAAGTCAGCCATTTCGAGACCCGTTCGGCCGCTCAGACTCACCCATCAAAACTCCCAAATCATGAATTCAAGTCAACCCATCAAGCGTCTCAGGCAGAATGCAGCCGTCAAGTAAAACCCCGGAAGACAATGGAGTATCAGTCGCAACAACATAGTGTTTGCCGTATTCGATCCTAGCAAGCACTTCAGAGCATACCAATCAAGCCTCCTATGATGGTTTTTACACGATGAGTCTTATGCTCCATCTTCCAATCTCTCTCAACAAGCTGAACATCGAGCCCTACCTCCCCAACTAGCAGAGCTTAGGCACCAGCCTATGGTGGATAATGCTGTATATTCTTACGAAGTGGACATACCCTATGCGCAACGTGCGTTTCTTGAAGGAAAGAAAATCCCCCTGCCTCTGGCTCCACCTCAATCTTTTCACGTCTTTTCACATCCTTCAGCCGTCACATTCTTGGCAACCTCTCTTCCGTTCTACTCTTTGGACATTTTAATAATACTTATGGTCACTACATCCCAACGATCTGTAAGTAACTATACCCCGAACCGAACTCTCTAACCTCTACTCGCCTTATTTCGCCTACGTCGTATTGCACGCCAGCCATACAGCTCGCATTGCAGAGCACCACCATCCGACAGAGCAGTATCTCACATTCGGAGCAGTAAAACCAACCCCACAAGGAGCTGGGCAGGAGGAGGTATCAACTCAACAGACCATCCAACCCAGGATAGGACCCCATTTCCCAAATAGCCCAAGCCAAACAAGAACAAGAACAAGAACCAAGCCCACCACCCTGCCTAACCGCTACTTCTCCCCTCCCCCCTTCTCCTTCTTCTTTCCCTCCCTCGATTCAAAAATCACCAATCACCAATGAAAAAGCCGCCGATCCAGAAGCAAATCAGATAACCCCCAAGGCAACATAGATAATAGATACAGTAACTAGTACCCATCAACCCAACACCCCAATCCCATCCCCATCCCCCACACTCGTATTTAACCCCTACCTCCTCCGCCGCCAAAAATACATATCCACATCCAACCCATGCCATAAAAATTCCTCCCTTCGTCGTAAAAACCGGGGCGCAGCGCGGCATAGTAGAGAGCACGCAACGATAGATAGAGAGGGTGGGTCATTCATGTGTGGGGTCGCGTAGGCGTAGGCGGGGGGCACGGGCACAGATGGAGAGCGAGCGAGCGGTTTCGAAAATGGCATGTTGGTAGATTGGTTGGTTTGGTAGGTAGGTAGACGGGAGCATGGTTCGGTTGGTCGTCCAAGGAGGTTGGATTTTCTAATGGTCAATCTAAACAGGATAACTGATGTGGAAAAGGGACGGCGCGCCCATACATCCATCCCTTCCTGCTTCGTTCAGTACATATCCATCTGAGCAGCAGGCTATCTATCACCATGATCCATTCACCCCGGTGCAGGCACCCAGATCAGCTCGCCATCCCGTCTTCTCCGTCCCCTGACCGATTCCTATCGGCTTGTCGAATGAACGCACCTCTACTTGAGACTCTCCATACCATGAACCCGACGTCCGTAACCGGATGCAGCGATCAGTGCTCGAAACATCAATTAGATCGAACACAAGGCCAATGCTCTCCCCTCCACCACCTTCCCACCACCCAGATCGCCCACTATCTTCGCTCCAGAATTGTCCGCGCACGAGAAACTGCCTCCCGCCATCTTGCGTTGGCTGTTCGCGCGGATCGACATGCTCGATGCGTAGAGACCGATGACGCACTATCGTAAAGCACACAGAACAGGAAGTGGTTAGCCCAAATTGGCCATTGATCGTTAACATGACCGTCCATGCATGCATGCCCGTATATCGAAGATAACAAGGCGAGGGGACGAGGAGGAGAAGAAGGAGGAGGGGGAGGGGGAGGGCGGAATTGGAGATGAAGAAGGAGAGTTGATTGGAATGAGAAGCGACTGGGGAAACTCACGATCAACAGGCCAATCAGGAAACACAAAGCCGCAACCACACTCCCAAGCGCCATCCTCCAATGCTTCCAGCACCACCACCGACCACGATTCAGACTGAACCAAAACAACCCACTCAACCCAAAGGTGAACCAACTCGCAAACAATGCGCTCGTCAAACCAAGCAGATCATTAAAGACCGGTACCCCCTCGGCAATCACCCAGGCGACAACCCAGAGGACGGCATTGATAGCCACCCAGATGCCCCTCGCCTTAAATGTGGTCTGGTACATGATGTTACCGCCCTTAGCACCGTCCTGGCCACTATTGCGAAAGAGGCGCACATACAGATATTTGACCGCGACATGTCCGTTGACCACGCCCGCCACAACGATCGTCGGGATAGCCACTCCGTAGGCCACTTTTCTGACCAAGGGCCCTGCCGAGTCAAGCGCGGGGGATTTGACCTGATCACCGGCAAAATGGTAAATCACCACCGCGGTGATGACGTACATGGCGACATCACAGCCCTGAAGCAGACAGAGAGCTTTGGGGAAGTCCTCTGGTTTGCGCAACTCACTAATAAAGGTGAAGAAGGCGACATGCCCGGCATAAGCGAAGATAATGTTCGCCACGGCGAGGAAGGCCTGGTGGAACGCGACATCCGCGTTGGGCCAGAGATCTACCTTGCCTATTCGGGGACGGGAGATGGAGATGCTGGCCATGGTGATGGTGACGGCGGCGATGATGGAGATGAACGAGGTGATGGACCACCAGCTGAGGTTCTTGAGCGTGCGAGGGATGGTGAGGAGGAAGCTGAGGGCCATCCCCACGAGCATGAAGACGATGGTACAGGCGGCGTGGCTGGTGATGGCGTTCATCATGATGCTGAACGTCAAAATGTGAGAGCCCATGATGAAGACAAAGAAGAGGAGCTGGCCAACGCCGATGATCTCGCCGCCGATGCGGCCGAAGAGGACCATGCCGGCGTCGGCCATGGAGTGGATGTGTGGGTGGCGGAGTTTGAACTGCCCAATCACGAGGCCCGTGTAGGTGGACAGAGCGCCGAGGGAGAGAAGAAGGATCAGGCCTGGGATCAGGCCGAGGGTGGCGAGGGCGGAGGGCAGGGAGAGGATGCCTAGGGAGACGGTTTCGGCGATCATGACCATGCTTGCTTGCCTGGAAAGCGTGTAAGCCTGGTGAGAAGCTGGTTGGACAGAAGATACAGGTGTAGAGGTGAGTATACCACCATGCCATAGTCCGGTATTGAACGCCACCTTCAGATTCTTGAGCGAAAGGATCTTGCTTGTCGTGGTTGGCAATCTCCGCCACTTGTGGTCCCGATTCATCGGAGGATAGGGTGGCGGCATCACCCTTCTCGATATCTTTACTCGCCTGCCTTTGATGGTGTAAGTCGTCAGTGGATAACAGGTTGAGGGTGAGGCTGGAGATTTGACTCGGATCCTGAGTACCACCGAGAACAGAGGATGAAGCAGCGAAGGAGATGTCGGGGACTGCGAAATCCTTCTGTTCGGTAGAGTCTTCGCTGCTGTCGTGCATGGTGGTACTGTCGAGCTCTTGCGAGTACGCGCTCTCGATGACCGAGAGTTGACGAGCATTGCCAGCAGCCTTGATGAAGGACATTCTGACGACCTTCCGATGCTTTCTTGCGGGATTACGCCCCTCGAGGAGCTTAAATGCAAAATAAACCGGCCGAAGAGGCCTCTGCCCAGTCCTAGTCTAGCACAAGGATGGATAATCGACTATGTAGTAGATGAAATAGTAGTATGCTTCGAGCATCCCTTGGTGAGACCACAGACCACAGACCACAGGCAACAGTGATGCTGCAGAAGGATGGAGAAAATGCAATAGATGAAGGATAGAAACTGAAGTAGACTTGAGAAGTACTGTCATCTGCTGAAGGATGACAGCTGAAGTGGGCGGCGTAAAGTCAAGCCAGGCTGCTGGTAACAAGCGTCGGATTGGAACGAGATGATTTGCCCACGCTGGCTCGAGGGAAAGCTCCACCCATCACGCCGTTCTTGCTCTAGAAACCCACTTGGTCGTTATCGAGATAAAGGCCAGGGGAACTGCCGTGTTTGCTATCCCTGTCAGCCATGGTATGAGTAGCAAAGCTACAATTTGGCCAAATCGTGATTGGCCATCACAGGTATCCACTACAAGAGCACCCTCGCTATTCCATAAAGCTTTCCCCTCGAGGTATGAAAGAGCACCTTGGGTTGGGAACTGATATATGGCATGATCTCGCTGACTTCTTGAATGAAGATGGCATAGTGCTTTGATGTGCTGGACGAAAGGCAATACCAACAGAACTCTTGTGCACAAAAGATATAAATCAATGCCTGACACTCTAAATACCTTCGCTACTTGTTCGCGGGTGAATCATAGCTAATTCCAGGATTCTGCCCAGGTTTCAGCTTCGAGTCGCTCTCGAGAGTGTCTGCCGGTCCATCTACATGCTGTCAGCAACACCATCAGAGGGAGGTATGCCCCACGCTTACCATGTCTAGAATACAGCTTCCTCTCGTACTCCGTAGGAAACCCAGCCTTTCCACTTTCCACGTCTTTCCGCGTCATGCTCAGCTTGCTTTTAGGCAAGCCCATCGAAGCAAGAAAAGTCATGGTATCTTTCCATTCCACCTCTTTTCGTTTCTTGTCCCATTTTAGCTCTTCAGCCATCAAATCGATGACCTTGGGCAGAGCTTCCAACGCAGCTTGCGCATTCAAGAAGGAGAGTCTCGTTCGTCGCGCCAGAACGTCGACGGCTGTCTGGGCATACTCATGGCGTATAGCGTACCGGACCTCGCCGTCAATGAAAGGATACAGGGCAGATATGCGCCTGCCCCGGACGGGGAACCGTTCTTCAGTGGGAGAAGAAAGTGCTGCGACTGTCCAGGCCCGGTCACCATAAGATTGACATAGATGCTTGGCGACTTCGGTCTCGAGGCCGAAATGTTGGATCAGGTTGATAAACAGAGTCTTGGAATAGCCGTGTGCGCCAATGAGCCGGACCTGATGAGTTTGACAGGTTCCATCGAGAGGTGCTGCATCATCGATCATCTCGCTTCCGCTTACCCGGGGAGCACTCAGGAGAGGAGACGTCTGCAGGTCAAAATGTTTGATGGCTTCATCGACCGCGTCTTCGGCCATTTGGCGGTAGGTTGTCCATTTGCCACCCGCACAAGTAAGCAGCCCGGAGTCGGAGACAGTAACAAGATGGTTGCGAACGAGCGACTCTGTATTCTTGGCTTTGGGGTCCTTGACAAGAGGCCGTATGCCCGACCATGCTGCAAGGACATCTCCTCTCCGCACATTGATATCGGGCGCCAAATAGGATTTGATTTCGTTCAAGATCCATCCAATCTCATCTTCACCTGCAATAGGCTGCTCGCTGATTTCAGTAGGAGCGTCGGTCGTTCCGGCAATGGTGTTCCCTTGCCAGGGCAGAAAGAAGATGACCCTTCCATCCGAGGTAGACGGATCTATGAGGCCCATGTTTGCCGGGCTGTAATATCCAGGTAGGACGACATGCACGCCAGAGCTTGGGGCAACGATCTCCTGTTCACCGGGTTCGTCCAGTTTGCGGATCGAGTCGCAGAACGGCCCTGTGGCATTGATAACACCTTTTGCTCGAATCACAAACTGCTCGTCGGGTTGGCCATTCTTGCTCTTGATGACATCTTTGACTACCGCCCCGTTGAGTTTTCCCGAAGCATCTTTCGTGAGGCCCGTGACCTCCATGTGATTGACGACCGTGGCACCATAAAGTGCAGCGGTCGTTGCTATGGAGATGTTCATCCGGGAATCGTTATGCGCTCCATCGTAGTATACCAAAGCGCCAAAAAGATTGTCCTTCCTCAGCATGGGAAATGCATCCAACGCTTTGCTTTTGGGCAGAAAATATGAGCTCTCTATCCCTTCCGATCCAGCCAGGAAGTCGTAGAACTTGGTACCGCCCCAAAAGTATGGTGTCTGCCACCAGTGTTGCACTGGAAGCATGATGGGCAGCCACATTGACAGATGAGGTGCCGTGTGCAGAAAGTATTTCCGCTCCCGCAGAGCCTCCTTGACCAGCTCATATTGGTTCCAGTCCAGCTCCCATACTGCTTTTTCTAGGTACCGCACGCCACCATGGACAAGTTTGGTGCTCTTACTGCTGGTTCCGGCAGCAAAGTCGTCTCTTTCGACCAATGCAACTTTCAAGCCTCGAGTGGCTGCATCAAGTGCGATCCCACTACCTGTCGCCCCTCCTCCAACGATGAGAACGTCGTATGGTTCCAAGTTCTTGGGATCTTCTTCCACCGCGCCTGATTGTGATTGTCCTCGTAAATTGTCGTAGCTTTCCTTCACCTTCCGTGTCAGCGAGCCGCCTCCGGTAGAACCAGCACTCCGTTTCAAGTCCGCGATCTGCTCCTCTCTCGTTTTGATTCGGGGGAATCTTGGGGGTATGAAGGTGCCGTCTTCAGCCGTAGGCGTTGGGACGACGGCGCCCGCGGAACCAGGTATATTGCGAGGTCTGTAGGAGATGTATAGAATGACGCCACCAGCGGTACCTGCAGCCGCAGCGTACAACAATGGCTTGACCAGTCGCCTGGAGTAACGACTGGCCATGACGCTGGAGGGATTGTGCTGATCCTACCAAGGAGTGACTGAGAGCGAGCCCAAATTAGCGGGAGAGCAGCATCTTGCTGGTGTAGCGGGAGGAGGTGCTGGAGACAGCAGGAACTGCACGCTGCGCTGTTTATCCTATTCGACCATCGTAGACGCAGGATTTCCGAAGAAGAGCTTATACAGGTATTGTCAGTGAAGCGTGAATACGAATACTTAATCCCCAGGAATTGGCCATGATCCAAGTTACCGTGATGTCTACAAAGCCGTTCCGAGTTCTTGGTACTGGCGCCCCTTCACCAGCCCAGCTGCCTTTGTACGTCGGGGCAGGTTTGGGCAGGTTTGGGCAGGTTGGGCAGAGAAAAGGGGAGGGGCTACGCATGTGAAAGCCTTCCCCGTTCAAGCAATTTTCAGGCGGTCTACCGTACGTCCGCCACCCCTGTAATCTGGCTATTCTTAGGACGACTTGAAAAGGGTGCAGTAGCTCCGGATGAGCCTGCACGTTTGAGAAGAAAGTACACCATCTGCTTGTTCGCATTGCATTCCGGCACACCTTTTATCCGCGTCCTGGCATGGAACGAGGAGAACACCTACGCTAGAGCCGACAGCCATGGGAGGTATATGTAGATAGAGCGGTAAGAGTTTGCCAATTCCTGTATGGCTCTCTTCCTCTTCTACGTAGCGAATGCCAACGCTTGAACACTAGTAGTGAGGGAAGAGTATAGACAGTGGAACAGCATATTTCGTGCTGATAACCTCTTCAGAGAGCCTCGTCATATTCACGTGAACCTTGGGCGGGATTGATCCCAGGGAGCGTTGCTGTTCGGTCTCGCTTGCGGATATGGCGCAACATGAGGATTATGGCTACCCTGTGCTGGAGGGCCAAATTTGATCCCCATTTCAGGTGTCCACATGCCAGCAGTAGGGCCGGGAGGGACAATAGACGCGCGAGTTGGTTGAGGCGCTGTAAGTGGTTCTTGTTCTAAAGATTGAGGAGGTGGAGGTCTTGATGCTTCGTGATGCTTTTGTCGCTGTAATGTGGCGCTCGTGTCGTGAATCCTCATTGCTGACATGGCTGAAGTCGAGATTTCCCTGGCTTAGATTAGTCTTATATCAGGTTGTGGGAGAGAGGGGTGGCTGTACGACTCGAGATGGCTGGCCTCCATACGCCGTTGATTGACAAAGGCTTTGCAGGAGTCCCTGAAGCGTGCGACTATGTTTGCCAGGTCGTTATAAAACTTTCGACCAACGTCCAGATTCGAAATGATCTCCTTGTACTTAAGATATCCGTTCTCCAGCTCCTGTAGGGCTTGTTCTCGTTCTTTTGTCGACGAATCCCCTTTTCTTGCATTTACAAAGGCAGCATTGGCATCTTGCAATCTGCTGACAATTCCGTCTTGGTCTTCTTGCTCCTTCATGAGCATCTCCCGATCAACCTCATAGTCTTGTAGCCGCTCTTCAAACAGATCTTCGAACTGTGCAGGCTCTATTTTCTGCATAGGAAACTCGCGCTCCAGGCGACCCGTCTCCTTTAGCAGAGCAGGATCTTCTATCATTAGCCCCTTACCAATACTATTTGGCTGGCACACGTACTGATGTCATCCGACCTAGCCTTTTCTCTTAATGCCTCTATCTTCCGCTTTCGTCGTGATTCTAGTCGAGTTACCTCGTTTAAACACGTGCGTAATCGGCTAACCTCACGCTCTATTTGTGGCGTCATGGTCGCTCGTCTAGAGCTCGGCACATAGGATTCAAGCTCTCGACTTGTCCCTGTCAACACCTTCAGGACTCTTTCTGACTCTCGCATCTTTTTCAGGACCAGATCATCACTGCTTGCCGCAGATTTGAGGTAGCCCTCGATTTCAGTGGACTGGGCCCACAACTTTTGACCTGCCAGATCAGAAGGCTGTCGGGACCAACTGTCCGTGCCGTACTTGGCTCTGGCTTTGTCGTCTTCTGCTTTCTCGGCCTTCAGTAGCTCCACACCCTCGGCGTATATCGCCTGATCGTTCGCTTTGAGCTTCGAAGTATCCTCCATCGATCTTTTCAGCCGGTACTCGCCATCCTGCTGTCTAAGCTCTTCGGCCTTGGACACCAAACTTGGTGGTAGCCCAAGTGGTTTTTCCAGCGCCTGCAGGGAGCCCGGAAGGTTTAAAGAAGATAACAGCTCACGTAGCCTGGCAGTCATAGCGTCCAGCTCGGCAACAATACCTTGATTGACCAGCCGATCTCGTCGCTCAACATATATGCTTGCAGCAACATGTACTGCATATGGCACTAATTTGGCAAACAAAGGCCGCCCGAAAGGAAGCCCTTCACCCAGCATGGATATACCGTCTTGGACTTCCTTTGGCGTTTTTGCAGCCACCATGTTTGCCCGGTCCAGCATCTTCAATTCTGATTTTGGTGGGACGGGCTGCAGGTAGATAATATCGTTGTCCTTTTCTGCTCTTTTCAAATCTTCCATGACTTTGCTCTTCAGTCCATTCATGTCTCCAAGGACGGTTCGATTGACCCATTTTGATTCTTTCAGAGCCTCATTAACGCAGGCAAGACTGTCCCGGAGCCTGGCCACCTCTTCACCATACTTTCGCTTCTCGAGACAATCGAGAGACTGTCGGTACTGCGCAGCTGCGGCAAAATGATGGTGCTTGGCGTCAAAATGGTGAATCCATTCTGTGCTGATAGCATCCGATTTGATAGCCCAGTCTGCAGCGGCGGAATAAAAGTCTGATACCTTTGCAGCAAGCCTAGCTATCGTCGCATCCTTCATCTTGTCTTTCACCGCCCTCTGCCAAAAGCACTCTTGCGCCTGCGCTAGACAGAGCTGTTCCAGGCACTCTAGCGTCATCTCATCCATATCTTCTGGTGGTGTCGATCGCATGTCAGGAATCACCTCGGTTTTAAGAAAGGCAAGTACTCCAGCAGCAGCACTCGAGTACTGGCTTGCAGTCTTCAGTCCATCACTTGAGTTTCTGTTCGTCGAGAAGGCGAGCTGGGAATATAGAGCAGCCAGATTGTACAGTATGTTCGCCAGTTCGAATCGTATATTATTCTGTAGTACTGGCGTAGCAGTATTGAACCCCAGAGCAGGGTACCATGGGAAGTCAATCCCGATGTCGATTGGGAACTTCCCGCCAATCCATCGTAACTGCGCTGCATACGCAGTTAACCGCCTGATGCCGCTGATATGTGGCTCTTGCACAGAGATAGCCTCTTCTCGCATGCCATCAATGAGCTGAAGATCCTCCTTGAACATCTCTGGATGCTGCTCATATTTGGTAGATATGTACTGCCGGATGGCTCCTGAGAGGGAGACATGATGTGTACGCCGGAAGGGGAGCTGTAAGATGTTCCTGTTGAAGATCAGAAGACTCTCCTAGTATAGACTCAGCGGACGTACGCTGCCATGGTAATTGTGTCCGCCAACCGCACATCTATCGAGGTGAGAAAAATGATGTCACGGTCTGTTACCGAGTCGGGGTGTTGGAGAGGTTGCTGACATGTTTTCTGCTCAGGGAATTACTTATTTATCACAAGCCCGAATTGCCCTCCTGCACCAGCATTCCCATAGCCCTATATGTGTTATGATTAAATAGAGAGCCACAGACTCATCAGCGTATGCGGATGGCTGTGTACACATCCTCAAGAAGCTCAACGCCGCTCGACATTACTTGATTGGTTCCCCGCATGTGCATTTGACTGGCTACGCTGGGTAAGTTGTATGCATTGCAGCGCGAGAGCACTCGGCTTCATTCAGCTTCATTCAGCTTCCAATAACTAGCCGTCAATCCTTTCTGGGTTCAACGTCCAATGCAATTATATCGCCTGTGAGCAGCTTGTCGTCATGAGTCCTTTAGCAACCTCAGACCTCGGCCCTCAGCCATTTGCTCCCAGTCTCACTCCTGTCGCTAAAAACGGGCAGCATGTCCACGGCAAGGAGGACATCGACCCTCTCAAAGCTATGTCCCACGGCGACGTGACTCTGCCAGGTACAAGCTACTACCACATACGCACGACGTAACTCACCCGGAAACCCCATTAGGTATACCTACGTTCCCCTCCGCCGCCGCCAAGCGCCAATGGCAACTCGAGCACATGGCCGCAGCCTTCCGGCATTGGTCGCGCGAGGGTTACGTGGAAGGAATATCAGGCCACATCTCTGTGCGGGACCCGGAGCACCACGAGGCCTTTTGGACCAATCCACTCGGGGTTCACTTCGGACTTCTGAAGGCGAGCGACATGATCCTCGTCAACCTGGATGGTAGGGTTATTGGTGGGAACCGGAGTCGCTGTCCCAATGCAGCAGGATTTTTGATACATGCGGCTGTGCACAAAGCCAGGCCAGATGTGCATGCGGTGTGTCATGCGCATACCGTTCACGGGAAGGCGTGGTCGTGTTTCGCAAGGCCGCTCGAAATGCTTACTCAGGACACCTGTAAGTTTTACAATGCGCACAGTGTGTATGATTCATATGGCGGAGTCGTTCTGGCAGCTGAAGAAGGAGAACGCATCGCCAATGCTCTGGGCTCGGGAAAAGGCTGCATCCTCATGAACCACGGCTTGCTCACAGCGGGAGGCACCGTCGATGAAGCGGCTTTTCTGTTCGAAAGTATGGAGAGGTCGTGTCAGGTACAACTGCTGGCCGAAGCTGCTGCTGCGAATGGAATGAAGAAGGTGATTATTAGTGACGAGGAAGCTGCGTACAACTTCAAACTGGAGAGTGATGCGACGGTTCTTTATGCGGAGTTTCAGGCTTACTATGATTATGAGGATTCCATGTTGGATGGTGCTTTCAAGAAATGAGACGAGACATTTCTTGTTTTTTTCCTGCTTTCACGAATAAGAAATGGCTTCCTCCGGGAATAGTGTGCTGGCTAATGAGAGTCTTGTACGTTCCGGCTTTCTTCTTTGTTCTACCTCCCTTATGCATCGTGTTGTCATTCATGTGGAAGTGAGACCATTTGCAGCGCATGGCTTCTACGATATTCTTCCATCCAAGTAACTTCCGCTCAAGAGGCGAGCAAGAGGTAGAAGCTTCGATGAGAGAAGTTCTTCAAAGATGCTAGTACATCATGTGACCAGCATCTGGTCTCTTGCACTACTCACCTAAAAAACAATCAGAAGTGGCAATACCATTTTGCCAAAGGTCAAATCGGACATCTTGCTCCAACCACGCCGCGCGCACTCCGCCAGCGTTTATGTGTTAGAAGATCTTCTACCTCTGTGCCTGTGGTCACTATGCCCACAGGAGCACTCGAGCCCTGTATTCAGAAGCATACAACGACGGTCTCCCAACACCGTTTACTGCAGCATTTGATACTGCCACAAAGTCGAAGTCGAGTGCTGATGTCCAAGATGAGCATGACATAGTCAGCCCGGTTAGTACAATGTGGGACGTGAGCGCCTGCAGAGTTCTGCAGTGTATGTTCAGAAAAAGAGATCCTTACTGGAAGAGGAGGTGGTGCGAGGAATCCAGAGCCAGAGGGGTCATGGCTGGAGAAAGACTGATAAGAGAGTTCGGGTTCGTGGAGAAAGGGGGATCGGTCCGACACGTCACCCTCACTGCAGCTTTGGCCCCAAGCGAAGAAGGGAGGCATATCATCGGTTCAAGGTCAAGGGGCTCCAGAGAAGTGAAGGGAGCGCGTGATCCAGGCGAAGCAAATAACTGGTGGATCTGAACGATCGGGAGACACATACTATGGGCTGGGTGCCGGGATGCCATTGACAGTTTGCTTCTATGCTTCCAGACGAAATGGATTACCTTAGGATTTGTACTATCGACGGCAACCACCTGAGGCTTGCATGAAGAGAAACCTTCGCCGGCTGGCTATGTTAGCTGCTTGCGTGCCTAACAAGACGCCGGGGCTCAGCAACAAATGGGGTGAGACAGACGGTCGGATGCTTGCAGTCTTTGTTTTGCGGACAAGCTCGAACATCAAACCGAAGATCGATTGGGCCCGACATAAGGGCGATCGCTAGTGTCGCTTCCGTGCTGTGCCGCCTATGATGTTCTCGAGAGCCACTGACACGGCAAATGATATGCAAGGTGACGAACATAGCACTACTTGAAGCCACGTTTTGGATTCTGGGATAATTCTCCGAAAGTCAAACACGATTTGAACAACATCGGGTTCTGGCGCGTGCAACCAGTGACCGGGTCGCGAACAAGGAAGACTGTAACACTCGTCAGCGGGCCGTCTTAAAGACATGTTGTGCGGGCGAGCTGCAACAGCAAGGTTTCGACAGGATAATAAATTGTCCGAAGCCTTATCGATTTGATCGTGGCACATCTTCAAAGGTCTACCTCAGACCGACTTCTGGATAACTAGTGGGAATTTCTTGTAATTAGTGTGGCACAAACACTTGTTTCCGAATGAAGGGCCCCAGCTACTCGAGTCTGCATAATTCTCACATGAAATCATCCAAGAAATCCGCATCTCGATCTTGGTTACTGCTTGCGGCAATTTCGTCTGCGTTCATAAGTTCGTCGTAGGCGTGGTCCTTTTGCCATCGTTTCTCCTCCCGCTCCTTCTTTTCCTGCCTTTCCTGGGCTTTCTTCTCTTCTCGAGCCAGCCGCTCAGCTTTTCGCTTCCGCTTGAGATCGTCTTCCTTCTCGCTCCGAAGGTCTGGAAACCTTTCCAACCTCGTCTTATTCAGACGATTGATGATTGCATTTTGTCGTACCGAAACGAGAATCTTCTTGGTCATCTTCGGGTCGTAGAATGAGACTTGGCCAGTTGCCATGGAAGCATTCTTCATAAGGTTTGACCATGGGGTGTAGACCACGGTGACGTTGTCTTTCTTGTTTCCTACAGGCCTTGAGCCAAGTGCCAGGTGTAGCCTGACGTGGAGGGACATTACCTTCAATAGAGTTTGCCTTGGTCAATTGAGCACAGTCTTCGAGAAGAGCTTCTGGTATGGACGACCAGGCCTCTCCTGGCTTCATGCGGAGGTAAACATGAGCACTAGAGAGGTTGTCTGCGTGAAACTACAAGGCTCAATACTTCCTACCAGAACCTTCTGGTCGAGCGACATACCCTGTAGCCAACGTTCAGACATTATCCGCTGTTTCACTAGGATGTCGATTCTCACCAGACATCTTCTTCCCATCCAAACTTTATTAGATCCTCATCTAAACTCTTCAGTCCCAGCCTTTCCTCTCCAGGGTACAGGATTCAAGGCATACTCTCGACCTTGTCTTTGCCAACATAAATAAAGGCGGGCGGGTTGACCGCTGTTGATTCGAAGTAGTAAACCATGGTGGGTATTGAGAGGGTGCAGATCTAGCACATAGATTTTGTCCAGGACTGGTCCTTGAGCGACGAAGGTTGGACAGCGTGCTCCCAATTATGCAAGGAAGTGTGAGACGCTATTCTTCTGTGATGAGTCAATAGCTTGACCAGAACTATCGTGGTTCTGTCCATGGCGGGTCGCTAACTTGAGAGTCGCTGCACGTCGCCATCCCAAGTTTCTTGGCGTACATGATATACGTCAGGGTTCGGTCCTGCCCGGCTCATTCACTGACTGACGGAGCCATGGGTGTAGGCAGATCTTGATCTGTGTCATTTGGCCAACATTCTTCGCCACGGCTGCCGTACTATCGCAGCACTAGGCCAGGCTGTGGTTGGTTCAATCTTGTGTGGCTGACCATGATCACGTCGCAACGGCTACAATATACTAGTTATTCTATCTGACCCCACGGCTGGATCATGCCCGTAGGGTGATAAAACTATTCTAGAGAGGTATGGTACTGTCGCAGCGACAGTGAAAGCAGGCTCAGTCTCGGAGCTAAAGGTGTCTGACCTGGTTTAGCCCTTGAGACACTCCAGCCAGCACCTGCGCTGTGGCTCTGTTCTCTTGCTGGATGTAAAAATCGCTCGCCTTAATGGAATGCTTCATTATGCGAATTGATTATCTCAATACCGAAATGATTTTACGGGCCGGTTGAGCCTCCAGGACGGAGCTTTACACGTAGCGACAAATCAGGTTATTAAAATGTGTAATGAGGGATTAGCAGATCGTTCGATGTCATGCCACATTCAGCAGAAGGAACAGAGTGCCTACCAACATTACTTTGACCTGGCCTGCCGCAGCCCATCTTCACATTGAGCAAAATTGACGGCGACGAACAGACCTTGCAGGACTGTGTAACCGGCTGTGAAGCTTCTGCACACGTAGTAAGAAGTGGCTGTTCAAGCAGGTGATGGTTGAGCGCGGTTCTGCCGCTACTGAGGACCAGTCTGCCGCCTTCCACTGCCACGGAGATAGGCACCCTCCATCTTGCCAGTCATTGTCTCGGTTGGGCAGAGAAGCAGCTGCAACGAATCGAAGTACAACATCGGAGAACGGCACCGAGGCATCGAGCTGGTACTCACCTCCTGCAGGCAAAGCCACCAGGCATGGGACAATGGCCTGTGAAGTTGCTCGACCTGGAACATCACTGCATAGAGTTTTCAAAGCACACGCGAAAAGGTACGAAAGCTTCGACGGTCTGTCCATTAGGTAGTCTGACCTTCTTGTTCTGGTTAGTACTCGACAAGTTAGTGATCGTCAGGGCAATCAGCGCATTTTGCAGGAATACGGACCATGTTCTGAACACTCCAAGATCAGTCCTACGTAGTAAGCGATTATTGGAAGCAGTTGTTGTTCGGTATGGGGCGTCAAAAAAGCCAGTGTCCTGACCCTGGTGCGAAAAAGATCGGTGGATCACAAAACCAGGCCCTGGTGGAAGACAAACCTTGAAGCTGTGTCTGCAACGGATTCGGAACCGTCACTTTCCTTTTTAGGAACGCTACCAACCCACCTTTGACCGGGTAGCAGTTTCAAGTGGGAATGGTGTCTGATATTGCCGACGCTTCCCTGCAGAGCTTCCAATTTTAAGTCTCAGTATCCGTAACGTTCTCTCTATTCTGCAAAGAGACATGTCCATCGCCATTGCTCTCCACGCTGCGGTGACTAGATAGACTAGGTTCTCCCTCTCTTCACCTCATGCTATTGCACAAGGTTTTCTCCCTGCATAGCTGCGAAAGTGGACGCTTGCTGTGCCGCACCTTGCTTTACATTCAGCGCTCAGGAGCAGGAAGACTATCGAAGACACGCTGCTGGTCGATTGAAAGAGCGACGTCTGAACCCGCGGAGTAGTATGACTGGCTGGGGCACTATCGATAAGAGGTGCTAAAGTAGTCCAATTGGAGGTGAAACCAGTCACTTGCTCGTGTTCAACACTGAATGAAGCCTTCGAGGAATCAAATACTGGAGTTGGACATGGTAGAAACGATGATCTGCATATGTTCTCCCATCTGTACTGCTCGGTTTCTGTTACTGCCAGGCCCCCTAGCTAGCTACCCAAGCTCATCAGCGATCACTTACGTAGTACACAACGCAGAACATAGCCTTATTTGCCGAATCTTAGCTTCGGTTGAAAGGCCAATTTTAGTGGACAACTTCAGGTGCAGGGCAGTCGCCCTTGCAGCGAGTATTCCACCCGTTCACATCGTGACCTTCGCGCAGCGATGCGGCTCGAAGCGGTGCAGACGGCGTAGAGTTGCGGAAAACTTTGATTCGACACTATGCCTAACTTATCATTGACAGCGCTCGCGTTTAGGTGGCTCTGCCGGTGCTCTCTAGGGTCCGAGAGAAGCGCCCTTGAAGGTGCGTAGGCGTGGCTTGCTTGAATTTTTCAAAGGGTTAAGCTAGGCTGGGCTTAGCTGGCTTAGCGATTACCGACTGCGGTTGCTGATACAAGGATGAGATTCTTCCAAGTCATTTGAGTCATTTAAGCACATCACACTTCTATGGTGCCGGCACAGACACATCCCAATTGTCATCGTCAACCGGTGGAGCAACCTAGAGCGCTCCATTTTGCCGAGTTGCATTCCTGGGCCCAATCATCAAACCATGTTTTCCGTACTGTTCCTGGAGGTTACTCGCGCACCACAGAGCAGCCAGCCGGTTCCTGAGTGGTGAGCGCAGGAGGAAGGGCACGATACTGTGTCAAGTGGTCAACAGCATGGCGCCACTGGCCTTGCCCTCGCCTTGCCTGCCACGTTGCCGCTTGCCCTGTCTGCTGCCAGCCGGCATCTGACGTACCCACCGTTGACACTGACAGCTGAAGCTAGGAGGCTCGTTGCTAGTGTCCAGAGCAGCGTGACACTTGAAAGAAAACGGTGCTTACTTTCCTTCGTCACTGCTTTTAGACCGTCTCACACCCATTGATGTGATGGAATCGTTTAACTTACATGGCGCTGTAAGTCAAGGGCGGAGGCTTTTGTCCAATGGATTGCATAGTCGGTCCCATGAGTCTGGAATAGGTTCACTTCCAAAAAGCATGTCCCTTTGGGTACATATACTTCTGCTGAATGCTGACCGTGAAAAGGTTCGACTATCGGCTAGAGTTTGCTTTAGGAGCCTTGCAATCACCAGGCTTCACACCCTGTCGCCAATTGAATCGCGCAACCTTCTCTTAAATTAGAGACCATGGACGGTGAGCATGCCAGCGGCATTTCCTTGGCAAACTCTGTGCTGATCCGAATCCTTTCTCACGAAGCCGTCTCCAATAGGAGGAGAAAGTATAGCAGACATGCCTGGCCGATCCGGGGAGCTGCACCCTCCTTTTACCATATCATGGTCCTTCATACCATTACGTTCTTGCGAAAAATGCTCACTGTCCCTAACTCCTCCTCCTCAGAAACCTACCTCACGTCTTCGTCCTTTCGAGCTCTCGTCAACTTGGTCAACTCCCAACTCGCTGTCGCATCATACTCCATTCTTCAAACTATTGAGCATATCAGCCTTGTCAATATCTACTTTATCCCTTCCTCATGCAGTACCGATCGATGTCTGAACCGGATCAGGCTGCCGTCCAACGAGCCATCATTATCGCACAGAACGATACCACCGATAATCTGGATCAGCAGACTAAGGAGATACTAGCGCTCGCTCTTCGAGCAATCTGGCGTCGCATACAGGCTCAACCAGACACCTACCTTTTGACAGCTCTGGAAGCGCGCGTGTTCAATTATCATCAATCGTTATTCCGAGGAAACGAGCTGGCACGTCGCACTTGGGCACGATATTGGGCAAACACTCATGGCATGGACGGCATCAATGGCCACTGATCTAGCAGTATCCACGTGCGGTGAATGTTTTGGGGGTGTGCATCTCCGAGGCGGTGGATACCTCTGTTGCAAAATTTCACACCCTTGGGTGACCAATGATCCACTACTCTTGATCGAGACTCAGCTGGCGGAGAACTCTCAAATGTGCCATTTGTCATTATCATCTACGAATGTCTCTCCTCATGGCCAGGTAAGCTGATCACCTGTCATTTAAGTCAGGTCTGCCATTGCTAATATACCAATCGTCAGTGCTACCCGGTCAAGAATCTTTCGCGGCCGGGCCGGCCTAGCCGGCCTTGTCTTCTTCTCTTACAAAGTATCCAACGGATGACGGACCCAGTCTCATCCATCCTTTTAGCTTTAGTGCTCCGCAAACTTCTTGCTATGGTCAGCATCATCAAAGTCGGCACGCAGCGAAGACCCGCACATCTACACCACCTCCTCGGCCCAATCGGTGGACGTGTATTGGCCGCCTGTTGAGGTTGGATCTTTTGAGCAGTTCTGTACCATTATCCACAGATACCCCAATTGCTGCGCATGTATTTTCATTCAATCTACTGTCGGTCGCAGCCTCATGTCTTCACGATACGGCGCGACAAAGCGCTGAGCTTCCCATTGCTTGCAATTCTACTTTTGGTTTTCTGTCCTCAATTCAAGCTGCTGAGTTCCAACTCCCTACTAGCATATCCTATCCGCTGTCTAGCACAGCAACAGAACTGAACTATCTGAAATCAGTGCTCACCCTACTCGCCTTTCTTCACCCACAAACTAGACTAGACGAGTATGACTCCAAAGTTCACCACTGCACCAGGAACGCTACCAGTCATGGCGCAAGACTAGTTCTCATATCTGCCCTGTGCGACCAGAAAATTCGTTTCCTGCCCTTTGGCCTGCAACTCAAGTAACGTACAGCTGAACCATGGCGAACGTAAATTCTGGGCCCCTCCGCAAACCCTTTTCCATCAGGCTCATCTCAAATCTTGCTTAGCATTGACTGGCCAACGCTGCACGTCCGGCGAGCTGAATGCTCACCTACAGGTCCTACAACTCGAACTGTAATCATCAGCATAGAGACGACCAGCTCTAGCTCGAGCTCGAGTTCGAACCACATATCCACACAGCGTCTGCAGGAAGGGGGACCATTGAATTCACGTAAAGATCTATAACTCCAGCATCATTGAAAGGGTGCGCGTAACTTCTGCCACAGCCCCCACCCCCCTCAGCGGCTCCAAGATAATATACAGGAGGAAGGGATTCCTGAACCACAGGCTCACCGCACCTCCTCGACGTCCAGATTCCTACTGAAAGCGTCCTGCGCATTCGTCGCCGTGTGTCGCCACCCTGTTTCGAAACCGCTCTCCGTGTGAGTTGCCGGGCTGACGCGTCAGGAGACGTTCGGTGTGTCGGCGTCTTTGAGACGAAGATGTACACGTTTCCTTTTTGCTGCTGCGCGGTGGCTGGCATACTCGCATTCATTGATTGCAGTGATTGATGCCCTGCCCGCCACGTAGCTGCGCAGTCCAGGTCCGCAGCAGCTTGAAGCGATCTGCTTCGGTGTGATGCAATGCAAGGAATCCCCCAAACAGTAGTATTTCTCAGCCGAGACTTCGTGAGACTGAGGAGTTTGATCTCACGTCCGCGTGCTCTCCATCTCTGTCAGTACTATGCTATCCGAAGACTCGACCCTGACCCACAGGCCATCATCTAATATAACCGCGCCACTTTGGGTGTGTGCTAATGGACCTACTGCTCAGACCGAAGATATCACGCATTCCAAGACAAGCCCAAAGCTGAGGATGATCTCCATTATGTTCTGGCCCAGCCCCTTCCCTTCCTCCTCGCTGTCTGCCGCTTCGGCCAAACCCTGCCTCGACAGTTTTTCTCTCCGCACAGGCATCTCACCACGCCCTCGTCTTCTTCTCCTGGGGTGGGAACCCAGGGCTCCTCGTTCGCTGTTTCCGGGCTGTAGTCGAAGGTGATTTCTTTCATTGCCGGTATGTTGCGGATTGCGAAGTAGGCCAGTTTGTATACCTTCTGATCTGCGTGGTTCATCATCACTGTGAATGTGCGGGTGTTTGGATTGCAGGAGTGGTTGATGAAGCGGGTTGGGCTTCCAAAGTGCAGGCCTTGAACATGGTAGGAGGCAGGGCCAAAGAAGTCCAGGGAGAAGACGTATGAGGACGACATTTCCGTGCTGGCATTCTCATACTCCTCGATGGCTTTGGTGGTTAGAAGCTCTCCAAGATAAACGTCGATGAATTGGCCTTTCTTGATCCGTTCTGGAGAGCGAATGCCGAAGCCACAGCGCTCGGTCATAAAAATCTGCAGGGGTACAGTTCTACCTTTTTGAACGACGGTGTTGAAGCAGTCACCACTGCACCGGCAACTGGTGTTGCATTCGAAAATTTTCTCAGGTGCAAAACCAACAGTATCGATGAAATGAGGATTGAGCGTAACAAGACCATCATCACGTTTGATGTATGGTCTAACTGACCCCTCTGCGACTCGTAGACAGCGACAAGCTGAGTCGTCAGACTCGCACTGACCAGAGCATGTACAACCAATTTCGGGTGACGTGACTTGCGATTTCTGTGCGATCTCTCGAAGTCCTCTTTGTAAATAAGAATCAACGAACTGGAACTTGCCACTGATTTGTATATCGTTTTTTTCGTTCACAAACGTAAGAGAAGCCCCGCCAGATACATCCTGAAACTTTAAATCAAGAAGGCGCTTGGCTTGCTCTGATGGAGGTATCACGTCTGCAGGGTTGAAGGTGCTTGCTACTATTTCTGTTAACGGTGCTTCCCAATCAAGCTTGATTTTTGATCTCTTGACTCTCTTGGCCTTGGTCTGGGCAACTTGAAGGGACCTTCGCTGGTCAATCGTACATGCATCGTTGTAGTGTTTCGAGAGGCCATGGCTTCCGAAAAAGTCTTCGACAGTTGAGGCGCGCGATTGAGCTATGGTGGTATCCTTTTTGAGTTCAGTGAGCAATTGGGCCTCTTTTTGCTTTCTAGCGCTTTTGACACTGGCTTTTGTGGTCGTAGCACTCTCTGATCTAGGGAAAGGTTGGCGGAATTTCTCGAGCAGCTTTCGCGAAGCCGACTTGTATGGTGAGTTGTCAATCTCCACTACCACGGTAGGCCTTAATGGTGTTGATGACGAATTGATGCTTTTGGCCTTGGAGGATGCTTTTTGTTTGCTGTTATTTGAATTGGGCTTGGTGAGGCTACAGGACGATGAATCAGGGCTTAGACGTGAACTAGAAGTAGCGCTCTGAAGTTTGCTAACCCGCGTAGATGTACGGCGCAAAACCGGGTAAGCTGAAGTGATTTTGGGGGGCTTCGATTGTCCTCTAGGTAGGCTTCTTGTCTTGGAAATCTGTCTTTCCTGATTGATAAATCGTTTGTGATTCGAATGACGACGAGCACTAAGAAGCTTTTGCTCTGGTTCAGGGCTATCCGCAGATGAGTGGTGATAGTGTTGCGCCTGCTTCGTCGGGTATGGCTCTGAAGTAGGCTCATCAGAGCAGCCATTTTTGGATGGGCTATGTGGTTCACTCTTCACCCGACTCGGCAGAGACGGCAACAGGTTTATCGACTTTCGTCTTGCTGTAAGTGTGCTGTTTTTCGGAAAATCCGAAGCCTTGTATGTAGTAGGTACTGCGGTTGGAGTTGGCGTGCCAGCCACTGGGGATCTTGCTCCATTCTGCTGAAGTATTTTTCTATTCTGCCAGGATGGGGATTTAAACAGTGGTCTGTTGGCATTCTTCTTGATAAATATCTCACTTGTAGGTGTGCTAAAGCGAGTTTTTGTGGTGGCTGTTGAGGGGGGTTTGGATGAGACATAGGGCAGAGAGGTCTATGGCCCGAAACAGTTAGCTTGGCGACGCGCCTCCTGGATTCAATGGTCCCAAGGGGGAACCCATTACCTTGCGGTCAGAACCTAGGGAAGTGGATTTGGCGCGTTTTGACGACGTGGAAGATTCCTTTAATATGTGTCAGTCATCATGTGTCGAATTGCATGATGTGGTATCTTATGTAGGCATGAATGACGACGCGGTGCAGGCAAGGAGTTGTTGTTGAGATCCTTCAACTCACCTCATCAGAGCTGTTTGTTAGGTCAATAATTGTTTTCTGTTGCTTGCCAGTTAGCTTTGAATTTGCGTAAAATAAAACGCTGGATTGTCAGAGTAAGGCTGCGTTAATGCTGAAGTTAACGTCACATTGGAGGCTATTTTTCGTACTTTTACTCCCCTTTTCTACCGCTGGTGACATAACTCAAGACATGTAGTATTAATACAAAAGAACAATCTTTAAAAACATCCAAGCCGTAGGTAGTATAACTTACTTTATCTAGAGCCTGCAATTTTAGCTGCCCAGTGTGCAGTCGCTTTTTGGAATCCTCCTTCAGAAAGGTCATTATTCGCATCTCTGATTTGATGACATCCAGAGCTTCAGACTGCATCTCCTTTTTATTCAGCTGATATTTCGGAAATTATAATTAGACATTGTGGTGTTTTGAGATGGTTGTAAAGGAGATCAATATTATATGAGTTTAAAAGTAATTTAACAAAGATGAAATTACACTAAAATTACACTAAATTATCACGTGATAAACTGAAATAGAATTATATATTCACTGTAATACTAACAATTTTAGAAACATTATAAATATATCAATGATATAATACTCTTATATCAAGAATATACTGTTTTTTGGAAATTATAATCTATATTTTATAAGTTTAACAAAATGCTCTTTAGGCGTCAATAAAATGCCCTTTAACCGTCGTCTCCTACGATATTTTCTTCTTAAGCTCTTAGACAATAATAACTGTGGCCTTATACATAGTTCCTCTATCCAGAGCACCACCAGCCACAAAAGATCCTGGACTAAATCCCCATAAGTCAGGCCCGAAGACCATTGGCAGAGATGCTGACTACCTCGGCACATATTTTGTGAAGGGCTCAGCTCCATGCAATCTGCCGCCCAGCCCCAGTCACAGTCAGACTAGGCAGTGGAACAACGCTGTGAAAGTACAGATCAGTGCTACAGTAGCACACGGTCAATCAGACTTTTGAACGTTCAGCCATCCGGAGACACAGACCAGAAACATGGGCACAGAAACCGCCCTGCCACCTATGAAAGACCTCGCGAGCAGTGGTAAGTTACATGTTCTGAAGCGATTTGCTTTATACCAACTGTTACTATGGCATTGATGAATCCTGCTGTAACCCATACCTTATTGTTCCGTGTCAGTTGTTGTCATGTACAACTCTACATTTCTTTAATCCCATATTTGTAATATCGGACCGCCGATCCTCTCGATCACATAATTGTTTCCATTATTGACTCGCCACTTCCCTTTTCAGTCAAAGCGGGCATTAAGACTCCATTCTCTTGCACCACCATGTACGGTCTACTCACCACAAACACTCCAGATCCCACCCTCCGCCGCTCAACCCTGCAAATCCTCCTCACACACCTCTCCACCCTCCCACCTTCCACCCGCCTGACAACCCTCCAAACCCTCCAGATCTGGACCTCCCTTTTCTACACCCTCTACATGCACGACTCGCGCTCGACCGCCCCTTTGTCAACACAGAATCTAATAAACACCCTTACAACCACGCTCCTCACCAGCACCATCCAGCCAGACAACCCGCAACTCAAACTTGCCCTCACGACCGGATTCTGGGAGACAATAAGCCGGGAATGGAGCGGGATTGATCGGCATCGGATGGACAAGTATTTGCTGTTGGTTCGGTGTATGCTGAGAGCGGTGTTTTTGTTGTTATTTGAGTCTACGCGTGAGCAAGCGACGACAGAGGAGAAAGAGGCAGCGAACGGGCAGGTGGAGGTGTTGCGAAAGTGGCCATTGAGTACCGGGAGAGGGAATGGGGAGGGGAGGAAGGTGCCGGACGGAATCCGCTATCATGTTTTAGACGTTTGGGTGGATGAGTTAGAGAAGGTGTTCCAGGACGGGGATAGGGAAGAGGAAGGAAAGGAAAGGGAGAAGGAGAGAAGAACAGTGGTATTAGGGATGACCATGGGTCTGGTGGAGAAGGTGGCAGGAGATGCACTAACCAAGGGTGTCAGATTGAGATCGAAGGATGTGTTGGCTGATGGAAGATTGGAAGAATGGAGATGAGATGCACCATGCTCCGTTCCAAGAATGCCATCAGGTGTTGTTAGAGTCTGACAGCACCATTTCCTCAAGCTAAGGGAAACATTGATGACTGGCTGATCCTGCAGATACAATTCGCATCCAAACTGGATGTATTCGACCAGGAACTTTGTAGGGTAAGTTAACGCTGATCTCGACGACCACTTGGAAATTAGGGTAAGAGAACATAATGTCCAGTTTCCATCATGAGTTAGTGTTGTTGGCAGGATGGTCTGCCTTGCAATGCTAGTCAATTGAAACCTCCCAAGAAATATACGCATTGAAGTTGTAGTACCCAATTGCGTCGACCTTCCTCCTCGCTTGCCAGTTCATCTCGCAAGCAGATGCCTACGCCCTCATAGTCGCAACGAGGCAAGAATCTTGGTAGCCATATGCTTGTACTGGTTCATCCCACCCTGTACCTTCTTGAACTGAATGCCGTGGAGGCTGAACAGTGGAAGCTTGACAATGAAGATGTCGAACTTCAGCACCAAGTACTCTCCCGTGTCTGATTGCACCCGCGTTGTTGTCGCCGCCATGTCCCTGGTTTCGTCGGTTTTGCTGTCACGGGGTGGCCGGACGTACTCGTCCGACCCTTCAGAATTGGTGATGAAACTCCTATCTGCAGGTCCACGACGAGAGAATTGCCTGGCCATTTTCTCCTCCCTGATCTCATCCCGATCCTTGCGGAATCCACCGAATGATATTCGCCGTGGGTGCCCAGAGAGTACGCGACCGGTTCTCTCCTCATCTAATGGAGAGCCAAGATCTTTGACTCGATCCAAGTTGATGCTTGGTGCATGCCGACAGGAGAAGCCCCCCTTGATTTCTGTGTATTCAACCCCAAGTTGCTTCAAGACTCTGATGATGTCTTGGCGGATAAAGGGCACTGTTTTGTTGCTTGTAGTCGACACTGAGAACAGTCCTTTGAGGTAGACTTTGCTTGCTTCTTCGGCACCAGGAGTGTCTGGCGGTGCTGCTGCCTCATCTCGCATTTCGGCATCTGTTTCCTCTGGAAGATTACCTTCTCTATCTCTTGCTTCTTCTCGCCTCTGTCTCCGCGCTTGAATGCTTTCCCTTCTAGCGTGCCCCAACGACTTCGGTCTGGAAGACGAGGGCGACCTGGGCATAGCGAGTGGGGTGGCATTATCGGCAATTGTTTCGGTCAAATTCCCCTTCACATTCTTCTGACCGCTAATGCTTGAGTGATCTGAGCCGCTTGTCGGTGGTGGCTCTGGTGCAAGCTTTGGTGAATCCATCCTTTCGGAGACACCCCTAGTCTGGAAGCGAGGGGCCCGGTATTCTGCAGAATTAACACTTGTCGATCGGCCAAGAAATCGGCTGCTACGCGAGCTTCCAGCGTTGGCATCAGACGCGCGTAGCAAGCCCTCCTGCTGCGGCTGGCTCCCTCCTGGATGTATGTTGGTTGGAGATGGATCCCTTTTCCGCGACCGGCGAACAGAGAAGGATTTTCGAGGTGGAGGAGCCAGTTCTGGTGGAGGTTGAACACTAACTGAAGGAGCGGTCTGGCGCTCAGTCGTCCTATCCTTAGTTCTTCGCGTGCTGAACCGACGTAGCAGTCCCATGGCTGTGCCCTCCTTCTTCACAGGTGGTTCGACCGGAGGTGTGGCTCGTGATGGGGTCGATGGTCCACGCTTTCCAACAACGTCCAATTTCTCCATATCCTGGCTTACTTCATCATCGCCATGGGTTCGAGCTCTGGGACGAGCTCTGCCACCTGTAGCCTTTTCACCAGGCATTTCATATGCGTGCTGATTCGTATGCGCAGCCTCTGGAGGTGGGAGGTCCGGCATAGCGAGAGGCCTTTCTCCTGGTGACGTTGGCATTGCAAGAGCACCGGGATTCGCTTCGCTTCGTTCACGGTCCCTTTTTTCTCTTGCAAGGTAGTAGATTGATATCAATGGACTGTAGGCGTTGGTGGGATCGCCTCCTCGCATTGCTTCGGCAGATGGTGCCGACAGGCCTTCGCGGCTGACTGAGTTCCGCCTCTTGTAGAAGTCAAAAACGCCACGCTTCTTCTCACCAGCAGCAGAGAGACCACCGTCTTCCCTGGTATATTTTCGAACCGCGGCCTGATAGTCTTCTGATTCAATTATTTGTGTCAGCTGCTCACTGATGTACTGTGTGGAACCAAAGTCAAAGCCCGTCATCTTCTCTATCACTTGAGGATCGAGCGGCAACTGCAGCGGCTCTCGTGGTGGTAAATAGCTTTCTGGTGGTGAGTTGTAGCCTTTGGTCATCCAAGGATGGTTCATGATCTCTTGCAGCGTGGCTCGATCTTTTGGATCCACAACCAGCATGCGTGCTATGATAGACTTGCAGTCTGTAATGGTCAGCGAAATACCCGAAATGGTAGGTGAGGGAATTCACCATGTGAGAGCCACTGTGGATATTCAACGATACCTCTCTTGATCTTTGCATGCAACTGAGGCATGCTCTGGTCGTCGAAGGGAACTTTGCCGCACACCAAAACATACAAAACAATCCCAAAACTCCAAACATCAACCTCTGGACCTGTATACTGTCTTGCCTGCAGCAATTCTGGTGCGGCAAAATACAAACTCCCGCAAAACGTCTTCAGAAGGGATTTTGGGGAGAAGAGGTTGCTTAAGCCGAAGTCGATGATTTTGATGTCTCCAGTCTTGCTGATGAGAATGTTCTCAATTTTCAGGTCCCTATGGACGATACTATTTCTGTGGCAGTAATCGAGCGCGCTGGCAATTTGGCGACCGAATTTCCGCGCTTGTTTTTCCTTTAGTCGTCCATGAGAGATGATGTAGTCAAGCATTTGCCCGCCATTAACATATTCGAAGAGCATATACCAATGATAATTCGTCCTTTGCACATCGCGCATGCCACAGATGAACGGATGGTCGAGTAGAGTAACCATGGCTGCCTCTCTTGCCGTACGAATTTCTTTGGAACGGTCCGCTCTTTCGTCTTTGGGATTGCCATGCTCATCTGTGGCTTGTCGAGGCACTATCTTTATTGCGACCTATACACATCAGCTTAAAATAACATGGTTGGAGTATTTGACAGACCTGTTCACCAGATTCCGTGTTCTTTGCCAGCTTCACTTTGCCCATGCTGCCTTGACCAATAGTCTTGCCTAGCGACCATGTCCCAGTGGTTGTGGTGATGGAAGTTCTTCGTCTCCCCATTGAAGGATGAGTAGAGCTTGCAGGTCTCTCTGAGGTGACGGAAGATGCTGGAGCCTGGCTTGGGACCGAACTCCCATTCGCGACCACTGTACTTCCTCTAGATATATCTGTACTATTTCGTGACGAGCCCGGACGCGATCGCTCGCGATGGTGAGTTCGTGTTGATTCTGGGCGGTATTGCTGGCCACCATCGAAGCCACCATCTCTGGAAGAACTTCGCCTTGAGGATGGCCGCCGGGCCACATTGGCAGTCTCGTGATCCCTTCTAGTAACGTTGGCGGGAGCTGCCTGATTCGAAATTGGTGGAGGGTCATGCGTGTGGGAACGGGAGGATGATCGGTGCGAGGATGATGTTGGTCTAGGGGCAGTTGATCGATGTCTGTTCGGGATGTCCGTATTTCCACCAGAGGCACGAGTTGACGAGCTGCGGACCACCGTCGGTGCCGCTGACGATGTCGCGGTCGCCATGTTGATTATTCGAGGAAGATCTCTTCACAAATGCAAGGCTTCTCAAGTAGAGTGGATCATTGCCTCATTGGTTTCCTGGCGGGAGATCGCAGCTTGACCGAGTAAACAAGGTTCGTCTTAGCGAAGCTGCTGGCTACAGGGGAAAGCGTCCGGATGCTGTCAGGTACTTGAACAGAAGTTAAGCTTGACAAGAGTCGGATGCAGGATGGAACTAGAGGATGGATACAGTAAATGGCTCATGCGAGATGAACGTCAGTTGCTGTCCGAGTGAAGTAATGTTTGCGTGCAAGGGATGTTTATTCTGCCCTTGCACCCTGGACTTGGACACAGACTTGGACACAAATGTGCCCTGCAAAGTTACTCATGGCTGGAGGAAGTTCAGATTCTCCGATCGTTCTCGCTTCACATGTTTGTATCACCAGAAGCTGCAGACTACTGTGGAAGATCTAAAGCAGCTTCATCATCACAAAGAACAAAGTGACAGCTTGAAGCTGCAGCCTTAATAATGCTTGCGGTTCCGAGTTGAATGCACGTAAAGTGTGGCTTTGGCCGTTTGGGCATCTCCGCTCGTTGTGGCTTAACTGAATCTTGGGTGTGCCCAAGCCTTCTTGCTCCAAGCCAATGGCTCTTGTACCACAAAGTGACCAAGATTACAGACTCAATCACAGATCTGGCCATCCGTAGATAGCATGAGAGCCCTCAGCACCGACTGCTCCTACGTCACTCTACCCAAGCGGCATAATGGCCAGCAAACGGTCTCGCTCCACCTATGAAGAGGATCTACAGAAGCAGGAATCACCATATGTGGTATATGGGACCCCTCTCCCTCCACTCGACGAGCAAGGTCGGGACGATGGCTCCTACATTCCCATTTGGAAGCAAGAGGTTACAGATGATCAGGGGAGGAAACGTCTCCATGGCGCCTTTACCGGTGGATTCAGCGCCGGGTGAGCTCACGGTTGTTGGGCACGATGAACAGAATGACTAAAATGGCTTACGCAGATATTTCAATACGGTGGGGTCGAAAGAAGGGTGGACACCGGCGACGTTTAAGTCTTCGAGAAACAGCAGGGCGAAAGACCTGAAAGATGCTGTACAGCAGCGGCGCGAGGACTTCATGGACGAGGAAGACATGCGAGAAGCTGAAGAGTCCAAGAGAATGTCAACGGCGGAGGAGTATGCAGGTTTTGGTTCCACGGATGAAGATCCCAAGCGTCTTGAGGCTTTTATGGATATTTTCAGACCTGCTGGGGACACAATTGGGGTCAAACTATTGAAAAGGATGGGCTGGAAAGAGGGACAGGGCATAGGACCAAGGGTAAGAAGAAAGGCAGATCTGGGTGAAGCGGAGGGCGGAAACGAAGAAGTAGACACGACGCATCTGTTTGCCCCCGAAGATCCTCCAATGGTTTCTTTGGACCGCAAGTATGACCACAAAGGTCTAGGTTTGGGGGAAGAATCGCCTATCTCCAACATCCTACCTTCTACACGTCCAAAAGCCAATAGCGAAGATGAAGGTCAAAGTCCTGATCCTTTTTCGAGAAATGTCCGCACAAGTCGGAAAGTGCTCACACCTAAAAAAGCAGCCTTTGGAGTTGGCATTTTAAATGACACAGGATCTGATGACGAAGACCCCTACCAGATGGGTCCGAAGACATCGTATAGTAGAGTCATCGGGGAAGAAAAGAAGCATCAGAAGAAACGTGCCGCTGTGCAAGGCGCCTCCCATCCCTTGTTGAGGGAGCGACCCATCTTCATGTCCAAGAAGACGAAAAGCAAACCTGGGTTTCGAAGGTGTCATGACGGACGTCTTCCACTTGAAGGCTTTGTCTTGGCTACAGAATTGGACTCTTTCTCCTTGCTGAATTTACAGGACGAGAAATACAAACCCCCCAAGGTACCGGAAGGGTGGGTATCGAAAAAGCAACCTGCAACTAAACATCCTGGAGAGGCTCATGTATCTACTGCCGAGGCTGCGAAGCTTTCCTACATGGATGCAAAAGCAAGGGCGGTTTTACTCGGAGAAGAACAGATGCCTGGAAAGTCGGTATTTGACTTCCTGACTCCAGCCGCCCGAGATCGGATCGCTGTAGCGTCGGGAAAGAGCAATTTGCCTGCAGCATTGAATGAGAGGCCACCCAAAGGCTTCGAGGCATCTCACGAAGATAGAAATCGGGTCCTTCAAGATCTCATTCCTAGACTGGATGCAGAAGTGGCTATGCAAGCGTTGAATCGTGGAGTAGGAGGCTGGATGCCTTATGCGGAAGACGACGAGAAACGAGCCAGGTATCGAGCATTTCTTGAAATCCGAGCAGGCATCCGAGAAGGTCTCCCTGAGCGCGTACAGGGTATGACTAAAGATGACTGGGTCAATGAAATGCACGAATTTTCTCGAGCAGCCCAGGTCTTCAAGCCTGTGACCGGTATGATGGCATCAAGATTCATCTCGTCGTCCTCGCGTTCCCAGCGCGCCTCGGATAATCTCGATTCATCTGGAAACGGAGAGGCGCTCTTGAGCCAACCACCGACAAAGCCTGGAGACCCTGCCATGAACGCTGCAAAGATGGGCATGTTTGGTCCACTGACGAGGTCAGTCAAGAGTTTCTATCCAACCAGGCTACTATGCAAGCGCTTCAACGTCAAGCCTCCGGCTAATGTCCAACCTGACCTCGGAGATGGTTCTGGAAAGGGTGCTTCTATAAGCAGCATGGCTGGTACCAGATTTGAATCTGCTGGCTACCAAATGCAACCCAGTGGTGATCCAGAGAAAGCGGACCCAAGCGTTTCACATCAGAAGCTGTTGCAGCCTTCGGAGGACGTGGCTTTCGCCTCAAGCACTAGTAAGCCTACAACGGCAGCAGCTCCTTCAGTTGATCTAGAGAGGAATGAGGCTCTAGAAGCAGACCGGCCTAGCGATGAGGTATTCAAGGCTATCTTTGGCAGTGACAACGAGGAGGACTGATAGATAACCTGTGCAAGAAATGTTATCATCCTCCTTGAACATGTAGAGTGTATTTCGTGTTTCTTAGAGCTTATGTTTGGGTCCGAAGGTCCGATGCGTCCGATGGGTCCCCTGTCTGGGCTTCCGAAAGCTTCGCTTGAATCTTCCCTTTTTAAAGGGGCTTCGGGCCGAAGCTCACAGGGCAGCCCAAGAACCCCCCACTTGGGATGGTGCTTAGCAGGGCTTCAGTTAAAGTCAGCAGCTAAGCTTTTGAATGCGCAGCCCATCCTAGTTAAGCAGCTGCCCACTCGCTTCATCCATATTTTGGGATACATCCCGACCTTGTTATCCGTCCCAAGTCCACGCCACGCTCACACGCAGTCACCTTCACTACACTCCCTTTCCCCCCCTCCTCCCCCTTCTTTTGTGTGGTAGGAGAAATCTGAGTCTTGATCCTCGTTTGCCAGCAAGACGTCGAGCGATTTGATGACCTATGACTTTCGTCTGGCCATGTGCTGATAACCTTCTCCGCATTGACGGACGTATATTGAGCTTCTGCAGCATGAGCCATGGTGAGATCAGGAACAACTCCTTGACACTTTTCTTCTGGTCTTCTCTTGGTCACCTATCTCCAAGTACTCTCAGGGAGCAATTCTAACACTTTCTGGCAGGGTTGCTGTGGTTCCACCCAAGCCGTCGATAATGATCGACCTTCTTCAGCGTTAGCTGCACCGCCACAACCTACGACATCTCTAACCTCACCCATCTCGCCTATCGTGTCCTCCACTTCCCGCACCCCCCAACCTCGAACCCTTCAAGTCCACTCCACGTCGCAGTCACAATCTCCCTCACGCTCCTCCAGTGCGCTGCGCCCCTCGTCGTCTATTCACACTCCACGCCTCAATAACCTCCCTTCCCACGAACGTTACAACGCCCCACTGACTACTCCTCCTCCTTGGACCTCAAAAACCCAGATTTGGACCCTCGCCCAGCTTCAGAGCGAGAGGCAAGAGTTTTACGATACGCGCGTCACTGGTCGGCTCGAGATTTGGGGCGCACTACAGAATGTATGTGAATTGGTGCGAGGCGGTGATATAGCGACTGCGCAGGGAATACTGGATGCGGCGGGTGTCACACTACCGACGGGAAACCTTGTGGACGGGTGTTACGATGAGGCAGGAAATCTATACAGGCTGCCCGAGGTTGTGGTGAGTGATCCAGTAAATATCAGGGGCGACGGCGACAGCGATGTCAGACTGGATGGGTCCCGAAACAGCAATAACATTGATGGAGAGACTATGATTGGAGTCCCAGATGCGAAAATCGCAGCTACGGCGGAAGACACAGTCTTGGATGGAGACGAACGGGATGTAGAAGAAGACGAAAAGGATATCCTGGAACGGCGCAGAGAGGAGAAAGGAAAAGCAAGTGAACGTGACGCTATCAAGGTGCGATGTCGACTTAGCGACCGTGGTGGACCAGATGTCGTGATCGGCCTGGGGAAGGCTCAACACGTGGCTACGTTGGTGAGGAGAGTTCATGTGGAAGGAAATGTAAGCTCTGCATTCTCGTCGCCGTGCTATTTCGAGTCTCAGAAGACTGGCTGGCTGACTGATTACACAACATACAGGTCTCACCCTCCCTTCGTATCCGTTTAGCATACCTAGGCAAAATTCTCAACGAAAGGGATACCCTCGAAGCCCAGGGTTGGAAGGAGGGACACGTCATCAATGCCATGGTCGTTGGCGATGGCATCATGCCCAGACCACAGCTTTCGTAATCGGCGGACTGGGCAACACGTGGAGGCGGTAATCCTTCATGCATATTCCGGGGGGGGGGGGAAGGTTACTGTGGTGAACGGGCTATTTCAGAGGTCTCTTGGTTGCATATATAAAGTCTTACCTCATCCGTTTTGTTACTGTGGGCCACGGTCACCGAAGTGGTGCTATTGGCTTGGATGTTGATATAAAAAGGGGCGTGCTTTCGGCGCCTACTTGGTGGATTGGTCGGGAAATGGAGTGGAATAGTATAAATACTTATGTATACCTGTTTGACGGTATCTTGTAGTGGTTAATCACAATCGAATGTGCTCCGTATCCAAAGTGGAACAGATACTCGCGAGAGGGAATAAGAACGAACTCGCTCTCAGTTGACGAATGTGTGTTCATTTGCTTGTACTGTACCACTGCGGTGAATCACAGCAGCGCTCGCTTAGTCCGCTCAGCTAACCACCCAAAAGCAGATACATATATGCGTGTGTGTTCATCCAGGTGGTTTATAATAACAACAGGTGAAGCGAAGCAAGTCGACATTTTGCTTCCATCCCATGCGCAGAGGGATGAGGATTCAACAAATGCCTTTGTTAAAAAAGGAGGAGATGAGTTCGTTGAGCCACCACATTGAATTCATCATCTCATCAGACTTTGGAGATTTCCCACATCTCCATCTTCCCGTCTTCGCGAGGACCCACATTATCTGAATTCCATAGCGCCACAAACGCCCCTGTCGAACTTATGTTTTAGTTCAAGCTGTTGGTACCTGCGATCACTCAAAACGACGTCAGCCTGGTTGTAATCATGATGTATGATGGGTGTGAATCTGAACTCACTTCTCGCTTCTAGCATGGAAGTAGATGCCATCAATCTTGCCTTCCACCTGATTGAAGCAAATATAATAGAATCCCTCAAAACTGGCCCCCTGTATACTTCTTACGCGATGATCTGGAACGAGGAACCACTCCTTCCAGCGCATGAAAATGTTAGGTTGAGTCCACCAGCCGGGATTGGCGTCGTCGTCAGCTTGGTCTTCTACATCGTCTATAGTGGCGGTATGAAGGGGAATTGTTGATGATAATGATGATGTTGGTCGTGATCCTGGTCCAATGGCATGAGGTGGGTATTTGAAATTGATATCTCTTCTAGCATCTTTGTTGAGAGGCCGCCACGCTGGAAAGCGAGCCCAATGTGACAGATCGGTGCGGTCTGAGGCGCCCCAGCTGGGATCTTTAGTTTGAAAGGTGTGTTTGTGATTCGGACCACCAATGATCTCGCCAGTGAAGAAAGTCGTTAGTGTTGGGTGATCTTCCGTGAGACCGCAAATGCGCAGGTAACCAGTCAAGGTCGACTCGGCGACAGAGAGAGTAAGGATCTGAACATCAACGTTGTAGATTTGACGGTCAGATTGTTGAGTGCCGCTGAACTTCGAGCCGGGACGTAGGAAGGAGGAAGGGTAATGCGGGTAGAGACGCGTGTTGGAGAACTCGAAACGGGGAGTAGCGGAAGGATCGGAAGATCTAACAGAGCTGGCTGTACAGCCGATGCTGGTGTATGGTTTAGTGGGGTCCGGAAAGTCTTCATGAGTGGCCTCGAAGTCATGTTCTTTGGACGTCTTGGGTCCAGTAAATGGTCTTTGCTGAGTTGGCTCGTCAGCACACAATGCATCCCCTGTCGTCTGAGCTGTGAGGGATTCGGAAAGCCTTGTGGCACAGAACATGTCTGCAGCGTCCCCATCCAAGGCAACGCTCTCTGGTGTAGGCATGCTTGTCGCATCGACCGCCGAATGATCGAGCATGGTGACATCTGTCTTGAAGGCCGTATCGATCTCCGTTCCACCCTCTCTTGCTGCTGTCTCCTTGTCATTGTCGCAAGTATCCGCTGGCGTGCTTTCTGGGAGAGTGTCAACCTCGGCTCCTTCAGATGTCATGTACAGGCTGCGGTCCTGCACGAAGTTGAGCGCGGCCGCAGAGTCCCCACCAGTTGCACCATCATCTTTACCCCCATTCGCGCCAATATTGTGAACGGCATCATCGCCTATTTCAGGTGGAGGCGTTGGAGGACACATGGCTCTTGGCTCTCGCGGAGGATGTGGATGGATCGCGTGAGCTGCACGCTCGGTTTCATTTTCTGGGGTCCGCATGATGATGGGCAGCCAAAATTCACCGTGGCAATGACATTGATAACGCAAGTCACAAATCACTGCTCATCGGCATGGATTGCATGACTACAGATGACAAGTTGGGAAAAGGAGATATGCTTGAATGCAAAATGAAGTGAGAGAATGTTGTCAGCAGTCTCTAAGAGAGGAGAAGTGCATGCGAACAGGTGGAGCGAGAGCGGGAGAAGACGATTTTAAGATAAACCCGATCTGCGGACGGCTAAAGACTGGTGCGGGCGAAGCGGGGACGAGTGGAATTTAAGTGGGGTAGCGCCCGGAGGAGACCCAAAACACGTCCCCAACGCTCACGCATGCAAACCACACTTCCCCGAGAAGCCTCAGCCGTACAGCTGTTCCAAGGCCTGGGTTCGGGGCTTATGGCCAGTTTGCCAACGTCAATGCCGGAGGGCAGAATTTCTCACTCAACAATCACAATCACACGGTCGAAGATCATGGATACTCGTACTGTATCCAGCATGCAATGGATCATACTATTGATGGACTGAAAGTGTAATGACTACCACCTGAACCATGTATATTGGTCTCTGGTATCCTTCAATCCAGTATCCAATGCCTTTTACCCGTTGCCCCCACCGCTTCCATCTTTCGCAGGTAAGGCTGGAGGTCTTTGCCTTGATTAGTTCGTAAATAAATGCGCTGTCTAGTAGAGGTTGAGCGTGTGTGCCGGAGCCGCGCCCATCGAAATACCTGCGGGTTGCTTTTACCGTCCCGTGAAAGATTATATCTCCATTCTGAATCGACCTCTCGGAGCAGCAGAACCTTCATTGGTGTGGACAGCTGTCATGTTGGCGGTTCTAGAAAGTAATCGCCTCACTAAGGCATCCGTAGAGCCCTTCAACCAGATCAAACGGCGTTGCCCCGCTAGTGATGAGTTCTTTCTGCAGAGGTACAGCCAGGCAAATGAGCTCTCCTGCTAAAAAGTGTTTCTTGCAGATTCAGATTGGTTTTATCTAGTCGACACGATTAGCAGATTTGGGCAACAGACGGATCAGGGCATCTGACCTTGAAGTGTAGCGCAATCAGAGAGAAAACGAGCGCCTTGAGATCTTGCACAAGATAGTAGAACACACGCAGCCCCTCCGGGTCGGCAGATTCAGTGACATCCACCAGAGAGCCAATTTTCGCAGTCTGCAAGAGTCATGGTCAGCAGTGGAAGAGCAACGACAGCGTTGGAAAGGAATGACCTCGAATGAGATGTGCTCGTTTCCCAGCCTGATTTCAAGCTCCTGTTTACCATCCTTATTCTTCTGAGGCCATTTCGTATCATCTTCCTTCATGATCTCGCTTTCTTTGATAATTCTCTTCATCTCCGATATCATCAAGGAGCTGACGCACACTACATCACGTCAACGACACTCAAACATTGTGAAGCCAGGTGCACATACTCTCTTTTCGGATGAGCGCGTCGTTTCGATAATTAGAGTTGTTGGCATATCGAGCAGTCGCACTTCGTCCGTCTCCCACCACGCGGAAGTCAAATTCCAGAAATTCTGCGGATGTTAGCGGAGAGTAGCCTCAAGGATATCTCCTCGTACCATGTCCAAATCGACCAGTATGACCGCTATAGTACCGTACGTAAAACGGCTCGTTGACTTGTGCCATCTTTGTTGTAAGTGTTGAGTGCCTCCCCAAGAGAATTGGTCATTAAGGATAAGCGTCGATTCGTCCACACATATGGAAGCACAACTCCAAGATCTGAAGTCTACGCTAAGTTACTAAGTGGTTACAGTGCTACCATAAATTCTGTAGAATTCTTGGCATATTCAAAAAACCAAATTTTTCTTCCTCTGATTTAACAACATTTGATCACCACAGGACACCAAATCACTTTCCTACTAACTATACAAGTTATTAATAAATAAAGTCTAGCGATGTCTATAATTGTTTATTATTTTACAAATAATCTGATTTTATAAAATATCTTCTTTTATGCAAAATTTCAAAATTTACTTCTTAAATACCAAGCTATATTTAGACCTCGACACTTGAATTTTAGAGTCTACTTAAAACACATAAAAATAGATTTTTAACTCTTATACATTTTCTTTAAGATATTCTGTTTTAAAAATATAATTCTCATATTCCTTAGAAAGAAACGAATCAAACGATAATAAATTTTCCTTAATATACTCTATCTGTAAGGAGAGAGGGATGATTTAGAACATCTGCGGGGCAGGATTCCTGAAAAATTTGGTTTTCTGAATATGCCAAGAATTCTACAGAATTTATGGTAGTAGCACTGTACTGTATGCCAAGACATTTGGCCGCACCCGCACTTCTAACAAACTATATCAGAACACATACCACTCGAGATTTTTCGAGTTCCAAGCGACTCAGGAGAGCTCTCTACACGTATCATGAAATATCTGGATGCGGGAGTGCTTGGCGAAAGATGATGTGTGTTTAATTCCCCCAGAACGTGTTTACCCTCATTCCTGGACGCATGTTCCTCAACCAACCTTCCCCGAGAAACGTCTGTGGCATTGAGCCCTTCGTTGCACCCTTGTAGCTCCAAGCTAGCTATCCACAAGCATGGCTTCCTTTCTGGATAATGCGTACAGCTTGGTGCACCAGGACAATTCAGCAGACCAGCCTTCGCAACAAGACCTCAAGACGCAGTTGGAAAAGGGCACTGAAGACTCAAAAGTGGAGACCATGAAGCGCATTCTCACAATCATGCTTAATGGCGATCCAATGCCTAATCTCCTCATGCACATCATCAGGTTCGTCATGCCGGCGAAAGGCAAGCATCTAAAGAAGCTATTATACTTTTACTATGAAATTTGTCCGAAGCTGGACGCCAATGGAAAGCTGAAGCAGGAGATGATACTGGTGTGGTATGTATACAAGATGTGCTTGAAGAATCGCTCTGACAGCTGTACAGCAACGGGATACGCAACGATTTGCAGCACCCAAATGAGTTCATCCGCGGCAATACTCTGCGCTTTCTGTGCAAGCTTCGAGAACCAGAGCTTCTGGAACCTCTACTTTCGTCCGCTCGATCCTGCCTCGAACACCGACATGCTTATGTTCGAAAGAATGCTGTGTGGGCTGTTGCTTCTATTTTCCAGCATTCAGAAAGCATGATTCCAGATGCTCCAGAGTTGATTCAAAACTTCCTTGCTAATGAAAGTGACACTACATGCAGGAGGAACGCATTTGCAGCATTGATGGCTGTCAGCCATCAGAAAGCGCTTGAATACCTGAATAGTGCCTTTGACGGTATACCTAGCGCAGACGAACTGATACAGCTAGTCGAATTGGAATTTATTCGCAAGGATGCAATCCAAAACTCCGCGAACAAAGCTCGCTATCTTCGTCTCATCTTCGACCTCCTCGAAGCCGGCGCAAGCACCGTGGTTTATGAAGCCGCTACTTCTCTGACAGCACTTACGAGCAACCCTGTGGCGGTGAAAGCTGTAGCAGGAAAGCTGATAGAACTCAGCATAAAGGAGGCCGACAATAATGTCAAGTTGATTGTTCTGGATAGGGTTGATCAGCTGAGGCGGAGAAATGAAGGGATTCTAGATGATCTAGCAATGGAAATCCTGCGTGTGTTGTCAAGCCCTGACTTGGACGTGCGTAGAAAAGCTCTAGGTATCGCTTTGGAAATGGTCTCTAGCAAGAACGTGCAGGAAGTCATCATGTTACTGAAAAAGGAGCTTGCAAAGACGGTCGACGAGCAATACGAGAAGAATACAGAGTATCGTCAGCTGCTCATTCAATCGATACATCAATGTGCCATCAAGTTCTCGGAGATTGCCGCGAGTGTGGTGGATGTCTTGATGGACTTTATTGCAGACTTCAACAACAGCGCTGCAGTGGATGTCATCTCATTTGTCAAGGAGGTGGTTGAGAAATTCCCGAAACTACGGCCCTCGATTGTTGAAAGACTGGTATCCACTCTAGGTGAGGTGCGGGCAGGGAAGGTGTACAGAGGGGCTCTGTGGGTTGTTGGAGAATACTCTTTACGAGAGAACGACATCAGGGATGCGTGGAAGCGGATACGAGCAAGTCTAGGAGAGATACCTATACTCGCTTCCGAGCAGAGATTGCTTGACGAAGCATCTGATGAGCATGCCGAGCCCAAAGAACAGGTCAATGGCCATGCCAAATCTGCTCCGAGCGGCTCTCGAAAGGTACTAGCCGATGGCACATATGCCACAGAAAGCGCCCTCACAACGAACTCGGCTGCTGCAGCAAAGCTTGAAGCTGTGAAGGCAGCTCAAAAACCGCCGTTACGACAGTTCATCCTCGATGGGGATTACTATCTTGCTACAGTCCTCTCGTCGACCCTTACAAAGCTTGTCATGAGATATTCCGAAATATCTACCGACGAAGCCAGAACTAATGCTCTCCGTGCAGAAGCAATGCTGATTATGATATCCATTATACGGGTCGGACAGTCACAGTTTGTCAAAGCTCCCATCGATGAGGATTCTGTGGACAGAATCATGTCATGTGTTCGATCACTGGCGGAATTTGCCCAAAGACGAGAACTTGAGACCACGTTCCTTGAAGACACGCGCAAAGCTTTCCGTGCCATGGTCCACGTTGAAGAGAAAAAACGAGCCGCTAAGGCTGCTGTCGAAAAAGCAAAGACCGCTGTTCAGGTGGACGACGTATTTCAGATTCGCCAACTTGCGAAGAAATCCGACGGAAGCGTGGACGAAATCGAGCTGGACCTTGAGAAAGCGACTGGCGGAGATTCTGCAACTGGAGACCTCACCTCTAAACTATCCCGCGTCGTCCAATTGACTGGCTTCTCCGACCCAGTTTACGCAGAAGCATATGTCACAGTTCAACAATTCGACATCATTCTAGACGTGCTCCTAGTCAATCAAACTACCGAGACGCTCCAAAACCTCTCCGTCGAATTCGCCACGCTTGGTGACCTCAAAGTTGTCGAACGACCCACAACGCAAAACCTCGGCCCACGAGACTTCCTCAATGTTCAGTCCACCATCAAAGTCTCCAGCACGGACACCGGCGTCATCTTTGGAAACGTCGTCTATGACTCGCCCAGCGGCACCGACACCCACGTCGTCATCCTCAACGACGTGCACGCTGACATCATGGACTATATCAAGCCTGCCACTTGCACCGAGACGGCGTTCCGGACCATGTGGACCGAGTTCGAGTGGGAGAATAAGGTCAATATCAACATCAAGGGTGGAAAGGAGAGCAAGACGCTGCGACAGTTCTTGGACCATCTGATGAAGAGTACGAATATGAGTTGTTTGACTCCTGAGGCAAGCTTGAGCGGTGACTGTCAGTTTTTAAGCGCGAACCTTTACGCCAGGAGTGTTTTTGGTACGTGTCACCATCCCTCCCATTCTTTGCACCGCCTCCGTCCACGGTGTCTTTGAGCACATCCATCCAGTTGCTGACTTCCTCCTCTCCCAACAGGCGAAGACGCGTTGGCGAATCTGAGCGTCGAGAAGGAAGGCGAGGATGGACCGATCACGGGCTTTGTGCGCATCAGGAGTCGATCGCAGGGGTTGGCCTTGAGCTTGGGCTCGTTGAAGGGACTCAAAGCCGGCACCATCTGAACCGGCATCAAAGGCAGCAGTTGAGGTATCATCGGTAGTCCCAAGTATTATGCCATCAACCACTACTGCCCTCCTTACAACTCCACCAGGATTCGATCTAGATTCCAAGGTAAATAGCATTCGGCACATCTCCGAAGACCACTCGCCTGAGGCACATTTGATGTGTAGACAACCAAGCAGAACTCGGGTACAACTAGTCTAGTACCGGTAACTGCTCGCCAGCTTCTTCGATCACTCCGTTTATGATGTTCGTACCCTCTATCACTGCAACTCGTGCCGCCTGTTCCTAACATTACCACCCTCAAACGCCTAACGTGACAAATCCTGGTATCTCACGCATGTGTATGTACCTGGCAGTAATCATTGCAGTGAAAAGCACCGGACCGTCATCATCTAAAAATATGCGATCTTGCTGCATAACGACCAGCAAAAGTAGACAAGAGATAGTACGAGCGCAAATGTCATCGCTCGATCTGGGCCGTCCCTGCCTCCGCCGACGACTCCGTAATACTCGTGTTAGTATTCGTATTCGCAGTAGCGGTAGCGGTAGCGGTAGCTCCATCCCACCCGGCCGGCCCATCCGCCTCATACACAAACCCGGACCTCGACAACACCGTCCCGAGTCCCCTGTGGACCTCGACCTGGAATGGCTCAAAGGGCATCTTCTCCCCATCCACACTGATATAGCCACCATCCCTATTATTATTATCCTTACTATTCACACCCGTCATCCCCAATGCAGCCATCACCCGCCCCACCCACGACTTCTCCTGCACCTTATTCGGTGGTGAAGGCTTTGCCCACTTCCCAAACCTCGGCACCACTCGATATGCACTGACCTTGCGCATGTTGACATGCGGCATGTCGAAGAAGGTGCCGTTTTCGACGGCGAGGAGGGAGGCGATAGCCTTGAGACGGCCGATGGTGCCATCGATGGTGACGAGGTCGAGGAGGCCGTCTGAGGGAAGGGAGGCGGGGAATATGGGCGTCGCTTCCGCCATGATGGCCATGTTGCCGCTGTAGAAGTTGCCGAGGGTGGGATAGGGGGTTAGTGTCCAGCCGGGTGGGAGGGGCGACTGGACAGTGCCGTATTTAAGGGCTGGGAGGCCGATCGAGGTGGGTGAGGAGGTATCGGGAGATGTGTCATCGTTGTTAGTGCTGCTGTGGGAGAGGGTCGAGGTGGAGGTAGACGCTAGTTTTAGAGATTGGTGGTGTTTGCAGACATTGGCGGAATAATGAGCTCTTATGGCGGCTTTGTCGTCGATCTCGGTTTTGATCGCAATGTCGCAAGGATAGACTGTCTTGCCAAGGAGGCGGACTAATAAACCGTAGGTAAACCTGGCAGAACCCATCCATCGGATGTTGTCAGTGCCTAGATCCGTTTCGGCCACGATGCCAATGGCTTGGCTGAGGAAGGAGATTATCCGCTTCTGCCCTTGCGTGACGGAGACCAGGTCGAGAGGAGTTCTGATACCTTTGACCATCACTAGGGCAGCCATGGAGCATGATTTTGTTCCATTAAGATTCCAAGACATAGCATTGCCAGTACCGCAAGGAAGTTGCACAACTGCTACTCTGCGTAGGGCTTCCGTAGCATTGGATTTCTTCGCTAGTCCGTTGAAAACCTCGTGGGGCAAGCCGTCACCAGAACACGAAGCAATGACGTCGTAGGCGTCCATATCGATCTTTTCTGCAATCTCAACTGCATGGCCCATGTATGATGTCCGCTCCACATCCACCTCGCAATGCGCCGCTCTCAGTATTGGCTCAACGTCCCTAGTGAACCACTTGGCAGCCTTGCCAGCGCCGCCGTAGGGGTTGATTAGTACCTTGATCCTCTTCTGTCGCTGGGAAACGCCATAGGCGCGATCGAGCAGTCGAGCGACCCAATTCTTCGCATTTTCAGCGTTCGTTGTGGAGGAAGGATCTAGGGTGTATGTCACGTATGCGACTTGAACATCGCTTTTACCAATAGGCGTAGTATATTGGATGTTTAGGTCGATCTTGGTCAAAGATGCCCAAAGGATGTTAAAGAAGGGAATAACACGTGTGGTCTTTGATTCTGCAGTAATTCCTGGTCAGCGAGCAGAAAGGGTGAGGTGGGCAGGTCCTTACTCGCTGGCAAAAGGCCGCAACAGTTCAGACTTGGTTGCTCTCGGAAGCTTTCATCTTCAACACATCAGCTCTACCTTCCCCATACTCAGATCTCGAAGACAGACCGAGCACAATAAGTGAGTCTGTTCCCAGGGTGAGGTTGGCGTTCCTGCCAGCATTGAGGGTGGCCTCGCCGACGAAGGTTCGCTGATCCTCCTCCTCCTCCACTTGGGCAGGGTCGGCGAAAGGATCACCATCGTCAGCATGTTGTGCTTGCATGGCGACGAGTCCCTAGCTGCATATTGGTCTAGGCGGTGAACATGTACTTCATGGCAGGGCACCTTATGATCGCCGAACCAAGTAAGGTACAACTTGCGTTGGAGGTGACTGCAGGTCCCAGAGTTTAAGTGGACCGGAGGCCGAGGCTTGCGGCAATTCTTTCACCCCTAATCCGCCAAGTCGGACCACAACCAAGTTCTCGCCTATCTTACGAAGTTGGAGATGCCCAATGTGACTACGCGAGTAAGTGGGCTGCGCAACGCACCCCGTTGAGCCACCCAGTCTTTTGTGACCTGCATCCCGCTTGGTATATGATCCAAAACTGTGATATATGCATTGGATTGATCAGAAATATTTTCTTTATTTCTAAACCTGGGCTTGAGAAATTGAAACGGTCTGTTGCATCAGAAAAACTGGTAGTTGTTATTCTTTAACTACAATTTGGTGTATGTTAGCTATTACTTTTAGGCTTTACCCGGGGGTAGTGTTGCCCAAAGAGTATATTGTGCAGCCCACTTACTCACGTTATTTATACTCCGTACAAAGACTTCAATTATCATTCTGAATGACAACCGAATCAATCGTTACCCAGTCAATAATTACTACTGATTTCTCACCAAGAAATAAATTTACTAGAGATTGGCCTGTACCTTCACCTACGTCTAGGTGCAGAGCACTATGTTGAATAGGCTGCCTGGATCAAAGCCCGATCAAGTCGCGTTTGTTACCCGATCGGGCAGTGGTCCTTTAAAGTTATCTCCGTTGGGTACCGACTAAATGTGTTTCACTACAACGAATTACTTTTGGCTAATTCCACGGTCCCAATGTCATGATTCGTCCGCGTTCCTGCGGTAGTCTTCCTCTGAGGCGAACTCTACGCCCATTTTCCACAGGACATACTAAGTTGTGAGTATCGGCTGGGTCTCCATGCACCAACAGGCAGTCGGTATACTGTTGACTGCCTTTGTCAATGTTAATGTTCTTCTCCCAGGATTCGCTGCCTCTGAACAACTTCCCAATGCCGCGCAAAGAGAACACTGTACGCAAAGACAATTCGCACGGCTGGTGGTTAGATTGCCGCTGGTTGAACGGCCGCTAGTCCTGTCAGATGGACGAAGTAATGCATCAAACTCCTGTTCTGGTCGATTAGATCCCGTGCAACCACATGGAACAAGCGAACGCTTCTCGAAAGGCAGAACTTAAATTGAAAATGTCTAGGTATGCTGCATTGCACAGTGACACCAGTCCGTCACAAGCTGGCTCACTGAATGATCCGTTCTACTATGGTATCTGGCGAAAGTAATGTTGGTGGGGCACTAAAAATTTTCGTTTTCGCTAGTAATGCTGTCTTTTTGATATGTCTGCGCATAACTTCGAGTTCTTTTCTATAAATCTTGTGACTTGTTGATCTGTAAGTGTCTAATGATCAGTACTAAAAGTAGATAGGTCCCTCACCACTTGCACACCACTTAATGGTTATTCGGTGGTCATATCAAGTTAGAGTAACAGGTTTTGTAACTTGCTGTACGGATGAATTTGTCTTGGCACCCCACCAACATTACTTTCGCCAGATACCATAGTATGAGGATTAATGATATCCGTGAAGGCTCAATTGTGGGGTAACAAGGGGCTCGGAGCAAGGGACATCGAAGATCCTTAAATAACTCGATCTTACTCGATCAAGCCAGGGTAGAGCTGTATGCGAGGGATAAGGTTCCAAAAGCAATCCCTGGTATCATTGCTCTCATGCTTGGCTGGTTACCTGGAGAAATGCTACACCAGAACAGAGACACATAATGTCTCTAGCAAGGTGGGTGGATATCAGAGTGTCATTCATTACTACGTAAACACACCGAGTGGGTGCACTGGACATATCAGTGTCATATCCTTAAGCAGGACACTGGAAGTGATTTACTGTCATGGTTAGAGGAGGACGGCATATCATACTTAGTACGGGCGGATATGTACCCCCTGATGCATGCAGCTGCGTTTTGGTGCTACCTCGACGCGTATATCATTCCTTTCCCCTGCCTTCTATGAGCCTGGGCGTGAAGTTGCAAATGGTGAGAACAGCAATGGCACGACCTGGTGTCTGACAGCATCATCATGGATATGGTGGCGGCAGTATGGGCAGAACTCCCATTTTGTGCATCATATACAGTTTGGCACAATAGTGGTAAGCCCCTTTTCTCCCAATTCGGGGGCTCATACGGCTTTCCTTCGACAGCAGGACGCGTCCACCTCAAACAAGGACCTTGCGATCAAGGCAAGACATTTAATACAAGGTTCAAGGCTGGAGACTTATCATTATTACCTCTTACATTCATGGTAAATAGCCTGCTTAAAAGTAGCTCTCTTATGTAGATCCTTCTGGTGCGTTTCCCCATGGGCCACGTCTCCACCACACGACCGTGTCAATGTCCACTAGCCCCCAATTTGGGCAAATCGCAGCGATCCCGACCGGTTTCGTTAGGACGGCTTGTCCAGAGCTGCGCCATTAGCCCGGGTTCTGACTGGCGCCAGTTGTAGCTGCAAGCTACCTGTGGTCCCTGAGCCGATTGATTGCTCCGTTTAAGCGCTATCATTGCTGTAGGAGCCCAAGAAGGTAGGTTTGGATGGCGAACCATGGCTCCGTCTAGGGGATGATAACCCGTATTCTTCTCTAGTATTTGAGGCGAGTCGCAGAGACGATCAATGTTCGAACCATTGTTCCACTAATCTGGGGTCTCTAGAATCCAGAAATCACTATCCCTTGCGCAATTGCTATCAGAACAACACTGGAAGCGAAACCAGCCAGACCATTTTACGCAGGCGAAAGTAACTTCGTCGAACATTCCCATTGTACTACGACCTACATACGAAGCAGTGGCCGCGTTCAAGTCCAGGGCAACCAACATCCATCGAGCAAAGCAATAACGGTTCCTTCGCACAAGTCAAAGCGAGGAAGTCATTGGTCTAACATGTCCTCACAACACCTGGCGCAGGGCGAATAATTATAACCTTGGCTACGGCGATGGCTCCTATCAAAAGCTTGCCCAAAGGCCATGAAAATTCCTCCACGCCGCTTGCCGACTACTTCTGGATCGCGGGCCTGGATGGACAAGATCTTTTGGATACATATGTCAGACTTGGCGAGGTGCATAATCCGAGAAAGAATAGGAGCAGCAGTGACCTGAATGATATCATTGTGGAGGACGAAGTTGCTGAAGCGGATGTCTCATCCATTCAGGATTCTCCAAGACCCGCGTCAAAACACTCAAAACGAAACTCCTATCAACGGCTTTCCAGGTTGTCTAGTGAAGCACAGTCGTCCATCAGGTCGCTGGACAAGATACCATCCGGCACGTCAAGCGCTCGAAGCAGCGCTACCATTCGTTTTGTACCATCAGCATCCTCTCCTCATGTCTCCGCTGCTCTGAACGACGTCGACTTCGACAATGCCTTGAAGAAATTCGCCACTGAGCGGGATTCGTTCTTCTTGGATATCAATTTCAGTGCAGGTGCGGTTGCCCAGCCCAGTAGACCGCGGCCGAGAACAAGAACCCAGAAGATTGTTGCCGAGGAGCAGGGTCCGGCACCAAGTAGAGGTATTGGAAGTGTAAGGCGACACATGTCGTTCCGGGAGATGAATAGCGTCAAGCGACAGTCATCCATGGCACGACAAGGTCAGTCGCGCTCCCTTTTAATTGCTATTTTCATCCCGGCGAACTAATATTGGTTGGCAGCATCCGTCAGAACTTCTCGGCGCACAAGTAACTACAACTCAGTGATACCCAGCCCTGAACCACTTCAATCGTCTCCAACCATGCACCCACTGAAACGAAAATTTGAACCAGTCCTCCTTGACAGATATCCCCCAGCGGGAATGCCCGACGAGTCGCGGCGGCGCGGCAATTTTCCCGACTATGTACCTATGTTTGCGTTTCCAAACGACATCAACGTTGTTTCCTCCGATACGCGCCCACGCTCGACATGGCATGGGTTTTCAATGACCGCAGCCGACAACTCCAGGTTGCACGCAGTCTGTATCATCGTTTGGATACCGATGAAAGCCAAAGCCGCAGATGAGCTGGAAAAGCGCTGCGAGGAGTGGAGAAGAGCCAACATGACAGATGTCGAGAGAGAGCTGGCTTCGAGTCTGGGTGAAAGACTTGCCGCCGAGCGTGCAAAACTCTCTCGCCTGCTGTCGCGGTTGCCTTATGTTGATTCTGGCTCTGCTGCTCGTGATGAGCTGGAAGAAGACATTAGCGCGGTAGAAGAGAAGATTGTGATGATGACGGATATGCTGAGGCCTCTGAGACACGGGGCTGCTTCACGAATAGAAGGTCTGACGGATGGCGACACTGGTCTCTGGATACCACGGGCTTATGGCATTCTCGGACGTGATTCATCCTTGACTAGTTTCTGGAAAGAATGGCTTAGAGCAATCACGGTCCCCATGGCCGATGGCGCGGTCATGAGAGTTCCTCCAAGCTCACCACGGGTCGGCATGTGGCAACCATTGGAGCGATATGTCATCAACCTCTGCACCGAGGCCCCTAGTCCAATTTCTTCGAAGACGCAAGTTGAGATTGCGGTCCGAGAGCTGCGGTTGTTTGCTCGCAAGGAAGCGATCAATGAGCTCCCAGGCTCGCGGGATACAGACCTGTACGGGCTTTTCCGAGCGCTGACTATTCCGAATATTATGATCCTATTCGAGTACGTCCTTTCCGAGTCGCGGATCATCCTGCTGTCCTCACATACGTCAATGCTGCATTTAGCGAGCAAAGCTATCGCCGAGCTCATCTGGCCATTGAAATGGGCCGGTGTCTTCATACCTGTACTTCCTGCTCGTCTTGTGCAGGCTCTCGAGGCGCCTTGTCCGTACATTTGTGGTATTGAAAGACGGTATGAGAAAGTAGAGCTGCCGGATGATGACTTCGTGCTTGTTGATCTGGATAACAACGAAATAGAGAGCACAGCGAGGCCTACACCAATGCCGCGGCAACAACGACGGAAGTTGATGTCTCTCCTTCAGTTGGCAGCACCTCATCATAACAAGTTTGGCGTGCCAGTAGGGCCTCCGCCATGTGCAGTTGAGGCCATGCCGTTTGATTCCTTTGCATCAGAAAATCCATCCGTCTTCTCCTCCAATGCCCAGTCGACCTCGCTTGCAAGATTAGTAGGGCTGACATCGACGTCCTTTGGCGCTGCTGCAGCGGCGGAGGGTCCTCGTAAAACATTGATCTTGAACGCTTTTCTGCAAGCGAAAGCAGTATCCAGAGGAAGCGGCACAGGTGAAAGACCACGAACAGCATCAACTTCAAGAAAGAGCAATCCAGACACGCCCAACCAATCACCCATCACTGGGTCGTTTCCACAGTTACCAGCCACGCCGGTCTCCAGGAGCGACTCCGGCTTTGCGTTACAATCGTCTCTACGCGACAAGCGAGGAGCTCATTTCGACGCAGGCTCAAAGGGAAGTGGATCCACGTATCGGCAAGCCAAAAGACAGCCTAGCCTGCCTTTCTTGGGACACTCTTCCAACCCGTCTATTAGTACTCTCAACCCTGAGTTGCATAACCAATCCTCCTATGCCCCATCCACATATGCACAGTCGACCCTTGCTGCTTCAACGATTATGCCCCAGGTGTTGATGCAGCCTGTGCGTAATACAGAGAATACCAGCTGGATCGAAGGTCACTGCTTACAGTGGCACGGCCATGATGACCGTTCAACATGTTCCGTTTGTGACGATAAGGCTGAGGATGGCATTTATCGATGCTCTGGTTGTGGTGTGACTGTTCATGCTCGCTGCGGCTACCAACTCTACATTGTCTGTCCGGTGGCCTTCTACCCAGAGCAGATTCGAGCTGCGTTTGTCCGTTGTTTTGCTAGCCTCTTCTACACCTACAGAAAGTTCATGTTGGCGCCGACACCTGAGCAGAAGAAGAACGGAATGTTCTACCGGTTCGACTTGAACAGCTTTTTGCGAAGTATGCCGTGCGAAAATGCTGACTATATTGCGGTACTTCAGCAGACACAAGGTGAGTAGGGAATGTGCACTCCAAGTATTGCTAGCCACCGCTGATGTTTCTGAACTACCAGCTTTCAATGAATTCATATCGGAGCGCGAATGCACGCCACCCGCACCCACTTCATCATCCTCAACCTCAGTCCACACATCCATCACTCTCTTCGACAGCATCATCCTTTCTAAACGCAACCGCGGCCGCTTGCTCCCTACCACGCGCCAAATCCCCGGCCTCTCCTTCTCGAGCAGGAAAAACCCCTTCTCCTCCCGCTTCTCCACTTCCGTCTTCACTTCCTTCAACCACCACTCCTCTTCGACAACACCACCAGACTTCCTGACCGACACCTCCGACCACCTCTGGCGCTCCGCCTCCGCTTCCACAACCTCCACCGCCAATACGCGCTCCGACTTTGGCGATCCGACCCGGGATTACCGGCAGATTGTGACCAGGGTGCCAGCGAAGCTGGAGGAGAGGTTCATGCGCGAACCGAGAATGATCCAGGGCGTGCCGAGGATCAGCGAGAAGAGCAAGAATGCCGCCCAGGGGGGAAGGAAGCCCTTGCCGCTGGCGCTGAGGGAGAGGATCAACGGGTTGGCGTTGAACGCGCCGGATAGTGTTGGTTCGCCGTTGTTACCTCCGACGCCTCTGTCGGGATCGAGTAGGGGTTGGTGATGGGATTTTGGGTATTTGAGTTCTGGATACGGGCTTCCAAGACGTCTATCTTCTCTTTCTTGTTGCTTTGTGCCGATAGGAAGGCATGAATGGATGCGGAGGGAGAGAGGAGAGGATTGGGCTCCAATTTCTGCATAGCGATCAGGGGGTGTGCTTGCGGCATGGCTTGGCTGCATTTTTATTCCGTGGCGAGCGGTACATTCGGCGAGCGGTACATTCGGCGTTTGGGTCTTGGCGGGTTTTACGTCATACAAATTACTAGTGAATTTGCCCATCAGAACCAATTGAATGAATTGACGTTCCTGTACAAAATCTGCATTGATATTGACGTTGAAGTTACTTCCCAATTAGGAAATGGAAATAGAAAACGTGGTGTTGCAGAGATAGCTCTATCCCTGGGCCCCTCTGCCTGCTCTGCCCTTACCCCTACCCCTGCCCTGCCCTGTACCCCGTTTTGGCACCTTTTCAGCCTCTACTTATGACGAGTCCCATGCCCGATGTTCGGTTTTATCCATGATAAGTGAAGACAAAACTTCGGGAGAGAAAAAAACTTTTCAAGTCGGTCAGTCAGTCAGTCAGTCAGTGAGTCAGTCAGTCAGTCAGTCGGAAAGAAGAAATCTGCTTGAAGTATCGAGTATGTATGTAGTAGGTGAATGGCTCGGTCGAATTCACCAGCCAAGCTATAGCTTCTTCTTCCTCTTTTTCTTCTTCTTTGTCAGGAGTTAGGAAGGACTGACGAACCGATGTGCTGGTGGCGGCGTTGAGGGCGGCAGCGTCGGGGGCCCCAGTAGGAGATCCACGAGGAGGGGTATCAGGGACTCTCTCCACGTCAAAATAGGCTATAGAAGGAGGAGGAGGAGGAGGAGGAGGCGGAGGAGGAGGAGCGAGTACGGGCAAGCTGCGAGAAAGGGAAAGAATGGCTAGTCCTAGCTAAATAGATCCCTATTCCCCTCCCTTTACTTGCTCTCTTTATCTGGAGATGCTGAGAAAATAACCCATCTCACCGAGAATACTTGTCAGTGGCGACCTGGGAGTTCGGACGCTGCGAGTGCCTAGGGGGAAGTTTGTGCGCAAGAAAGGGTAGGGCAAGAAAGGCAAAAGGAGAAGGCTTGGGTGGGAGGGAGGGAGGGAGGTATAGTTAAGAGGAGCGGACGCAACATCCGTGCGGGACCCAGACGGGATCTCTCACCCAAAGGGGGGGAAGAAGATGTGTATGGTAGAAGGAAAAATTCCATTTGACGGAGCCCAGTTTGATGTTGGTGAACAGCTCTATTGTTAATACATCAAATAGATACGCTTGGAGGACACCGGCATAACAGGTAGAAGAAGCTGTCCATGCAAATAAAACCCTGGCAGGGTGCCCCCTATTTCTGTTTCCCATTACTCCCTGACTTAGTTTGAGTCGATCGGACGACTTTTTAGTAATCCGATCCGTGCCTTATCTAAGCCGCCAGGCCTTTCCTGGATTTTGTACATACGCCGCATGAATCTTGTGCCGCATCCTGATCATCATTAAGCAGCCGGACTGGACTCTGTCCCCTGACTTGGTGTAACCGTCTTCCCTTATTCATTCATCCATTGGATCAACCCGACGAGTTGAGTCATGACGACCCTTCCATGACTTCAAATATGCCACCCATAACAAAAGGTTGTCTCTGCTCCATCTCCTCCTCATCTGTCACTCCATCGAACATACTGCTACTGCCTGACATGGCAACGGCGACGGGGATGACGGGTCGAGGTTCCATCAACCCAAGTCCCAGACCCACACTTTTGACGTGGTGGGATAGTGACTCCTCTTCAAGGAGGGCAAGGTCGGTAGCGGAGGGTCGTCGGCTCAACAGCACGGGACTGTTGGTGTATGAGCGCATGGAGCGTGGGGAGCGGGATCGTGTTCGTGTGGTGTTCCGGGTTCTGGAGCGGGTAAAGGCGGCGCCTCGAAAGGATGCTTGAGGAGAGCCCGAGGCGGATGTGGTGGTCGAGCAGTCTGTAGAGTCGGCTGAGGATTGATTGATGTGCACTCTTTTGGGATGGTTCAAACTGGTTGTGAGTGAGAGCCGGAGCGCCGTGAATGGGGAGGGGAATGGCGCCGGAACTTTGCTCATTGTGGTAGATGCCATTGTTGATGATGATGCTAATTCTTCGATTGTAGTATCAAGACCTTCGAAGTAGTGGATGAGATCTGGTACTGCTTTGGTGAAAGAGTCGAGCGGGAGAGGAGGGAGAAGCATGGAGTTGCTTTTGTTGACCATGTTATGCATTATGGATAAGGATGCTTCTGACGGCCAGTTAAGGCTTGAAGCAGATGTTGTTTGGTAGTGAGTAGAACGCAGTGGTGTCTGCCAGATCCAGTCCGGTTTCGAAACCGTGTAGGGTTTGCTGCTGTGGGAGGATCTACCCTTTATGATTGTGAGACAGCAGATGAAAGAGGAATTATTAGGGCCCCAAACACATAAAGGAAAGAATGGAGATCCCTCGACAAGGAAGGGAATGCTTCTAGTTGTTGAATGAATGAATGAATGTATGAATGCCAGATATGAGTAGATAAAAAGAATGGATGTGTGAGAAGGGAGGAGTAGGGAGTGACAGGAGGAGGGCTAGCCAGCTTCAAGAGTGCAGCACCGTCCAGGAGTGATACGCGGAGGGCTTGATTTGTACGACCTAGCCCGACGACAATGTGGCGGCAATGTGAGTTGTACCGTGGTCCATCATACTCGTAGACTGCGACACGCTTCTCCTTTGAGAATGATGCCGGTGGAGATGATGCAGGTGGCAAGGATTCTGGATGATCTGGTGTTGGATATTCTTGTTCCGTATTGTCGTAGCTTGCTAGCTGCAGATATCCGATGACGACGGGGGGCTCGGCAGGGGTCAGGAGGACAAATCGCCCAGTAACAGCCCAGTAACAGCCCAGTAACAGCCCAGTAACAGTCGTGTCAACAGTCCCGTTAAATGTCTCCAATTTAGTGCCCCTGTTAGCCTCTTGAACTTGCACACCAGACGCGTTAAGAAACACAGACACCCTACCCAAGTCATCCTGTGGTGCTCCCCATCGCCTGCCCCCCTTTCGCGTAATAGGGGATACAGGACAGCCTGTTTCAGAAACCACCCATTCCACACCAAGACTGGTTCAGATGCCCAACATTAAATGCTGCAGGTCTACCGTAATGAATTAATGGTCGCCAGTGACCCCTCGCCATTTTCAGCTCCTCCTTGTGATACAGGAGGAACCTCCATGCCCAGGATCGAGGATCTACTACGTAATGCTCCGGACATACACAGCACAGGCCTTTCATGTGTCTCGTTGGACAGGTGACAGCACAGCCAGAGACAAACCTGGCCTCAGTTCTCTGAGATCAGATGCTTCAGGGTTCATGTAGCACAGGCGGTTTCACATCGCCTTGCCTCGTAAACCATGGTTATGGGAATGCAGACATGGGATCTTGCATTCTCTCGATCCACTTATACCACGATTACATTTTATATGCTAACAAAATGTGCACGTGTGACTTCTGCCACAAGGAGGCTCGCTGAACAACATCTCTGCACCACGTACGAGTCCACCCAATGGTAGAGCTTTGTATCACAAGCGACCTGATACGAGATCCTGCACAGCGTTGCTCTTCTCCTTCTGCCTCAATTACTTTGTCTATGGTATGGTATGGTGTAGTATGGTACAGCGCAAAAATCCACCGTGTAGTTAGCCATCTCCTCCCAATTCGCCGCCCAGATGCACCATGAAACTGCTGCCACTTCTCCACCCTGGAATCCAGGGCACCTCGTGTACAGGACGGTCGAACTGCAATGTGCAGAGAAACGAAAAGGAAGACCAAAACATATCACACATCAAAGACTGACCGTTGTTTTCTCCATCGCACCCTTACTCCATTGACGCCACCTGCATTGAAAGAATTCTCACCGACGCCTTCTCCGGAAGCGGGTGACGTGTCGCGTTACTCCTGGCTATTCTCTCCATCCGAAACCGCCTGTGAAAAGGTTCCATGATCATCGCGTGCACTTCATTGCTTGCTACTGTTGCATTAGGACTGAGATGTAGAATTTGGTCTTCTCATTGTAAAACTCCTCCTGATACTTTCACCCCAAGCTGAGTTGTCCAAACTAGCCAACACACCACGCGCGCTGACAGAACTTCCTTGCCGGGAATGTCGAGGTGAATGGCTGGGCGAGTGACTGGGGGAGAGGCGCCCTGGTGACTCTGAGCGGGGCCCATTTCCTGCTCCTTGATAAGATGTGTCCACGCCGTGTAATTGCTGGGATGCTAGAGGAGGGCCTGCAGTGGGCGAAGGATCCAACCGCGTTGGTGAATTGCTTCTGGAGTCTCTTCTGCGAAGCGACGTATCCATCGAGGACACTCTGCCAGCATCATAGCCACTCGATAAGGATGCTCGGTCTGCTCGGTCTGCTCCCTGCACTGGTGTCGCAGGAGCTGTCTCGGTGAAGTCCCTGGGCAATGTCCCTTCGCTGCGGCCGATTTCGTCATCGGGATGATCCACAAATATCTCGGGTACAGATATTTGAGGAGGCGCGCCCATCCGTGAAGCTCCTCGAGCAGATCTTTCCCTCCGAAACCAGCGAGACCAGTAGATAGTATCGATGAACCCAACAACAGTATTGCGACGTACTGCTTCTTCTACTCTTTGCAGTTGAGCGCGACGCCGAAGAAACTCTTCTAACCTGATATCTCATCAAGAAGTGGTCTTCATAAGTGGGCGAGAGGCTTACCTTAGACTCTTGGTATCATTGATGACGTTGTAATGAGCGATGATCATCAGAAGCGAGGTGAAGGGAATCCCACGCTCGGGATCAGCAGATACCAGGATTTCCTGGTAGAAGATATTCATACGTGCCCGTCGCTGCCGAATTTCATTGACCGGGATTGTGCTGAGACGTGCATTTAGCATATTGAGGTCGACACCTTCAACAGCTTTGCCAGATTGGATGGAGGATCGTGGAAAGTCCCTAGATTGAATCCGACAGTCTTCGAGAATGCTTCGAACCGAGTGTTCGCCATCATAGATTCCCATCTGGAAGACACCAGAGAGCTCCTATTCCTCGTTAGCCATCATCCTGAACCACAAGTTCGAGTACATACCCTCAGCAACTTTGGGAAAAGATCCTTGGAGATATAACCTGTGCCGTTTGGATCAAATTCAGCCCACGCCTGCTTGAATCTTCGAATCTCCTCACGGGAGATCACTGAAAGGCCACTGCTACGCTGGTACACATAGGAAAAACTTTCGAATATCAAGGAGACGAACAGTGACACAAAGATGTACATGCTGATGATGTTCCAGGAGATGAAAAGCGTTCGAGCCCACACCGCACTACCGCAGTCGCTGTTGAAGAAGCTTTCATCGGCCACGCAGTATGGCGGCTTGATCCCGGCATAATCCTCCATGATCTGGTTCCAGCCTTCGCCGCAGCTCATTCGGAACAACAGGATCAACGCTCTCGGCACATCCCGGAAATTCAAATTGCCATTTTCATTGGCGCCGAACCGTGTCAGGCCCAGCGTCTGGGTGAAGGCAATAGCATAAACGAGGAATAAAACGAACCAGGTAGCCAAGAGGTTACCAATCTTGGTGAAAGAAGCAGCTGCAGTCTTGAAGAGCTGGTCGAGCTGGTTATTCCGAGGTATGAGAAGAAAAGCAATTGAGACGAGAAAGAGTTTTTGTAGTTGATCGAATGTTCTGTTGCTGTAGCTTGCAAGGGTCATCACCGTGGTGAGAAAGACGCCAGAGACGGTGACGATGGAATACAGATCCCAGGAACTGCGTCGGAAGCGTTCCCATGAAAGTCCAATAATGCGGATCACTATGTTGACAATGTAGACACCCGTGAATCCCAAGAAAAGAGAATCTCGTAGCTTGTCCCACCAGCCCACAGACGGATAGAACTCGATGACCAACAAGACTAGATGTAGAAGTAAGACACCAGTGATAGATCGTTGCCACATGCCGTGCTTCTGTATTGCCATGCGATAGCACCACTTTTGCCATGCCCGGCTCGTCTTGCCGAGTGAGCGCTTGGCTGGGGAGATCTGGCGGAGCAGCTTCCTCAATTCCAGCCAGGACCTCTGATCTGCCGTCAGAAAGGCAACTCCAGTCTGTTCTGTGTGATTGCGCATGAACACAGACACAAACAGAGTGAGCACGAAGACAGCGCCGAGCAGGTTGAAGATTATGAAGAAGACCGCATTCCCTTGGGCAGCAAACGGCTTGGGTTGGATGCCTTTCCCGGTCATGCTCATAGCACTCCACATGACATCCGTCCACCCTTCCTGGGACACAATCTGGAAGAGTATGAAAAGCGAGTTGCCGAAGTTGTCGAAGCTGTAAAATGAATTCGAGACTTGTCTTGGAGCGAGCACCGGCCAGTTGTACGGAGCCGATTGGTATTCACCCACACAGTTCGATAGCTCTGGGTGTCCAAAGTTGCTATCATTACAAGACTCCATCTGACCATTGAAGAGATTGAGCCCGAGGATAGCGAAAGGTATCAACAGACTGATAGACACAAACGCGGCGGATATGACCTTCCAACCACCGAGGATGATGACAGAGTAAAATGTGTCTCGAGCACTGTCGCTTACATTCAGCAGTCGTAATGCTCGAAGAGCTTTGAATGCTCCAACAGCTCTTGATACGCCGTCATCCCGGTAGAGTGAGGTGATGACATTGATCCATAGAGTGACGAGAACGATTCCATCGATGAAGCCCCACGTGCCCCGGAAATAGGCATTCGGGGTGAAGAAGAGCCCGTCTGCAATAACTTTGATGGCTGCCTCCAAGGTAAAAAAGATCGCAAAACCCATATCAGTCCAGATAAACCAAGTGCGAAAATTGAGTGCATATCTTTCGAAGTACTCTCGTTGGTATAAAGGAGTAGTGAGACACGCCAGCAGCACCATAGCCACAATCGCAAGGTATATAAAGGCTGAGAATGAGTACCACACCGGTTTGTAAGGATCGACCCCTTCTATTCTTTGATCACCTCTTCCAGGACCAACGATTTTCTGGCAAAACCGACGGACGGGGTTATTTGGCCCAAACATGAACAGAGACACATTATACCTAGGATGGCGTGCCAAGTACTGACGCTGCGCTCTTCTTCTCTGCTCGGCAGCTGACAAGACTTCCTTAGCCATCGCTTGGGGATCTAGGTCTTCATAAGCACGCGAAAATTTCATTTTTGAGTAGAAGGGATTCTGCTCCCGATGAGTATTCAGGCCGGTGATTTTGCCCCAGAGAGCGGATAGTACCCCAGTATCCACGGTGGCGATAGGCAGAGTGGGTGTGGGTAAGTCGGTTTGACGTCGAATCGGGGTCTCATCTTGCTCCTCAAGGAATTCTTTAACGACCGCTTCCTTCAAAAGCATCTCCATTGATGCCGGGCCATAGTCCAATGGATCTCTTCGTCGCAACGAGTCTCTGCCAACCTTGAGTATTGATGCGAGCGACAAATTACTGTGAGAGGATCCGCTTAGCTGTTTCTGCTGCAGGAATGACTTGACCTGCTGAAGTCGTTTCTCATCTTCCGAAACCTCAAAACTTTCCTGGATCACAGCAATGAACATATTCAGAACAATGAAATTTGCTAGGATAAACCACATAATGAAGAATATTGCTGCTAACCATGCGGTATTGAACTGCACATCAAACTGTGTTGCGTTGTACATGGGGCTGGTCCAGTTCTCGCTTGACAGGACTTGATACATTCCAATGAAGGAGTTGTAAATGTTGAAGAACGTAATTCGAACGGTAGCTCCAGTTCTATCTTGTTCCGGAAATTCTCCACGGAAGAGCTGGGACGCGAGAATGGCCGTGAGGAAAGTGATCAGGAACACAAAGACAATGAGGTTCAAGAGACCACCAATATTACCAAAGACAACTAATATGAGGTCCCGAGTCACGCTAAAGGCCAAGACGACTCGATAGATCCTGGCCACTTGAAATGCACTCAGCCAAGCATATGCCTGACCAGAATTCCGAATAGGAGGAAGTTGGATGATGGATGTCACAACAGCCAGGATTAAATCAGCCCAGTTACGCCTGCTGTAGAAGAAATGTCTCCAGTCACTTGCAAATCTCAGAACGATTTCCAAAAGGAGTGCTAGAGTCACGACGGTTTCTGTGTTATCAACGAGCTTTCGTCTGTCGTCGCCCATGCTAGAACTTCTAAGACACTGGCCCACCAGTCCAAGGACGATGACGGCGATCCAGAACCAGAACGTCTTGTCGTACAACCTGCTCAGTGGAGTTTTACGTTTGGTTACTGCTTCATCAGTGACAGTCTCCTCTATACGTTCTGTTGTAAACGCGCTTCTCTGGCTCTCTTCTCTGATGATTTGAAACGAGGAGGTGATGACAGCAACTAGCAAATTCATCAGCCATAAGCTCATTATGACGATCGCTGCGGCAAAGAAGAGCGCTGCCGCAAGGTAATCTGTATCTGTGAGGTAGTAGAGAAGGTCTGAGAACGTATTCGAGCTCATAACCACGAACACCAGTTGGAGCGAATTTGCCGCGTTGTCGAAGCTGAGTGTCCCATTGTAAGGATTACCACCCTCCACACATAGAGAGCCCTGCGGACAAAGATAGCCTTTATGCTTTGCCGTGCCATTTCGTCCATCGGCCGTTCTCCAAGGCATGGCCTCGCCAGTCCTTGCGTCTAAATGACCACCACAAAACTGTATACTTTGAGGGGCTATGTTCTGCGGGTAATCGGGAAGACCATTCTGCCCTACCCATACACACGTCCGCCGTAAACTTGATTTGAAACTTTGTACACCAACGATGGCGAACAGCAGCCAGAAGAAGCCAATCAGGAAGGCGACATTGACGAGTAACGGAGCAGCTTTCTTCAGGCTTCGTAGTATTACTGATGTTCCAGATGTCAGGCCCAGCAAGCGTAGAATACGCGTGGCGCTCAACATACGGAAAACATAAAGGTGCTTCTCGGATTCGACTTGTGAGATAGCCAGCGCGAAGGAAATCCAGAAGGAGACGACGGCAATGAAGTCCAGTCGATTGAAAGAATGGCGAAGAAACGCTCGTTTAGCGAGCCTAATTCGTTGCTGTTGTCTGCCATGCCCAGGCACGTCAATGTTCGGCTGTAAGCCGGTGAATGAGCGGATGATGGATGGCTGATCAGGCACGGTAGCTGCATTTCTGGTTGATCGCTGCCGCTGAGGCGCGAAAAGGTTTCGTCCTTGATTGAGAATGGCTTTCCTCAGTCCAAGAGACCGATCAAGAGTACTATACTCTGTCGGATTCAGGATGAAGCCTGAGACAATGGTACGAGCAATGATCTCAAGTGTGTAAATAACAAACAACACAAACAATGCATAGTCTGTCCTTGAAGAGCCCCATCTTTTAGATCGAGGGTCAACGTAAACGGACTGGGCTGAGTCAAGAGCCAACAGAACTGTTTGTACCACAATAAGAATAAGGATCAGGGGCTCCGTTACTGGATGAACAAGCATTTCGCAGAGTCCCTTGCGTAACTTATTTTCTGCACCAAACACGCCCAGTGATTTTCCCCTAAGCGGATTTAGGAGAATGAAGGGGTTATGACTGTCGTGATCGTCTGCGACCGACGGGAGCTTTTCGACAGGACTCGACGGATCTACTTCTCCTCCAAACGGATCGCCGTGTTCGTCGTTCACCATTGCTGGAAGAGATGGTGGGCCATCCATTCTTGACGATCCGACCGACGATTTCCGTCTGATACTCTGCTCAACGACTTCTGCGTCGTTACTCAGGTTGACAACTCTTTGCGACATCATTCGTAGTATCGAATTAGCCCTTGCTATGGGAGAGATTGAAGCAGACGGCGATTGTGATCTCGATCTTTCGCGACCCGACACGGACGTGAGCCTGCCGATTCCGTTTGTAGTGCTCTCCATCCTGCGCAAACCCTGTCCTTCTTCTACGTTGGGAAGGTCGTCCCCAAGTCTGGAACCTGGTGATCTTTGGGGGATTGGTCCTACAACCTCGGCATCGGTCCAGTGCACGCTTTGTCTTTTGCTTTCCAGCTTTCCTTGCCTGTCATGTCTCTGTCCATTCGGAGTATTTGTGCCGGGTCTTAGAGCTGGATGTAGATATGGCCCGCTGGTCAAAGGTACTGTGTCTGCATCGCCTGGCGGCAGCTGATCTTCAGACTCAAGGCTTGGATGCCGTCCCGCTTGAAGGTAGAAGTCATTAGAAGTTGTGACATTTATAGCTGGTCCAATTGGCTCGTTGTCTGTGCTTCTAGGAGAAAAGTCTGATGGCTCCCGCGCTCCAAAGCTTAAACCTATTGAGCTGGTAGCGGCTGCAAAGGTAGGCAGATCATCCACCGGAGAATGCGCCTCTTGGTTCGATACAAATGGTGATATTTGAAGTCTAGATGTGGCAGATTGTGGATTGTCGGCTTCCGACCTAGATGGCGGGCTGGGAGAACCCTCTTGCAACCGTTCGTATCTGGCTCCTTGTATCCTTCCGAAAACACTCGTCCGAGGACTGCGCAAACTCGTCCGCCCACCACTTCTTGGGCTCTGCCTATCGTCATCATCTGGAGGTCGAGGTAAGTCTTGCAGGGGTATTGATTGTGGAGAGGGAAACTTCGGAGGGCTGCGATCCTTGGATGCCATATTGAATGGCGTCCGTGCCGTTATATTCACATGTTCGGACGCTGAATGGGATCCATCTGTGTAGGATTATGCGAGGCGTCTAGGATAGGATCTCAGGCGCAAAGATGAATTCTACTGGGTTGTGTCTCCCGAATTGGTTCGCGGCATCCGGTCCCAGAGATTGTACTTCTTCAACGAACCGCAGTCAGCAACCTCTATACCTAGTATAAAATACAAGCACTCACAATTGGTGATGACGATTAGTGGAATGCGCTCAAGGTTCGAATGCTTTGCCTATTCTGCACTTGAGACACCCGTGGTGGAGCACCATTGTACAACTTGACGCGTAGTGATAGGCTTGGCATAATGGGGGGGACTTAGTACTAGTAGGGGGGCCAGAAGTAATGTTAGTCTGGTGCTAAGAACAGCTAGTTCTTCTCACAACAACGTAGTGTTATGATTCGCCACTTTAGAGCTTGTTCTGTGTGCATCCATTCTGGTGAGTCAAATCATAACATCTAACTTCTTTTGAGCGTAGCTGTTCTGTACAGAGAATGTTTACAAGTAAAGATACTAGCGCTGAGCTAACATCTACATAGTACTTCAGGGCCCCCCATCAAACTAGTCTGGCGGTGATCAACAGCTAACTTAATTCAGTACATTACTACGCGTATTCAGGCCCCTCAACTGAGTCCAAGTGTCCATCAGAGTAGAATAGACATAAAAATAACTCCGCCAAACGGAAGATGCCTAAGGTTTGGAAGCGATTCTTGAGTAGCATATGCCCAGTCACTATGGAGTACCTAGAGATTCAGTACTGCGTACTGGGCCGCGGCTCAATAATGGCGGAGTGCGGATTAAACCTCTATAACCGTTTCCTCTTCCTAATGATATCCATTGCACCTATCTTTAGGAGTACTGAGGATACCTTTGGATTGCTATCGCTCAACTACGTACAGTAAATTTGGCATTTAGTCTCTGTCCATCTTATTTTTGGCCTGAGAATTGCTTTTGACGTGCTCTTTTACACCGTTGAGGAACGCTTCTACAGCGTCACCTCCGCCCAGTGGCACTCCTCCCCGTCTCATGAAGCCTCCATTAGTGACAGGAATACTGAGCGCCTCGCTTATGCTTGGTAGTCCCCCATCTCGCAATGCTACGGTCAGGCTAGACAGGCTCTGTGAGAATTGCGGAGACCGCAGAACTCGGCGGAGAATATCCTTCTTCTGCTCTAAGCCAATAGCCTGTTTGGCAGCATCTGCTGATGATGCATCAGTGCTAACGGCGGCTGCATCATCAATTTCCTGAGCCAGAGCCAATAGAGTGGATGGAAGGAAGTCCAAGAATTTATCAATAACTCTTTCATCTGCCGAGTCGATCAGAGGAATGGTGGATGCAGGCGTGAGGAGATCGGCTAGCGTCGTGAAGAGATTTCCTTGAGGATTCGATTGACCTGCATTGGTGCCTTCCATTGACTTCAAGAAGTTCTGGATGATTGATGATGCATCTGTGGAACCCGTCGTTGCGCTATACCAAAGCGTTAGCCAGCATTCCTCTGATATGGTGATGCGAAAAGCATCATGAGAGCAGTACCTACGCTCTCCCACCATCAGCGCCACCTTCTCTGGCCTCCTGGCCTTCCTCTCTTACATCGCCACCTGTGGCATCGGGGCCAGCGCCTCCGCTTCCTCCCCGATGATGATCTGCGTCGTGATTTTGGCCCTCCACATCTTCCATGGTGGCATCATCATCATCCCTATCAGGTCCATTCCGATCGTTCGGTAGATTGGCGATGGCCTGTTGGACATCGATGTCTTCACCTTGCAATAGTGTATTGACAATCTGGCCCAACTTCAAATCTCGAGCACTAAACCAAGCTGGGTCACTAGACTCATGCTGACTTCTGGACTGTAACCAAAACAGGTGCCGCTGAGAGCTGGAAGTGAATTTGAGAACGTAGATTCTGCCATTGGTAGGTTTGTTCGGGTTTGAAGGCGTCTGAGAACTGGTCGCTTTATAGGGAGTAAAGGATGCGTCACCAGGAATCATAACAAGTTTCAACCCTGGATTGTCCAATGAAGCAGATCTCTGCCGCCAGCAGAAATACACAAGGTCATCTTCGGAATATAGGTAAATGTAGCCTGGTTCAGGGAGGGCTTTGACCCGCGGTGGATCCGTTGCAGTCTATAAAATGAAGATCATTAGCAATGTCACGGGTAGTCGTCTTGGAGGAGAGCATGACTGGCACACAAGGAGCAAGAAGCTTACGTTTAGATCACAAAGGCCTGCCTTGAAAGTGATTATAGGTGAGATAGACATGATATGGTAGGGGCGACAGGTTGTCTGCAGCACGATCGGATAGAGGCAGCTTGGTCTATTGCAACAATGAAACAAAAGGCTCTGAAGTATACATAACCTACGGAGTATTCGTTGCTGCGCTGCTGCACTTGATTTCTCGTAGCCTGTAAGCTAAAGCTTACCTAAAGTTTACTACCCGGACTGCTGTGCAGTTCGCCGAGCACGCACTAAATCAATTTCGCTTTAGCTCAAGGCGGGCTTGGCTTAGGGCTTCGCTTCCCACACGCAGCTATCGCATCACTCTATCCGAGATAGAAGACCTCCACAACAATTTACCAGCACTACCTACCATAAATCCCGGGGCTTCTGTCGCTTTCTCCCTACCTCTTCGTCTTGCACCACAATGTCGGCGGCTTTGGAGGCAAATTCACAGCACCAAGCTCAGACGAAGAAATTCGGGAAGCAAGAACGAACAGTACCGCACCACTCGCAGAAGGCCAGCAAGTGGTACCCTGCAGAAGATCAGAAGCAGCCGAAAAAGGTGAGCATACTTTGATCTAATGGATAGCTTTTGGGAGCAAGCTTTGCTCTGGCAAAATTTCCCTCCATAACATTCACAACAGGGCCTCGTTGTCTTCCTGAGTCATATCTGTGCTTGAGCTTAGCATTAACGTATATACTTGCCAGGCCCGAAAGTCGATTCATCCCGCAAGACCCCGTCCCTCCCTCCAACCTGGCACAGTTGTCATCCTTCTTGCTGGCCGCTTTCGAGGCAAACGCGTCATCCTCCTCAAACACCTTTCAGAAGGCACTCTGCTCATCACAGGCCCATTTAAAATCAATGGTGTGCCTCTAAGGAGAGTGAATGCCAGATATGTTATCGCAACCAACACCAAGGTAGACCTCAAGGGTGTGGACGACAAGACGTTAGAGAAGATCTCAGAGCCCAACTACTTCACAAAAGAGAAGAAGTCAGAAAAGGCGAAGACAGAGGAGGCATTCTTCAAACAAGGGGAGAAACCAGAAGTAGGATTCTGGCATAATGGCTGCTGAGCTTCTTGCTGATTTGCTCAACAGAAGAAGAAACCTACGAGTGCCCGGGCGGCAGACCAAAAGACGATTGACAAACCTCTTTTATCCAACATCAAGAACGAAAAATTCTTAGCCAGTTACCTCGCTAGCAGCTGGAGCCTGCAAAAGGGAGACAGACCGCATGAGATGAAGTTCTAGGCAGTTGGTAGGATAGAGATGCAAGGCATTGCAGTGTGGGAGCTTGGAGGACGATGCGATCCAAGCGGGCAGGCGATGAGGAGGGTTTGCAGTTGGTTTGTGAAGAGCAGTTTAAAAGATTGCTCCGGCTGGATGTTGTTGAGAAGGCCCTCCAACGTGAAGAGAGCCAGCCAAAGGGCTAACTCATCAGGAGCTCTGCATAATATTGCACTCGGCTAATACACTCACGAATCTTCCGATGTTCGGCACATTTGAATAACGAACAAAATCATTCATGATGCAAATTGACATGACTGGGTACCTGGAACGTCAAAACCCAAGCAGCAAAAAGCTTCCAAGTCGCATGGACAAAAGCTCAATCTCAGCACACCCTCCCTGCGAACCATAACTGAGCAGCCTAAGTCTCCCTTCTCCGCCTCGTTCGAGCCTTCAGCTGTCCACCCTTCCTCTTTGCCTTCTCAACAGCCATGTCCACTTTTCCTTCCATATCATGCTTCTCCGCTTCGGCCCTCAAATCATCAATCACATCTTCTCCCACCGTCGTCCCGCAGACCCAATCAATGATCCCCCAAGGCCCGAAGTTTCCTTCCCCACCACTAACCACATGCGCGTCTGCTCTGCGCGCAATCCCACCAAGAATAAAATTTGTAGGCACGGTCGAGTATCCGGAGTTCACGAATGTTTCTTCCAGGCTGACTAGGCTCAAGAATATGATATAAGTCAATAGATGAAAGCGGAAAAGTAGCGCAGGTCCGAAAGTTGGTAAAAAGTTCCGGAAAATGTAAGCGATCGGATGATCGTAAGAGGCCGACATCGGGAAAGGTGCTGCTATTGAATGATACCAACCCTCGTGGTACTGCGTAACTGGTGACCGTGCATCGTGCAGCGCGTAACGATGCAGCACGTATCCAAATATCTCCCTGAACACCCACCCCCTAAGTAGATCCATAAAGATGCCCCACGGCATTGGTAGACTTGTGGTAACCTTCAGCGCGCTTTTTGTCCCAAGAAAACGCGTCAGCAGTACCTCGACACCCGCCTGAAGCAAGACACCTTGGAACAGGTTCGCCAACGACCATAGCACCCTCTTGCCCACCATGATAGATCTTTCGCGCTTTGCATTCTTGAGGGGCAAACCTGTGGAGCCCATGGCTTTTCGACCCTCGGCTGCGCCGGGAAGTAGCGCGTCGAAGAGGAGGAAGAATGCGCTCGGAACGATGTAGAAGAGGATCCTGACAGCGAGCGTTGCGACGATCTCGAGACGCAGTGGAGGATGCGAGAGCACCAGAGTGGACCAGGTGAGGTAGAAGAAGAGCAGATTGAGCGAGGTGGAGTATGATGTCATAGTTGGGATGAGCAGGAAAGAGAGGAAAGGTAGGGAGAGGAGAGCATCCATTGCTGCGCGGAGTGATATGTAGGTCGCACTGAGTGGCGATGTGAGAGTGTTGTAGGCCGTTGAGAGAATTGAGGGTGGGGTCTGACAGGTTGAGGGAGTAAGAGCCGCGGGGAGGACTTTGGATAGGGTACACGGAAGGTAATGTAGGGGATTGAGGCTGTACATTGGAATTGCTAGATGCTCAAGTTGCGGCTATACATATAAGAATGAATGTGCGTCGAAAGCGCGTAAAGATTGAAGGACAGTTCATCTGCTCAAGCAAGTTTGTTTGGCGCTCGAGAAATGATAATTTGGTTGATGGCTGGGAGCATGGAAGCCACAAGGCTGAAGATGCGGAGTTCCTTGGCACCCTGCTTGACAAGATCTTGGCGTTCGCTGCCAACTTGAATACTGATTCATGTGCTGACCTGTGGCCCAGGATTGCAAATGCTTCAAGCGAGTCCACAGGGGGCAATCGATGCCATCCTTGATCATATAGTAACGACTGGCATCCTCAGGCGGAGGCTGGGTACAGGATTGAACCAAGACAAAGATGATTGATTCATGGCTCTAATAACCAGGAATCACTGCAGTTTGTCGGCGCTGGGCACCGGTACCCAAACCGGGTAAACCTCGCTACCTCTCTGGCGATGTCGAAAAGTAGTCGACACTTGATGAATGCTTCGGCTGCAGAAAACTCACTTCAGAACCGAGCAGTTGCGCACTGCTGTTTCCGTGACCTGCCTGCTCTTTTCCGCTCTTGTGCGGATCAGGAATGGTGAGACCCAATCCTGTAGCCTTCACTGTGGCGGGGGCTTCTGAGCTCTCCATTTCTCGAAAGCCAACAGATTCAATGACCCTTCTAAGTGCATATCCCATAGGGTCAAAAGCCATCAAGAATTGAGCAAGATCTGAGCAGAGCTCCCAATCGTCCTTCTCTCGAGCAAGAGCCATGAGCCGAATAACGTAAGCTTCCACGTCCTCCTCGCTACGCCGGGCTTCGCCGTGGTCTTCTTCAAAGCTTTGTAGTACTATCAAGTAGCCGGTCGCGGTCCTCAGATCGTCAAGCTGAAGCGCCTGTTCGAAAAGCACGGCAGGTGGCGGAAGATGCGCTAGAAGTACTGGCCAAGAGGTAAACTCGGTCTTGCGTATGCATTGAACGATCGTGGAGAGATATGACGACTCTGAAAGTGAGCCGTACAAGAGCGATAGCACCGCAGGGAGAGTGGACTTGCTTTTATCTGCACCTCCACTGTAAAAATCTGCTTCTTCATCCAGGACATTATGGAGCAAAACTTCGAGTGCGTAAGCAAAATATGACAAATACTCGTATTGTCGAGCTAGAGCGATGGCAGCAGGCGCATTCCGCTCGGCTGAGATGTGGTGCTGTAGGAGGTAAGGGATAAAGAGGTGAGTTCGAATGGCTGTTCGGAACTGCGCAAATGGCAAATCACGTCTTTGAATAAGGTCAGACTCGATTCCCAGTACAATGCCTTTGTTGAGAAGGATAGACAGAGGATAGAAATCTACCGGCACAGAGAGAAGTGAAACAGAATCCGCTATTGACCCTTCGATAGCCATTCGGAGGACATCACGGACGTCGCTCCACATATTCAGGTCGCTTCCGCTAAATGTCCATAGGGAGTCTCTCAGCGTGTGATGTTGTCCAATACGGTTCAAGCCGTGCCCCGAAGACGGTGTGGGTGGAATAGACTCATCTCCAGTGTTTGCGAAGTTGAAAAACAGCTGATCACGCATCAAAATATAGAACTCGATGTGGTGTGCAATGACCCGCATGTTGTACCGCAGGCCTCCATCATCCGCCCGAGATGGCTGCAGGAGGACAAGTTTATCATCCACCAGAAACAGAACTGCAGCCAGCGCCACATCCTGCGATGGGTCTCCGTCTCGAAGCTGGTTTTCTGGAAGGACCCAGCTGACTGATCGTACACGAGTTGGTGCTCGAACTACGCCATGGAAAGCGATCTGCCCGACTTGGACCAGATTCATTCCCAGCGATGTGAAGCTTATCACGAAGTGATAAAGGACATTCTCAGACGTATACACTAGCAGGGAGTCCTCTCCGGAGGGGCCGAGAAAAACCACTGATGCAGGTAGTATTTCGAGATGGAGTACGCTGGACTGTCGCAATTGGGCATCCCGAGAATATGCACGTAGCTCATATGAGCTGTCAGATTCCGTAGCTGCAATAAGAATGTGGTTGAACCAACACATTCCACCTCTGACCGCGAAAGACTTTTCTTCATTAGAATCGGCAAAGGTCTTCCATCTGCCACTTTGCACGCTGTAATGCGCCAAACCTCTTCGACCTGCTATCGCTGCATAGCAACCATCCTGCGATATCACTGAGCATCTGATGGGACCATGACTTTGATAGTATGCTGCTGGATACTGTGCGTGATGCCACAGCGATGGCTGGCCAGATATCGAAGTCAGATCCGGCAAATCATGACCTCGGTACATGATTAATTCTGTAGGGGTTTGAAATAGAGCTCGCATCAAGTTTGCGCACGAGAAGCAACCGGCAGCAGCACTTCGTGAAAACTCGAGTCTCCAGATTCGATGGTCACCCGGAGAGGTGAGGAGGAGTTCGGATCCTCCGGCAGTCCAATTGGCAGTCGAGATACCAGCAAGCCATCTCTCATTGCTCGACCCAGATTGAGTATGGTTCGCGGTAAAGCTTGACACGCCCGGTTTACCAAAAACACTCCACGTTGCCCACCCTTTTTCATATCCTACAAACAGGCAATAACCATCCGGCGAATAAGTAAGACAAGTCAGCCTTCCAGTAGAAACGAGAGAACCGACTGCGCCAATCCGGTGAGAAAGGAAGACATTGCCTGCGTAGTCTCTCAATCCATATATACATAGTTCGCCATTGTGGCAGCCTACCGCGAGCAAAGAGAATTTCGCATTCACCGCCACTACTCTTGCAAATAGATTCTCATTGTCAGGGTCATGGAAACAGTGTCCAGTAAACATTTTTGAATTTCGGGGTTGTAATTTGTCTGACTCGCTTGATTCGGCCGACGATTCTTGCTTCAATGTCGCCTGGTTTTGGCGTTGAACGGCGTAAGCTTTCCCATCGTAAGCGCCCCAGACAGACAGATGCATGGCTCTGTTATGCACCATCTGTACAACAACACTCTTCGTGTGCATCCAGTCCATCTTACTTATCAATTCCGCAGTCGTCTGGGGACCATTCTCATCAAGGCTCCATTTAATACACTGTACTGCTGGAGGCTTCGCAGTAGCTATCAGTAAATCATTTGGGAAAGCTAGCACCGCACTGATCCCCGCATCAATTTTGACAGCTCTTCTCAGTTGAACAATGATCTCTCGGAGGCCAATAGCATCTTCGGCCCTAAAGTTCTGCATTAAACTTTGCCTGCGAGCTTGGCTTTGATCAAAGTGTTGTTGATAGACTCGGGCACTCTGGTCGACCTCAATGGAATAGATGAGAAGGTATCCATGCGAAGTCTGGACCATTGCAACACCACAGTCCGGTCGAAGGTGAATGGACTGATTGGTCCCATACTTGTCTAGCGAAGAGATTGATCGAACGGCTGCTGCAAGAACGACCGTAGGTCGGTTTTGCCAAAATGTAAGGGTAGACAATGTTATGGTCGCAAATAGATGATCAGTGGCAGCAACACAAAGTCCAATAATCTCTGAAGAAATCACGGTATCGCGATTGATGCTTTCCCGTTGATACTCCTTTCCTAGCTCCCTTTTAAGGCTTTGCGGCGATTGTGGCTGGCGGACTTCGTCATCTCCCTCTTCTTCTTCCTCTTTCGTAGCACTTGACTGTCGTGAACCGTGGTATGTATATACCCGTGGTACACCACACGGCCAGTACATCGTTACAGCACACTGGCTGATATTGAAACCCGACCATCTTCAGGGCCCCGCATGCTCACTGCACATTCAAATAGAAAATGTGTGAGAATGTCTGAAGAGGCCAGAGAACTCTGTGATCAAGCAAGCCTTGGCTGCAATGGTAGATCATGGAAGCGATGGCTGTGTGCTCTATTTGTTTACTGCGTCAAATCTCGGTAAGGTCCATCTAATTCGACGTCGTTCAGCATACGTAGTACGAGTGAATACACTCCGCCAAGGAAATACTTGCGCTGTTCCAATCTCTGCCTTGACCCTCCCGCTGTTGATGTTCGCTAGACAAACACAACTGGTACTACGCACGTCCCTGTCACTTACTTTGTGGAAGATAATCAAGCGCAGTGGGAGCTCTGAGTACTGCGGCAATGGTACGTACACATCTTATGGGATGCGCTGAAAGCCTACTGAATATTATAATGCAAGTCACTCGCCGAATCGAAGAAGCGCCTCGCACTGGCCATTATCGACTTCTTGTCAACGTCGCTCAAAGATGGGACGCTTACCACTGATGATAATGAATCTGTCGAGGTTGCATCAACTTGTATTGCCGATGCTTTCAAGGTAGATCCGAATGACAAGGCTGCCATGCAAGACGCCGTCGGCACACAGAATCTTCACAGCATCTATCGTGTTTATGAAAAATTGAAGGGTAGGAGTACAGCTTCAACGACCGGCGAGAGCTCAGTACAAGAGGGCCGGCCAAGCACACCATCCGCACCAAAAAGCGAAGACTCCAAAGCATCAGCTACAGCGACAGAGAAGCCAAATCCAGAGGCAGAAAAGTTGAAGAGCGCGGGAAACGCTGCAATGCAGCAGAAAGACTACCAGACGGCCATCGCCAAGTATACAGAAGCTATCTCCTTGTCTCCTGCGAATCCAATCTATCTCTCAAATCGCGCAGCTGCCTACTCTGCTTCGGGGGATCATGGTGCTGCCGTTGCCGATGCTGAGATTGCTGTTGCTGCAGATCCAACGTACACCAAAGCATGGTCACGGCTTGGGCTGGCTAAGTTTGCGTTAGGCGACGCGAGAGGGAGTGCGGAAGCTTACCAGAAGGGCATAGAGTACGAAGGTAATGGCGGAAGTGACACCAGAGAGTGGCCGAGATGGAAAAGGAGGAGGAGGAGCACTTGCCAGAAGATGACGGTGATGACGCGCCAGGCAATACCCGAGGTCCTGGTGGTGCGGGAGGTATGCCAGATCTCTCCAGCTTGGCCAGCATGTTCGGCGGAGGAGGCGGTGGTGGAGGTGGCGGCATGCCTGATATAGGTGGTCTGATGAACAACCCCATGTTCGCGGGCATGGCTAGAAACCTCATGCAAAACCCAGAGGCAATTCAAGGGTTGATGAACAACCCTAGATTACAACAGATGATGCAGGGATTGCAAGGAGGGGGTGGAGGCGGGGGTGGAGGCGAGGGAGGAGGCAGAGGCAGAGGTGGAATGCCAGATCTATCGAGCTTGATGAACGACCCAAACATTGCCAATCTGTAAGTTCGACATGTGCACGTTGTTCGGGTTTGTACTGACAGCGATATAGGGCGAATCAATTCATGGGAGGCGGCAGAGGAGCCGGTGGTGGTGCTGGCAGAGGAGCTGGCCAAGGCTCTTGAATGATCTTTGGCAACACAATTCAAGATACCCATTCTACTGAGCTCTACGACGATCACACAACCGACCGCAGATACCGCTCTCTCCTTGTAACGCCCAGATGCCAGTTTCCCGTTCCACGACACATTTGAGCACCTGTATTTACACAGACAAGTCCCATTAGCTGTCTAATAAGCCATCATAGTCTTCTCACAGCTGGACTCCGGGTGCCTCCAAACTTTAGCCGAGTACTGTCGGTGACTCTGTAAACTTTTGGCTTTATCACTCTGCCCTCCATTCCCAGCAACACCTTCTGGAAAGCCTCTCTGCCAGGACCATAACCTCTCATGATAATCTCTAATTGCTGAATGCTCTGCACGAACCCCTTCTCAATCATCTGTGCGATACTGTACGTCACTAATTGGTACGCTGCATCGAAGGTACCACGATGAGACTTTTTGAAGTTGATGTTTCCTGTCGACAATGAAAGCATTGGTTCTCGGTTTGGTCTTGTCAGTGTGACGTGTGTGTTGTGTTTCGTAGCGTAGACATGTAGATGATGGAGTTCTCCAAAGGCCTCGGTAGTAGATGGTCGATTGGCCATTCCTGCCTCAGCGACAACTTTGGCTTCTGTCAAGGCTTTGCTGGTGTGGCGCTCCCCTAGGAGGTTGAAGCGTTCCCGCTTAGCTTGGGCCTCCTCTCTTTGCTTTTGCTGCTGTATTTCGCGAAGGCTCTGCTCTTGAGACCTCGGAGTAGATAGAGCTTGACCGACTAATCCACCCCTCCGGAGACTGTCAGCAAAAGTGTTGAACCTGTCTGCCGCAGCTGAGGAGGAGGAGGAGGAGGAGGAGAATTGGTGTGATTGTTGTTGACGAGGGAAGAGACGCTGACATTGGTGGCAGAGAGAGGGCGAGGAAAGACGGATTAAGGATTTCGAAACCATATTCTGCCACCTTCAGTCGAAATCTGTTGATTCCATGTACGAAACCGCGCTTAGTACCGTTATGATCTTAGCGACGTCGAAGCTGGTTCTGGTTGACCTTGCTTGAACCCTGTGGTCTCACATAGCAAGCTCCGACGCTTATTTTTTTGCGCCAAGATCGTCCCTTTGCCTCAGCATCCCGAGCCATCACCTGCTACAGACTACGCCAGATATACAGTCTTTCACAGTCTTCTCTCTGCGCTTCTTGTCCCAACTGTGCATCCTGAAAACTGACATAGCATGATCACTCCTTGCAGAGTGGCGGCGAGCAGGCATCTACAGCATGCCCCAGCCCTAGTCTCTTTGGCCTCTTCGCGAAGCAGAACACTGGCATCCAGACGACTATCAACACAGAGAGCATTTTTCTCGCAGGACCATCCTTTCTTGACACCAACACATTCCAACCAGCAACTGTTGCTCGCTCAGAGTGCTCTCAGACCTTCGACCTCTCCACTCCTTTTACGATCACACATCTCACTTGCCCGGCTGCTGCACACATCATCACCACAATTTGAACAAACACGGCCTACGGACGAAGTTAGAGATTCTCCACGGGTAGAGAGCTCAACTGGTACAGGGACGGATCCGAGCAGAAACGAAGAATCCAAGACAGATGATGCGAAGGATGAGAAGTCTGGGGAGGAGTCTTCAGATGCAAAGAACGAGTCGAAGAAGGACGAACCGCCTCCGCCACCTCATGGTGACAAGTCTCCTTGGCAAGTCTTCACCGAAACATTACGATCCGAGTTCAAGGCTTCGAAGGAATGGAATGAATCTACGAAGCAATTGGCGTCTTCCGCCCATCAGTTCACCGAATCAGAATCTGTCAAGCGAGCGCGTGCTGCGTACGATGCCACGGCTGGTGCCGCAACATCAAAGACCGCTGAAGCGCTCAAGACAACCGGCAAGGCTTTAGGGCAGGGCGCGGCGTGGACTTGGGACACGAAGATGGTGCAAGGAATCCGTGGAGGTGTGAATGCCACGGGTCGAGGGATAGAAAAAGTTACACGCCCCGTGAGAGAGACCAAGACCTTCCAGAGCATCAAGGAGGCAGTAGATGATGGCAGTAGTTCGACGTATGGCGGCTGGGTTGAAAAGGAGGAGAGACGGAAGAAGAAAGAGCTGAGAGATATGAAAGAGGTACAATCCGGCAGAGGACCTCCGGAAAAGTGGGAAGAAGATCCCGAGTAAGCTCTCTCGTAAAGCACCTATTTGCACATTTCCTTGCTAATCTCATCTACAGTGCCGGTACAAACGTGACCCTCCACAAAGATTCAGCCTGGAAAGAATCCTGGAACTCCTTCCGTGACTCCTCCAAAATCATGCAATCAGTCTTCGCTCTGAGATCTACATACAACGAATCGGAGAACCCGCTCATATCCACTGCACGCTCCATTTCCGACCGAGTAGCAGGATTCTTCGCCGAAAACGAAACCGCAATGGTGATCAAGAAATTCCGAGAAATGGACCCTTCCTTCCAAATTGAGCCTTTCCTGCGCGACATGAGAGAATATATCCTCCCCGAAGTGTTAGACGCCTACGTCAAAGGCGACGTTGAAACTCTCAAGCTTTGGCTCTCGGCAGCACAATTCCAGGTCTACTCAGCACTGATGCAGCAGTACACAACCGCTGGACTCAAATCCGATGGACGCATTCTGGATATTAGGAACGTGGATATCTTGAATGCGCGAATGCTCGAGCCCGGGGATATACCCGTATTCATCATCACTTGTCGAACTCAAGAAGTTCATGTGTATCGGAACGCGAAGAGTGGTGAGTTAGCGGCAGGAATGGAAGATCGAGTCCAACTGGTCACGTATGCGATAGGCGTAACAAGGACGCCGGAGGACGTCAACAATCCCGAGACGAGGGGATGGAGGATGATTGAACTGCAGAAGGCTGGGCGCGACTATATATGAGCTCAGTCGCCTTTCTATTTATACCACTTTTTCGGATTTTGTCGCTGGAGCTCTTCCGAGTGGAGCATTCTCCTGGCGCATCTGGGAGCACAACAAGCATCAGCGTGCGCGCAGGCCTCTTGATTGCTCTTCCAACCTCGGTCTCGGTTCCGCTGCGCCATCACTGGGCCTATAGTCTGCCTCTAAGGCATTTTACATCGGCCTCGATATGCACGGATACACACTCTCCTCTCTTTTGAACGAGATGAGATAAAACCATGACCGTGATGGTGTCGGAACATTCATTCTTCTTGTACGATATTGAGCCTTTTTTTTTGGCGGCATTTGGATGAGGGAAGCGAAAAGGAATGTGAAAGAAGTTGCACACAATGCAGGAAGCGAGGCACCAATATGCGCTGTGTGCCAGTGACAGTGATGATGGAATAAGTCTAGGCAGTGAAAGAAGGAGAGATGGTAAGTGTATGGGGATGGATGGACCAGAACAGGTCAGGCTACAAAAGAAGGCCGTAGAGTCAAGCCCTCAGGGTGGGCACCCTAAACCACACATACTGACAATCTATTGTCTGCGAGATAAAAATCGAAAATAATACCACTCCGCTTACTGAACTTCTCCGAGGTGCTCCCTTCCCATTCTTTCATCCCGCGACCAGCCTCACCTCTGCTGTGTCTGTGCATTCGTTGTCCTGGGGTATGCTGTGGTCTCAGCATCCTGAAGTTTCTCTCACCTCCGAGCCTGGACATCTAGTGCGTTAGGCTACGCCGTATCTTCAGCCCCCTTCAGATCTCATCTCATCTCATCTCGTCCTTGTTCTTGCTCTTGAGCATCCAAATTCAAGGAGCACACCGTGCCCTCCCTCACCACACTCACAGGTATGATAGAAAGGACAGCATTTGGAAGAATGCTGCACACGGATCTCGCAAAGAGGGCCAGAGGGGAGCCAGCCAGGAAAACAGAATCTACCAGACGGAATACTTGTATGAGGTTTCCTTAAGAAAGATAATTCGCTTACGTACTGCAGCGAGAGCACAGGCAGGCATCCACCGCTTCGTTTTAGGTATGTATCTAGAATACGGTACAGTACAGTCGTTTCCCAGTCCTAATGTAGAAATTGCCTTTTGGGGTTCATCAAGAAGACAATCCGATAACAATACAAAGCAAATTCACTGGTTCTCTCGAATCGTCCTCGCAAGCCCCGCTGACGCCCACCACTCACTCGGAATATCCTCTCGCCTTGCTATGCGCTGAATGAGTCTATGCATGCTCTCCAAATCGTTCTCCGGCTCTGCTGTGGTGTCTCGCGTCCCCGTCTGTGTCTGGGGGCCAAAGGATCCAAGTCGGTGGAAATCTTCTGCGGCTTGGGCGAATCCGCGGCTGGGGGTGTCTGGTCGGCTGGCGGGGCCTGTCTCGGTCTCTTGCAAGTCTTGCGCGATCTGCTGGGTTTGGTGTTCAATGGCCCTTAGCAAGTCGTGTGCATTGCGTGGTCGTCTGTTGATGTTGACATTGTTATTGTTATTATTGGAGGTACTGTTTGCTTCGTGTTGTCGCTGCCAGCTAGGAATTTCAGTACGGGCCATGCCACGAGCTCGAGCATTGTTTGAAGCGCGGAGTTCATCCATTGTCCTCAGCGTAGTGAAGTGGTGGGCAAGAATGCGGTTTTCGTCAAGGACGATGTCACGCTCTTCAGGCTCCCGATTACGTTCAGCTTGCTCATGGCGCACGGTCAGCATAGGATTTTCGTCGGATCGTGGGCCATGAAATTGGACAAGCTCTCCGGCAGGATTGCCGGCGCGAGCTTGTCGTGCATCTGCAATGATGTCAAGCATAGTGCGCATGCTGCCTCGGCTCTCCATAGACAGGCAATCATATTGGGTGCTGCGGATATCCAAGTCCATGTTACCATAAGACGCTCTGTAAGGCCAACTGGGGCTAGTCGTTCTGGAGACGGCACGCTCAGTCGGTGTGGTAGCTGATACAAAGCTTGTGTTGCGCGATTGTGAGGCTTGTCGAGATTGGCGAGTTGATTGGCTTGCGGTGGCTGAGGTGAAAGAGCTATCGGTGCTGGGAAGTTGGGCGTCAGGTTCCATCGTGGTAAGAAGGGTCTCCCAAGTGTCTTGCCCGGGATCTGATGACGAAGAGCTGACACTGCGACGCCGATCTCCGAGACCGCCAGAACCGGATAAACTGAACCGATCTGATTCAAGTCGTGGTGACAAATGGCTGACGCGTCGGAGAGGTGGGTATGAGGCAGTCCAGGATGACTCGCCTGGTGGGGTATGGTGTCGTGGAGCACTACCACTAGTCGCTGGTTCATGCTCCTCGTTATCACGATGCACCCCTCGAGCTGGGGCAAAGCCAGGAGTAGGATCTGCTGGAATGAAGCCGGTAGTCCCTTCTGTGGCTCTAAGACGAAGTCCTACAGCACTGTTGTCGCTAAAAGAGTATGGTGGGCTGGGCATGTAAGGTCTTGCCAGAAGGGCTTGCTCCTCTACAGATCTCTCAGGCGAAGCCAAAGAGCGTGATGTAGGTGCCACTTCAAAGCGAAGAGCTGATGTGTAAGATGTGCGAGGTGAACGTGGGACTCTTGTTCCCCGGCCAGAACGTTGATGTTGTAAGCCATCACCTCGGAGCTCCTCATCGACTGACCTACGTATTGCGTCATGGACACCTCCTTCATCACCACGACGTGCGGCATCAAGAATGGGACCCCATCTTCTCATCGCCCGAGACTGTATTTGTTGCTCTGTCCCACGATCTTGTCGCATACGAACGCGATTTCTCGGCCTCGTACCGGAAGATAACACAGTGGCGGCGCCATTAGGGACTTCATTTTCATTTCTCTCACTAAAACGGTGTAACCTTCCAGTGTCTCTGATCGTGCGCTCTCTTCTAATAGCAGATCGTGAAGAGGCCGCGGCGCGCTCAGCTTTTTCAGCTACCTTTTGAGGGCTGCTTTCGCCAGGCTCTCTGAACATACTGCAATAAATATGGTCAGCAAAAGTTGATACATTGCCTTTCGGCCTGGAAAAATAATGTTACTCGCGCCAGGCCAAAAGCCGATCTGCGATAAGGCTGCGAACATGTATCGCGAAGGGGTCACAAAGTACTTACGGTAAGCCCATACTGACGGCCTCACAGAGTTGAGGAAACGGTCCTCAGAGAGAGAGAAAGATGTACGCGACAACAACAAACGGAGCGCAATGATATAAAAGAGCAAGAGTGGCGATTATTTTATGGTGATGATTGTTCTGGAGGCTCTTTGAGATGGCACGCGAGAGCCATAGCTAAACAGTGGGCAGTGGCCAGCCTGAAACACTGAGGCGGACAGGCTAGCAGGTTAACAGCCTAAAGGGATGCCGAAACGCTTGTCTTGAAAGGGGAAGGCGCCCTTCTTGGGTCGTGCCTTGCCAAGAGCATCTAAGTCCTCACGCCAAGGCCATCCAAGTTCACATTTTCAAATACTGAACAACTACGGAGTACTGCTACTCTGTACTCATACAGCAAAAGGTATGACAGTATGAATGTAGACATCTTATCTACAGTCACACAACTTTGCTCATAATGGCCTTTAGATCGGAATATGTTATTTTCCACCTTTATCTGACTGAACACGATTATGATTGAGCTTGGATTGAGCAGGATCGCACAGCTTGTCAAGCATACGCCCTTGAGCTGGAAGGCTATTCATGTAGCTGGCACAAATGGCAAGGGCTCTATAACTGCTTATCTTTCTGCCCTCCTCAAAGAGGCTGGCGTGGTCACCGGACGGTTCAACTCTCCACACCTGATTGATCGATGGGATTGCATATCCATCCAAGATCAGCCTGTGTCCAAAAAGGTCTTCACTCAAGTTGAAGATGAGGTGAAAGGTCGGGATGAGAAATATAGAATTTGTGCCTCCGAGTTTGAATTGTTGACGGCTACAGCTTTTGAGATATTCAATCGTGCTCATGTCCAGGTTGGTGTGGTTGAGGTAGGACTGGGAGGTCGATTGGATGCCACCAATATTCTCAGACCCCAAGATGTCCTTGTCTCTGTTATCTCAAAAATAGGGCTTGATCATCAGACCCTGTTGGGCCAGACACCAGAAGCCATTGCGGGTGAAAAGGCGGGTATCATGAAAGAGGCTGTCCCTTGCATTGTGGATGGCACAAATGAATCATCTGTTCTTCAAGTGCTCCACGAACATGCAAAGAGAGTGAAAACCACGTTGTCTGTGATCAATCCTGAGACAGCTCCACATACCATGAAGATGCTGGAACCATTTGTTCAGAATTTAGATATGGCACCTCATCAGCAGGCTAATCTCTTTCTAGCAATTGAGGCAGCGAGAGCAGCGGAGTCATCTCTTAGACCGAAGAAACCTGTTGATCAGTCGCTGGATGTGATTTCAAGGGTCACCTGGCCCGGAAGACTTCAAATAGTTAGTCTCCAGCCACTCCTTGGATATGATATTACCGTCCTCCTCGATGGAGCTCACAACGTCCAGGCAGCTAAGTCTCTTGCTGTTTATGTCGATCAGAGGATTCGTCAGCAGTCTGGCTCAGTGACTTGGATTCTGGCAGCCAGTAAAGGCAAGGACCTCCTGGAGCTCCTTAGTTGCATTCTCAAGCCTCAGGACAATGTCATTGCCACCGCATTCGGGCCTGTGGATGGAATGCCGTGGGTTGAGCCTGTCGACACCGGGAAGATTGTGCAAGCTGCCAGAAGAGTTTCTGAAGAAATCAAGATTACTGCAACAAAAACGGTTGAAGAGGCATTATGTGGCTTATCAGAACTACATCGTGCAGCACCTGTGGTGGTGACCGGAAGTCTGTATCTTGTCTCTGATGTTCTGCGACTGCTAAGGGCAAGCAAATAAATGGCAGAGTGGTCCGTTCACATGATACAGGATGAGGGGATATTTTCCATTTTACTGGTGAAAAGCCGACACTTCTCCTACAGCCTGAGATACCAAAAATCTGTTCTCCGAGATAGTCTGCCACAAAGTATCTATTGTGATTCATGTCAGGCATAATCAGTCAACCTGAGATTCCACAGACACCTCAACTGCATGATTATGTTAGCTACAACCTACAGAGGAAGATAAGTATGATAAGTTTGAGCATTTACGGCAGCAGTGAAGATGCCTCTGTTGCCCAGCACAGCACGTTCGAAAAGAACTCCAACCTGTACATTAATCTGGCCAAGGGGTACAACAGAATCTGTTCCGTCTCACTGCTTACACTGGCCGCTCTCCAGACACGCTGTACAATAGGGTTTGTCCCGATATAACTCCTCAGCTCAACTGCCACGAGTCCCTTGAAACCCTTCTCCATGGATACCAATTCAATGATGTTGAATTCTGGCACTTTGACTTCGACCAGCTCTAGATCATTCTTGTGCACAGCCATGCTCATAGACTCGTACATGACAGTTCTCCTACCATCTCCCTTTCCCACATCCCAGGCGATCTTCATTACATGATGGAAGGTGTCTGGCTTAGTCGCTCTGGAGTTGAACATTGCCATGATCTGGTTTGCAGCAACAGGTTCGCCGCTGTTGAATATGAACAGCGCGTCAGAAGCGAGAAATGGTGCGAAAGGGCTGATGGATGGTTCAAGGGAGTCCAGTGCCCGGAGAATGGCCTTAAGGAAACGAAGACCTGGAGATGCGTCGGGCAAAATGAGCGGGTACGGACCATGATAATGAAAGCTTCGGGCATGATCCTGACGCTTGTCTAAGTTAAAAGTAGGGGTAGGGTTGTAATGCAACAGAAAATAGACAAGAGAGTGTGAAACTGCATCTGACTGCTAAGGTAGTACCCACGATATTTAAAAATTCCTACTTCTATTCCCCCGTGGATTTATGACTGTTGGCATACAGAAGGCAATCCTGCACTTGGTTGTCATACAAATTACTAACTTAGTAAATATAGTCTTTGCCATCAGAATTCGATGTCTTCCCCAGCGATGATTGTTACTTTGAACGTTTCTGAATTCCTCCCAATCTTAAATCGTGGGTACCACTGTAGAATGAGTTGCCCAAGGAGCGACGATGCTTAGGAAGATGTGGCTATTAGACAGATACTGCCCACAGCGTTCACTCTGTTGAAGCAAGCCAATTCAACTTATAGATGTGCTGCGCGGTTGACACGAAACAGGCACTCGACCCCTTCTCTGTCATCTTGGTGCTCAATGTTGAGGATTCGAATCTGTTGAGCAGCATTTGTTCGATTGATACTTGATGACAGCAAGGGTGTTCATTTTGCTCGCGCGACCACTTTCACTACTAACTAGTAGCAGTTAGGTACTATTAAGTCATGCCAAGAATTTCTCTCGATTTTGGCACCAGAGTCCCGCTTCTGCTTCTGCGGGTTCGCATCACTTGCACAAACTTGTGTTTTGAGCATTGAGCAGCGGCATAAGGACCTGTCTGACGGAGAAAACCCGTCTAACAGTCTGAGCATTCTGGTGATCCCTTGCTTCCCTTTGAAGTTGCAGCAATAGGCTCAGTCTTATGTTACTGGTCATACACGCTCACCCTCTAGGACGGTCCATATACCACATACCCAACTGTGGAGATTTGCATCAGTGCCTGGACTGGGCTGTCTTCGGATGTTGAGATTGATGGTTCCCTCAGATATGGTCAAGCCTCCTGGAATCTTACATTTCCGTGCCCCCATTCACTGCGTTATCTGCTGTCAATATGGTCGGTCGAATCATTTCCGATACCACTGAAGAACAACCCCCTTCGAAGCTTGCGAATGGCATACCAGGGAAGGGACGGGGCCCTACAGGCTCCTCGAGCCCAAACAAGAAGGAAGAGAAGCCCAAGGCTCTGGATGTCGCAGAATTAAAAGACTATCAATTAGGAGATTGTTTAGGAAAGGGGGCATTCGGATCGGTCTACAGGGCACTTAATTGGGGAACCGGGGAGACGGTTGCTGTGAAGCAGATCAAACTTGCAGACCTTCCGAAGAGCGAACTACGGGTTATAATGCTTGAGATCGACTTGCTGAAGAATTTGGATCATCCCAACATCGTCAAATACCAGGGATTCGTCAAAACCCCAGAGACGTTGAATATCATACTTGAATATTGTGAAAATGGTTCCCTACATTCCATATCGAAGAACTTTGGCCGCTTTCCTGAGAACCTCGTTGGCCTGTACATGTCTCAAGTTTTGCACGGCCTACTGTATCTTCATGAACAAGGTGTGATACACCGAGACATCAAAGGTGCAAATATTCTCACCACGAAGCAAGGTCTTGTTAAGCTTGCAGACTTTGGCGTTGCCAGTAGGACGACAGGCTTACACGAATCCAGCGTTGTCGGTACTCCATACTGGATGGCCCCGGAAGTGATTGAACTAGCTGGTGCCACGACTGCATCAGATATATGGAGTCTGGGTTGCACAGTCATTGAGTTATTAGACGGAAAGCCCCCTTACCATAAACTCCAACCAATGCCGGCTCTTTTTCGAATCGTCAACGATGATCATCCGCCGCTGCCTCAGGGAGCATCACCGACTGTGCTTGACTTTCTTGGTCAGTGTTTCCAAAAAGACCCGAATTTGAGAGTGTCTGCAAGGAAACTCCTTAAACATCCATGGATTGCCAACGCACGGCGATCTGATGCTGTTGATCCGAAGAAGTCGACGGAGTATGGAGAAGCTATAAAGAGCGTTCAGGAATGGAACGATGCTCTCAAAGGCTCACCACCAAACATCGTCTCGAGTAACAAGCCCTCCAGGCCGTCTCCCGCGAGTCCAATACATGGTCAGAGAGATATGTTTCGTCCTCTCAAGACGCCTGCACAACCCGCCCCAATCGTGTCAAGAGCAAAGGAAGCCAACAATAAATTTAGGTCACCCGAAGGTGCTGCTGATGACAACTGGGATGACGACTTTGTCTCCGAGATCTCACCAAGAGCTCTACAATTGCCTCAACTTCGGCCACATGATCACTTTGGAGGAATGCTTTCTTCAGAGAAATTGAAGGCTTTTGCTTCTTTCGAAAGTATTACGGAGCAGGGCCTTCATGAACCAGACTATGACAACGATAGGACCTTGAAGAGTCCGCTCCAACCAAGTGAATCTGATGCATGCAAGACAGTGCGACCGTCCGCACCCGTTAAGAAGGCAGAACCCAAGCATGCTCGACATAAATCAGAAGCACCACAGGCTAAAGCCAAAGCAAATCAGACAGCTCGAAAAGCTTCATTGTCGTCCGCACGCCAGAACACCGACCTTTCCAAAAGCAAGCCACTACCATTAAAAGCCGCGGATCACTATCAGCCGCAACCTTCACGATTGTACCGAGAAAGCTCAATCGAAGATTATTCAGACCTCGTGCTCGGGAACGAGTTGACACTTGATACTAAGCTCAGTATGATGCAAATGGAGAATGAGGTTCCCTCGAAGATCCTCGAGTCTCCGAGCGTCACAGATCTGATGCAGTCAATGCGACCTCCTCCTGCGGGTGGAAGTCTCCGCCGACAACCACCACCAAGAGGGAAGATCTCAATGAGAAGGACCCGATCTTCAATAGAAATCCAAAGATATGCAGAGAACGAACAGGACGAGGACTTCTCAGACGTGTTTGGGATTGGCCAGAACATCCTTGAGAAGACGGAAAGCGAAGAGGAGTCAGAACCTGGAACTCTAATGCTCAATTCGAAAATATCAAACAATTCCCGGCGAAGTGATGGCGATGACGAAGATGACCCATTTGCGCAGCTCGAGGAAGGTCTGCCAGAGCTAGATCTCGAAACTAACATTGCTCGTGACAAGCATGCTCGACTTCGTACAGACGTTGAAGCATTGGTTGGACAATTAAAGGTAGCCCAGGACGATGATTTCTTGTTGCAGATATCAGAAGATTTGATGAACATCTTTGGACTGTTTCCAGGAACGAAGAACGTCATCGTCACCGCCCATGGAATGCTTCCCATCCTGGAGATCTTGGAAGACTGCTCTCGTTTGGACATCGTTCTCAACCTCTTGAAGATCATCAATACAATAATTGTCAATGATACCGAGGTTCAAGAAAACCTTTGCTTTGTTGGTGGTATTCCTAAGATCAACAAGTTTGCGTCAAAGAAATACCCTCGTGACATCAGACTTCAGGCCGCGGCCTTTGTCCAAAAGATGTATCAAACTTCTACCTTGACGCTTCAGATGTTTGTGAGTGCTGGGGGACTGACTGTCCTGATCGACTTCCTTGAAGACGACTACGACGACGATAGAGAGCTGGTTCTCATTGGCGTCAACGGCATATGGAGCGTTTTCGAGCTTCAGGGCTCCACGCCCAAGAATGATTTTTGCCGCATCCTGTCCAGAAATTCTGTCCTTGATCCGTTGTCATTGGTGCTCAACCGAGTCCTCAGCGAACCGGCAGAGAATGGGGAACAGCGTGAGCTAGCGCAACTCTGTGAAGGGAGAATCGCAAGCATCTTCTTTATATTCTCGCAGGCGGAAAACTACGTCAAGGAACTGGTGGCGGAGCGAACGGTCCTTCACCGTGTCTTGAAGAACTTGAAGAAGATGTCGCCTGCACATCAGATCACGATGTTGAAATTCATAAAAAACCTATCCATGTTATCAACGACCCTTGACATTCTTCACAATTCCAACGCCGTAGATGTGTTGACAGAGCTGCTTGACTGGGGCATGAATCAGCCTCATTGCCGAGAGCTCTCGAATCAAATCCTGAATACCATCTACAACCTTTGCAGGCTCTCGAAACGAAGACAAGAAGATGCAGCAGTAGATGGCATTATTCCCATTCTCATCAAAATTGTCAAACAAGAGTGGCCACTCAAAGAGTTCGCCTTGCCCATATTGTGTGACATGGCACATTCGAGCAGAGCGACAAGACGAGAGCTGTGGCAGAACAAGGGTCTTGCGTTCTATATTTCGCTTCTGTCTGATCCTTACTGGCAAGTTACTGCCTTGGATGCAATCTTCACATGGTAAGCATTTTTATTTTGACTTCGAAACAACACTGACGATCATGCCTAGGCTACAAGAGGAAACTGCTCGTGTCGAAGACAGCCTGCTGGACAATCATACTTTTACTGTTGCCATTACGGCAGCATTTACTCAAAGCAAATCTAGTTCTTTCGAGAACTTACTCGAGCCTTTGCAGAAACTGCTTCGCCTTTCCCAACCCATTGCGGCGTCCATGGCCCGCAGCGCTGAATTATTTGAGTGTATTGGCCAGAAACTCAACTCTAACAAGCCAGCTATCAGGCTTAACTTGCTAAGAATCATAGGTAGCATATGCGATGCGACAGACGAAGGTGGTTTGCTGCTCGAGCACTTTGGCCTCTTCGATCTGATTCGCGAGCTACAGGTCTCTGACTCAGCAGTCCTGGTCCGAAGCATGGCGCAGGAGTTGATTCGCTCATGTGAAGAGGTTGACAGTATATCTCTCCATGGTGGTGGTGGTGCTGTCGGAGGAGGTGGAGGAGGTGGGGGAGGGAAGCGGCGTCTTAATGGCACCGGAGCCCTACGACGCGCCTCAGCAAGTACAACCCCACCACATCTGCTGGAAAGACAGATGAGTATGCCAATTGGGCCGAGCTCGCCCCAATTGGGAAGGTCGGAGAGGAGCAGCATGGGATTCTTTGATGGATCTGACGGCGTTGCTGTAGGATTGTCAGGGAGGCTGGCACAGACGCCAAGAAGACAAAGAAACGGGGTTGGCTATCTCAATGGCTCTACAGCTATAAGACCAGCAAGCCGGGAAGGGCCAAATGGTCTAGGAAGGGAAAGCTCGCCAGCCATCAATCTGCCTGTTCCTGCCTTACAAAAAGCGAGTACAACTATTGGAAGCATCAACTCACCGTCTGTTAACGCTGGCAACGCCAATGAGATTGGTGTGGTCAAGAGCCGTCTACCACGGGGTATGGTGGGGGGCCAATACCGAATGAGCCGTCCGAGCACAACCAATGGCAATGGGTCTCGTGACACAGGTGGAAGTGCGGCTGGACCTGGGACAAAAACGCCTGGCGCGACGCGCGTGTCTAGGGAGAGTCTGTATGGAGCAAGAAACGGCGGTGTTGATATTACTGTTGCAAGTGCAAGAAGGACAACGGCTAGACGACATCCTAGCGGCGACGGAAAATGGTCTTGACTTGATATCGTCTAAAGGGACTCTCACTCATATTCATGTTTGCACCAGATGGGAGTAGGTGAATATGCATGGTCTACCAAGAATTGTTCTTGACGCCTCATGATTGTCAAAGGCTGACGATGTCGAAGGCGATATGATTTTTCTGGTTGTTGGAGGAAATTGGCGACAGTCCATCTTTGCTTGCGGATGGTTAGAAGCACGGCATGGACATTTTCAGAATTAAGCAGTTGGGGGCTTGTAAAGAAGTTCACTGTTTCTATCAGCCGCAAGTGTGCAGGAGATGAAGGTGGTAGGATTAAACGACCTCTACAGAAAGGGCAGCCCAATGTTATGGTCTCAGTTCCTGTTCCGCCATCCACAGATTAGCAGATATTGCGTTGGTGCTGGACTGGACACATGGACTTACAGATCAAGTCTCCTGTGTAAACTGATACTGGAGTTGCAATGGAGGTGACGTGATGCAATATGTAGTGTTGGTGGTGTGGGGACTCGCCACAGCATGATTTGTGGGCGGGCTAAAACAGGCTCGATACAGCTGGTGGTGGATAGGGGCCGCTCGGGGGCATGCCTCGGCTCTAAACTGAGAACTTGGAGGGAGACCCTAGGACTTGGACAAAACTTGGTCAGACAGTGATAATACACCATCACCAGATAAATCAGTAGTCAGGGACAGCAGCAGCTGATTGAACTGAGTTTTTAACGCGTCAAAAAGGATGTTTTCCTTGTTCCTCACGCGTTCCTAAATTCACGAAATATTGGAGATCCCCGACACGTGCACCTCTAGCTCAAAGAAATCTGCCCTGTCGCCTTCGCCACAATGGCAGAGCAGCCACAGCTGGCTGTGAGCTCGAATACCCCAATACTGACACCAAAGCCAACGCCACGCAGACCAAGCGACGAAGAATACGCCGAGAAAAGTCGTCTTGCGCCGGTCATGGAACAATCAGAAACCCCACATCAAGTTCTAGACAGATCCAGCTCATCAAGTTCAGACGAGCTTCCGACTGCACCAGGCTATCTGTACTCGAGCGAACCAGCTTATGGTGAAAATGGCGATCATAATCTTACATACACTCCGACAACAGTCTCTGCCTGGACACCTTCGACCGGTTTATCCTCTGGCTTCTCCTCATGGAACTCTTATTCCAACGCAAGGCCTCGAGGAGGAAGTGGCGGCGCTGCCAGTGGAGCAGAGAAGCCTACAGCAGAACAAGGATTCGTGCCAGATCCACGAGTGCAAAGACCATCCGCTCCTCTTCGAACACCCTCAAATACGTATGCCCCAGCTCGAAAACCACTTCAATTCTTCAATGCTTCCTCCGTACGCACACGCTCTTCGTCGAACATGCGGACATCACGCCGAGATCCGAATGCTCAGTATCGGGCACAGGAGAAGGCTTACGTGCAGCGGGTCCGGCAAGGTCCTGCAGACTGGACAAAATTCGATACGCAGACCCCAAGCGTGGGATTTAGTACAGATTCCGAGACTGAAGAAGAGTCCCCATCATCAGACCTGCAGTTTGACAACAACGATCCATACGATCCGGAAACCAATCTGTTTCTTGGGAATGAGGATGTACAGCCGTCGTTGGAAGAGCTTTCGGTTCCAGAAAACAGGGAACGACTGGAGTGGCATTCCATGCTGGCATCAGTCCTGAAAGGCGACGTCGTGAGGCAGGAGAAGCAGAGACTGATTGGCAACACGGAGCAAATGTCTAGTGTAGAGTTGAATGGCGAGATATGGCTAGGAGTCAAGGCCAAAGCCCATGGGCGTACCACTGCCATTCAGAAGAGGATGATTGAGGATCGTCGTGCAACGATTGGCCCTACCATTGAGAGCATAATATCCTTTGAGATCAAAGGCGAGACCGAGGTAGGCAAGCCACCCGCAATGCAGGTGGAGGATGTTGTCCGTAAGATCGAGAAGTGTGAATGTCTATACTCAACCCGGAAGGGACTTGAGAATGCTCAACCCCGAGCGGCGTCAGATGCATTCCAGGCAAGTTGCGATGCCATAATGTCATGGCACAATACCACGCAGCTCATCAATACCGAGTTAGCCATTCTTCAGGGCTGGGTGGGCAATGCAGAACTAGACTTTCAGAAGCCAAGGAAGCGGTCAGATTCAGGGGGCAAGCTGATCGACGAGTCTTCGTTCATTGATCGCATCCTCAAAGAAGATGGTCTAAATTCGTTGCAAGGCAACCACAGTATGCTCTTCCCTATTGGCGAAGTAATCAAGAAGGCGAAGAATACTTTGATCCACAATGCGAGTACTTTCGCAGAACGCCATCTGCCACCCTACATCGAAGAGCTTCTGACCTTGTTGAACTTCCCTTCGCGCCTAATACAAGAGATTGTCCGCATTAGGCTCAACTACGCCCAGAAGATGAAAGACTCTGCACAGTCGTCGGCGATGATAATCGATCAGATGATCGATCAATTTCAGATCCTCATGAAACTGGCCTGCCGAATCAAGCAGGATTATCTCGATATCTCATACCCTGCCCCAGGCTGGGAGCTGCCACCATGCATTGATGAGAATTTTGACGGTGTCATTGTTGATGCCCTCAAGTTCTACTTCAAGATGTTGAACTGGAAGCTGGGTGCAACGAAGAACACATTCAAGGAAGCTGAGATTCTGGAGCAGGAATGGGAGTTCTCCAACCAAATTGGACGTCAGTTGGAAGGCGGGGATATCGAGGTCGCCGAACAGTTCAGCTCGTTGACCGCCAAAGCACTTCTCCGCCTAACGGGGCATTTTGAGAGAGAACTTCGGAGCCAACCCGACGAGTCAGCCATAGAGATGGAGAAACGCTATAAAGCCATTCTCGATTCAGTGCGTGTGCGTCAGCGCAAGCTCTTTCGGTTCTCTCGCATTCTCCGACAGAGATTCGAAAATGCGACAGAGTTCAGCTTTGGCCTAGACCAAAATGAGCTACAAGAATTCTACGACTCCCTTGTGGTAACTGGCCACTTCCTGGTTTCAGCTGTTTCAGATAATGTCCCAGCGGGAACATACCTGATCGCATCCCCATCGCTACGAAATAGAGCGAAAGCTACACAATCCATCCTGGGCACTTCATTCCATGCAGAAGATGCACCCGAGGATCCCACGAACCCGTACATCTTGGTCCTCCGACCCGAAGAGACATTGTCTTGGGAGGGCGAAAAAACACAGATGGACCTACCGGAGCTTCCCACTGATCTGCGTGTGGGAAGACTACGTTTGGTGGCCGATGGGTCGCAACAACGATTGCACAACGCCCGTCAGAATCTGTTCAACGCGACAGGCAAGAAGCTCGACATTGTCATCGAGCAACGAGCAAATCTCGGACGAGTCAACATCGAGTTAGGCAAGATCAAAAAGACAACATTCAAACTCTCCAATACCATCATGGAGAGTGTTGAAATCATACGAACGAAGAACCGAGGAATTGCGAGTCCTGACTTGATTCAATCGTGCTTCGCATTTGCTACGGAATTTGGCAAGCGGTCTCTCATGTACATGGATCCAAACAGACGAATGATGAACAATCTGAAATTAACCCGTCTGGCGCTTGATTGGGTGAGCTTCATCTGCGACGATTGCGATGCTTCTGAACGGAAAACTTTCAAGTGGGCTGTGGTTGCTTTGGAGTTTGCAATGATGATGACACGCGGTCAGAACATTCTGGCGATTAGCGATGAGGAATACAGTCGTATCCGTGTCAAGGTGGCAGGCTGTATGTCCGTCCTTATCTCGCACTTCGACATCATGGGTGCCCGTTCGACGCTCGCTGCGCAGCAAGAGAAGGTGCGCATGGAGGCAATCAATGGTCCTACCAAGCGTCTGGATATAAGTCGAATGGTGGATGATGATGAAGCGGCACAGCTGGTGACCACACAACGAATGTGTCTGCTGACTGAGATTGAAGATGCTCGGCGGGACAATGAGGCCAAACGAGCAACACTTGGACGAGTCCTTGAGGGCTCAAATGAGGCAGACCGCTCCCTTACTTTTCTGTCCTCGTCTGCTACCAACGTTACGATGCGTTGGCAACAAGGTCAATTTGTTGGTGGAGGAACATTCGGCTCTGTTTATGCTGCTGTCAACCTCGACACGGGGTATCTTATGGCTGTCAAGGAGATCCGGCTCCAAGATCCTCAGCTTGTTCCAACAATCGTAAAACAGATTGGCGACGAGATGGGTGTGCTCGCAGTGCTTGATCATCCCAATATTGTTTCGTATTACGGCATCGAAGTGCATCGAGACAAAGTTTACATTTTCATGGAGTATTGTTCTGGCGGTTCGGTAGCAGGTCTACTGGAACATGGCCGCATCGAAGATGAAACGGTCATCATGGTGTATGCCTTGCAGATGCTTGAAGGCCTCGCCTATCTTCACCAAGCTGGCATTGTCCATCGTGACATCAAGCCGGAAAATGTCCTTCTCGACCACAATGGAGTGATCAAGTACGTCGACTTTGGGGCGGCCAAGATTATCGCGCGGCAGGGCAAAACGATCATGGCTCCCGATCCTACTCCGCAATCGCCCCATAAAGCGGATAAGCAGGCAGGTGGTGATGCAAAGCATAATAGCCCGCCGGCGGCACCTCGGGGCAATCCTCAAAAGACCATGACCGGGACTCCCATGTACATGTCACCAGAAGTCATCCGGGGCGATGCGCCTTCGAGCTCGATGACACGCCATTCTGGTGCCGCAGATATCTGGTCTCTGGGCTGTGTCGTATTGGAGATGGCCACAGGGCGGCGGCCGTGGTCGACACTGGACAATGAGTGGGCCATCATGTACAACATTGCGCAGGGTAATCCGCCGCAGCTGCCATCTACAGATGAGCTTAGCGAAGACGGGGTGGAATTTTTGAAAAGGTGCTTTGAGCGAGACCCGTCGAAGAGGAGCTCGGCAGCAGAGCTGCTGCAGCATCGATGGATTGTGGAGATCAGAAGGTTGGTAGTTGATGTGCCCGATACCCCAAGATCTGAAACAGGCCTGTCGACAAGCTCAACGAACAGTATGCCCAACAGCGTCCATCCATCGAGGCAGAATTCCAGCAACTTCTAGAAAGGTCATACACCTAGGGAAACACACAATCACACAATCACAATCACACAATCACGCACGCTTCGTCACGCCTTGCACGTTCCATTAATGAGCTGCTTGGTCTATCATCGTCTTCAGGGCTATCACATCAGATTTCTACCCGCTTCACATATCTATCGTTAAATTCTTCTCGCTGCTAGGTTACGGCTGGTCAAGAAGCCATAATTTGGGCATTAGCGTTGGTGTTGGTACTTGTGCTTACTTGTTCAGCAGCACTGCTGAAAAGCTGCTGCTATTAATATTGAGGTGATGCTCATTGACATTTGCGTAAGGGGCAAGCTATAAAACAGCCCCCATTCTTGCATTAGCACAGTATGATACGAGCCTCTCATAATACTACTCGTACCAGATCTTGAAGATTATCTGCAAGGTTGTAATATCAAGCACGGAGGTGTGTGTGCATGTGTGTGTGTGCATGTGTGTGTGTGCACTAAGCAACTGGCATGACGATTCACAGCTGGGCCCCCAGTGCGTAGTCTTGAAGTCACAGTTGCTGTACTTTTTCCTGGTGCATGACCCAAGGACACTTATCAGGGGTCAATGCTTGACGTCTCGCCTCTGCTTAGATTCTGCATTGGAGTGATGCACCCCAGACAAACACAATGAGTGGAATACTACGTACTACTCATACTACGTATGGATATCGCGCAAGCACGAGCCACCATGACCTTGTCGGCGAACTTGCTAACCGAACCCTGCTAACCGAACCTTGCTAACCCTGAGCTAGTCCTTATACTAAGAGGACTGGCAGCGGCGTTCTCCACATCGGCTCCGAAGAGAACTGATTAGTGAGTTCGTCTTCAATTGAGTCACAGTGGCGTTGGCCCGTTGGCCCGGGGAGATTGGATGCTCGGACACTGATCTGCGATAGTTGGTTGACAGTTGACATCTCAATCTTGTCGATTGCGAGATGGACCGAGCAGGCAAATCTCTGTCTCTCCCACCCACTATGGTATAAGTAGAACTGGCACATGATGTTCCTCCGGTGTCTGTGCCAGTACGGCTTCGTGCTACCCCTACAGAGAGAGTTCGGTTCCTTTATCTGAAGCAGTCTAGTCTACGAGTACTACCTACTACCTACTAGCTGATCCTCACTAATGTATCCCACGTTTCAATAGCAGGAAGAATGATGGTCCGTATCTCGAATCCTTCCCACGTCAGGGGTCGTGCATTGGCTCCTCAGCAAACCAGGATCAGTGCGCCTTCCCCTGAAACAGCAATTGTGATCCAGGTACCAAGCTTCCGAAAAGTCTAAGCTCGACGTCTCATCCCCATGCTGCACTGTTTCGATGGCAAAATTCGTCCGACTACCGCCTCCTAGTCCACTTCTAGCATCATCATTAGCGACATCGTCAACTCTATCCTCCCGATTGCATTGATAGCACTATGCTCTTTTCCTGCCCAGTGCAGGTCACTAGCCGGACGGCGGAAGACTGGCAGAATGGACCGGGACCCCCTTCTCCCACTTTGCTGTCTTGCAACGATAATAATAACGCCTCTACCTCCGCGGATCACCTTTTCGTCGCTGCTAGTACCCTGATGCTACATTCATCTCTTACGTCTGATGTCCAGCGCGGCGGGTCCTTCGTGAGTTCCTCAACCTCGATCCGATGACTTTTCCATGACGAAATCATATCAACATGGCCAGTACACATGGAGGTCAACCCGTCTCACCTACCAACTATACCATCGGACCATATGATCAGAACAACGGTGATCCGAATGGCGGAGAGTCCCTCACGCAAGACCTGAACGTCTACCAGAGTGGAGATATAGCGTGGATGCTCACTGCAACTGCGCTGGTGCTGCTTATGATACCTGGTGTAGGGTAAGCTACTTCTCAGGCCTATAGAACATATCCCGAACCTATCTCATATTTGTGATAGCTTCTTCTACTCGGGCCTCGCACGTCGAAAATCCGCCCTTTCGCTGCTATGGCTTTCGGTGATGGCGGCGGGTGTCGTGTCCATCCAATGGTTCCTCTGGGGTTATTCTCTGGTCTATTCGCGTTCAGCCGGCAGATTCCTGGGAGACCTTAGCCACATTGGCTTCCGCAACACTCTTGCTGCGCCCTCTGTTGCATCACACAGGCTGCCAGACCTCCTCTTCGCAGTATTCCAAGGAATGTTTGCTGCGGTCACGGTGGCTTTGGCCGTGGGAGCAGTGGCCGAGAGAGGGAGATTGCTGCCTTGCGTGGTGTTCATGTTTGTCTGGACAACTGTCATATACGATCCAATTGCTTGCTGGACATGGAATCCACATGGATGGAGCTTTCGAACTGGTGTACTGGATTTCGCGGGGGGAACGCCGGTCCATATCACGTCTGGTGCGGCTGCATTGGCATATTCACTCATGCTCGGCAAGCGACGGGGACACGGAACCCACGAGCTAAATTACCGACCTCACAATGTTGCCAGCATCGTCTTGGGTACCATATTTCTGTGGTTCGGATGGTTTGGATTCAACGCGGGTTCAGCACTCTCTGCTAACATGAGAGCTGTGATGGCCGCAGTGGTGACTAATCTTTCTGCCTCGGCGGGTGGCGTGACATGGTGTCTCATCGACTACCGACTGGAAAGAAAGTTTTCAACGGTAGGCTTCTGCTCGGGTGTCGTTGCCGGACTGGTCTGTATTACTCCGGGTTCAGGATATGTTCCTGCGTGGGCGGCTGTTGTGTTTGGTGTGGTCGGTGCGGCAGCTACGAACTATGGAACGAAATTGAAATATTACATGCGTATCGATGACAGGTAAGCGCTTTCACCAGGCATCCGCTCATCATTCTAACTCTGTATAGTCTTGATATATTCAGCATTCACTGCATTGGAGGCTTGGTGGGCAATCTTCTCACTGGTCTCTTCGCAGCCGACTATATCGCAGGTCTCGATGGCACCACCGACATACGTGGTGGCTGGCTCAACCACAATTACAAGCAAATTCTCTACCAGCTGGCGGATTCAGCGGCAGGCTTGGCATATTCATTTGTGGGTACCTGCCTTATTCTGCTGCTCATTAATTTCATTCCGGGACTATATCTCCGAGCCCCTGAAGAGGATGAAATTATGGGCATGGATGATACAGAGATTGGGGAGTTCGCTGTAGGTCCCCCTTCGCGCTCCTCGTTGACATATTGGTGTGCTGACCTCTGCTAGTATGATTACGTCGAGCTGTTGAGAGATGTTGTGCATGGAGTAGAGGATGACACCAGTTCGGCATTACCGATGCTGTCCATGTCTCTTTCGCGCGAGAAGCACATTTATACGAGTGACGGTAGCAGACCTTACAGAGCGATCGAGCTCGAGGGTGAACCTGTACCGCATTCCGAATGATCCAAGATGTTCTAAACCGGGATAATGTAGATACAACGTAGGTGGCCTTGTCAAGTCTTCATTCTTGATTTCAGTCTAGGTGCTTATGTTAGCGAGGCGTATGGGGGATTTCGACTTAGATGGCTGTATCAATACAAATCAAGCTTCGGGAACATATCTTTTCTCTATTCGGCAGAACTACAAGTAGAAGAATACACTTGATAGGTTTGGAGCATTGCTCTCCCATAGTAGTAGTCAAGGAAGATACCCAGATACCCAGATACCTTCGGGGTGCCAAGAACGTATCACCGGAGCCTTATAGTACTTACAAGTCAGCCTACTCGATAGTGAATAGTGAATCGCATCACCACCCCCAAGTGATCATCTTCTCTGCGCACGGTGATTAGTCCCGTCATTCAAGGAACCTAATTTCTTGTCCACTCACCCTCCTCTACTCGCAATGGATGACCCCCCAGGTGTCCCCGAAACAACTCAATCAGGCTTCCCTCAATCTCCCTCCCAGTTCGACAGCGACCCACGAATCTCTTTCTCCAAGCTCGAAGACAAATGGATCCTAGAAACAGAAGAGGGACCAGAATACGAGTACATCAATGGACTGAAGAGATGGGTACCAGTGGTAGGCACCAAACCATGACCCACCACCTCTTTTTCTCTCCCCAATCACCACCATGGAGGCCTGTCAGTGCCCTTCACCCATTCACATCCTCCTGAACTACACGGTCTCGAGCAGAAACAAAAAGAAACAAGGGCAGATTCTAACCAGAGGTCTGGTATTATTGGGGAGTACAGCTGGACCAGTCGTTACTGGAAGAGCAGAGTAAAGCCTACAAAGTTGAAGGTGTAGATGAGGATGCGCCGGCTGCCGCTGCTGCGCCGAAGAAGAGAAAGAAACAGCACGTCAATGGTGAGGAGGTGAGTAAAACCGATGGCCGCCCGCCTCCGGTATATAAGCTGGGATCACCATCTAACGAAAATGGCTGCCCTCCAGGACCAACCAATCCAGAAGCCCAAGAAAGCCCGCATAAACACCGCCGTCTACGTAACCTCGCTGCCTTCCGACTCCACCCTCGAAGAGATCAACTCCGTCTTCTCCAAGTGCGGCGTCATCGCCGAGGAGATCGATCGCGGCCAGCCGCGGATCAAGATGTACGAGAACGACCAGGGAGGATTCAAAGGCGATGCGTTAATCGTATATTTTCGACCCGAATCCGTCAATCTCGCCATCCAGATGCTGGACGATACAAGTTTGAGGTTCGGCGATGCGGAAAGGATGAAGGTGCAGGCGGCGGATTTTTCGTACAAGAGTCAGCAGGATGCGCCGGTTAAATCAAGCAAGAGGGATCAGAAGAAGGTTATAAGGAAGACGCAGAAGTTGAATCAGTATGGTACATGGTTACGGCTTGTACGAAGCACGCTGACATTTCTGCAGCAAGCTTGCCGATTGGAGTGATGATGACATCTCTTCACTTCAGGACACGAGTTCGAGGTGGGACAAAGTCGTGATTTTGAAGCATATGTTCACATTGCAGGAGCTCGAGGTACGCTTTTTTCCAGTCCACCATTCTTCTGCTACTTCCCTCTCACAGCTCAACTGAACCTGTTGCTGCTCCATTCTAGGAAGATCCCGCTGCGATACTCGAAATCAAAGAAGACATCCGAGACGAATGTTCCAAACTCGGCGAAGTCACCAATGTCGTTCTCTTTGACAGGGAACCGGACGGCGTGGCAAGCGTGCGCTTTGCTAACGCTGAGGCCGCCAAAGCATGTGTTAGGGTACGTTCTTTTCAGGTCCTCTACTCACTCACTCCTTTGCTGAGATAGGTTGTAGTTGATGGACGGGCGCTGGTTCGACGAAAGGCAGCTGAAAGCCTATATTGCGGATGGAAGCGAGAAATTCAAGAAGAGCAACGAGAAGAAGGGTGGCGACGTGGAGGATGAGGATGGAGAGAATAGCGACGGAGGAGACGGTGTTGGAGGCGAGGGCGACAGGTTAGACAAGTTCGGGAAATGGTTGGAAGAGGAGAAGAACACCAACAGCAAGAGAGATGATCAGCAGGACAACTAAATCGACTCTGGGTTTTGATCAGTTCTGAGGGCAATTTTGGGGGCTGAAGCTTGTTCACAAGGCGATCGATATTTGCTTGATCGATACCCCGGATTGGGTCTGAAACCTCAAGAAAGAGTGTAGTGCCATGCAGAATTGGAGTTCAACGTCCACAGCAAGGATAATACAGTATGCCGCTTCCACGCCATGCCTGCTTGACCTCCTTTTCACCCTTACAGAAGAAGCCCTACCTAACAGGAGAGCGGCGGCGGCATCCGTAGAAGCAGCCACAGTGCTTTCCAGGGTACTCCATATTTCGTATTTCGACCAATTGGGGGATGGGGAAACCTTTCATCCAGGGCTTATCTTATCTTAGCACGTCACTCCTCTTCGACTAACGCAGGTATACGGAGTGTCAGCAACCCAACACCATGCCTAGACAGCCTAAAGAGTCCTTGACCAGAACGGTGATCTTAGTTAAAGCAAGGCAATATTCAACCGCAGGCTTCACGATCTCAAGTGCAGATAGAAGACAATTAATGAGTCAGGATTGAAAAAGAGGTATCAAAACTCACCATGATCTGGGCGTCATGTCGCCGATCCAATATTTGCTCTTTCTGATCGGTTGTTAAGTGTTGCATTGCTGGTACACCTGCGTCAACATGAAAGCAACTGCTGTCGGTCATCCCAACATAGCAAGGTGGCGGAAGACATGTGCCGGTGCAGAGAGATTCAGATTACCAATGTAAACACATAGGATGAATGAGGATTTGTATTAGACTACCTCTTTTCTGGTAAGTTGCCTTGTGAGCTGAACTATTGCATTCACACTGCAGTCGATGCTCACATCAAGAAGGTTGACGTCTAAAGAAAACAACAGGGCATAGAACAGCATGCTCATGTAGACCGGAAACATTCACTGTCATCCTTCCATTCGTTCACGTCCAACTTCTCCAGTCATTTGAACCGATAAGCCACGACTGAGGTGAAGAAGAGCGTCCACCAACCATCAGAACCAATAAGACCAAGAGTATACTTGACCTATTCATCGGCATCAGCCGGCTCCTCCTCGGGATACTCCTCCTCACCCTCGGAGATGCTAGCGTCCTGGTATTGCTGGTACTCAGAGACGAGGTCGTTCATGTTGCTCTCGGCTTCAGTGAATTCCATCTCGTCCATTCCCTCGCCAGTATACCAATGCAAGAAAGCCTTGCGCCTAAACATGGCCGTGAACTGATCACCAACGCGCTTGAATAGCTCTTGGATGGCAGTCGAATTTCCAACGAAGGTCGAAGACATCTTGAGACCACGAGGGGGAATCGAACAGAGAGCAGTCTGGACATTGTTGGGAATCCATTCGACGAAGTAGCTTGTGTTCTTGTTCTGAACATTGCGCATCTGGTCCTCAACCTCTTTCATGCTGACTTTGCCACGGAAGATAGCCAAGCAGGTCAAGTAGCGACCATTTCGGAAGTCCGATGCAGCCATCATATTCTTCGGGTCGAACATTTGCTGGGTGAGCTCCGGAACGGAGACGGGACGGAAGTTGTGGGAGCCACGGCTGGTGAGAGGAGCGAAGCCAACCATGAAGAAATGGAGACGCGGGAACGGCACCATGTTGACTGCGAGCTTGCGCAGATCAGAGTTCAGCTGGCCAGGGAAGCGGAGGCAGGTAGTGACGCCAGACATGACAGCCGAGACGAGATAGTTGAGATCACCATAGGATGGCTCTTGGAGCTTGAGGGTACGCATGCAGATATCGTACAGCGCCTAACAAGATTAGTTGATCGATGCCTTCAGAAGAGGTCAGCAGACATACCTCATTGTCGATACAGAACGTCTCGTCAGAGTTCTCAACAAGCTGATGAATGGAGAGAGTAGCATTGTAAGGTTCGACAACGGTGTCAGATACCTTTGGCGACGGAACAACGGAGAAAGTAGCCATCATGCGGTCTGGGAACTCCTCGCGGATTTTGGAGATCAATAGAGTGCCCATACCAGCACCCGTACCACCGCCAAGAGAGTGTGTAATTTGGAAGCCCTGGAGGCAGTCACAGCCCTCAGCCTCACGCCGAACCACGTCCAGAACCTGATCAACAAGCTCAGCGCCTTCAGTGTAGTGACCTTTGGCCCAATTGTTTCCAGCACCTGACTGTCCAAAGACAAAGTTATCGGGTCGGAAGAGTTGACCAAACGGACCAGCACGAACAGCATCCATCGTACCAGGTTCGAGATCGACGAGGACAGCACGTGGAACATATTTGGTACTGGTAGCCTGGCAAGAGTGAGAGGTGAATTAAGATGGCTTGAAGATGGACTTAGACAAACCTCGTTGAAGTACACATTCATGCGTTCCAACTGAAGATCGGATGTTCCATTATAGCTAAAAATAATGTGTTAATGATTGAACAAGGATTGTTGGTGCTAAAAACCATACATGCCAGAGGCATCCAGGCCATGCTCGCCAGAGATTGTTTGCCTAGGTATATGTGAGTGTCCGTTTGCAAGCGCAAGTCGTCAAGGAGTGGGAAGTGGGCATACCAAAAAGCAGCACCGATTTGGTTGCCCTTCCAAACGTGTCAGTAAGGAAAGCCATCGAGGTTAGAGCACGACATACACATTGGCCGGTCTGGAGATGAACCTGTCGCGAGAAGAGTGGTCAGCTTTTTTCCATGTAAGACGCATTGTTCAGGAGATGGACAACGCAGACGCGTCTATATCAGCAGCAACTTACAATTTCACGCATGATGTCGAGTTCAACAGGAAGTAACCCAAGGTTAGAGAGGTAGGATAGCAGATAACAGGGCTCGTAGAAGATGCGCTACTGAGTCGAGGGTAGAAAGGTAACTGTGATATGGTAGGTTTATTTGAGCAGGTTGCGGTCTGAAAAGCAGTTGTGGGAGACGGGCAAATCAACAAAGTTAGCGCGGTGCCAGATTCAGTTGTGGACAGTCAGAAGCGCTGCAGGAACCAGTTGATGCCAAGACCTCACAAGTAATCACAACTTGAAGTCACATGATCGTCACCGTATGGGCCTGGATACCCAACCAGACAACATTACTTGTGCTCATTAAGAAATACTCGAGTATTGTGTCAAAAGGCCACAAGCACACACAAGCCCTATTAACATCTCATACTGGTATCACCAATACTCTGGTGGATATGCAAACGCCTGCAATGATATAATCTTTCCAATCATCCGTTCCCCAAGCACAGTCCCAACATCACTCATTAGAAGGATAAGTCACGCTTGCTGTGCTCAAGAACTCCTCCTTCATCGCGCGCGCACTCACAAACCTTGACAGAACATTCACACTTCCGGCCTTGTCGTTCGTCCCACTAGCTCTGGCACCACCAAATGCCTGCTGTCCAACTACAGCACCAGTACATTTGCAGTTGATGTAGAAATTCCCTGCTGAGTTCCTCAGAGCCTCTTCTGCGTACCGAATGGCTTCTCGGTCTTGGGCAAAGACAGCACCGGTAAGTCCATAGTCGCTGGTCTGATCAACTGTCTTGCAGATATCTTCAAAAGCACTTGCATCTGAATCATTATAAACGTAAACTGTCAAAATTGGTCCGAAGAATTCGGTGCTCATATTTGGATGCAAAGGGTTCTTGGTCTCGTATATAGTTGGCTGGACGAAGAAGCCTTGGGAGTCGTCGACCGTCCCACCCAACACCAGTTCCAAGTCATCGTCATTCTTCGCGTCCTCGATCACTTTCGACAACTTCTTGAAGCTTGCCTCATGGATCACAGGACCGATGAAGTTGGAAAGCTCCTCTGGAGGTCCGGTCTTGAGTTTCTGTACCTCTGTGACCAGCAACGACCTAAAGTCTTCCCACATTGAAGCCGGTACATACACTCGAGAACAAGCACTACACTTCTGGCCCTGGAACTCAAACGCTCCACGGATGGTGTTGTTCACTGCGTTTGGAACATCTGCGCTCCGATGCACCAGATGGAAGTTCTTCCCTCCAGTCTCGCCTACAATACGTGGGTACCCCTTGTATGTCCCGGCAACAATTCCCTGCGCAATCTGTCCATAGAGCTTTCTAAAAACGGCAGTGCTGCCGGTATAGTGAAGCGCAGCAAAAAGTGGATGGTCGAGGACAGTCTTGGTCACCTCCTCAGCGTCACCAGGCACGAATTGAATGACCCCAGGCGGTAGACCAGCCTCAAGTAAAATTTGATGAACGAGATAGTTCGAAGCCACCGCGGAGGGACTGGGCTTCCAGACCACCACATTTCCCATCAGGGCAGGCGCACCAGGGAGGTTGCCGCCAATCGCTGTGAAGTTGAAGGGACTGACAGCATACACAAATCCTTCGAGTGGCCGGTATTCGAGTCGGTTCCACACGCCAGATGAATTCAATGGTGGCTGCTGGTTGTACAACTCCTCTGCAAACCTGACGTTGAAGCGGAAGAAATCGATCAATTCCGCCGCAGCATCAATCTCTGCCTGCCATACATTCTTGCCCTGCCCGAGCATTGTGGCTGCCATGATCTCGTATCTATACTTCGTGCTGATGAGGTCTGCGGCTTTCAGGAACACAGCAGCTCGATCGGCAAATGGTAAGCTTTCCCAGGCTGGTTTCGCAGCTAGTGCCGAGTCGATCGCTTGCTTGATATCGGCTGAGGAAGCATTGGAATATTTGGCAATTGGTGTCGAACGGGACGAAGGGTTGTTTTGTGTCAAGACGTTGGACGTGGTCACCTAGACGAAAAGATCAGAGACAGTCTTCTGAGAACAGTTGGCTAATGAACGTACTGACTTGCCTCCCAGTACAAGAGGGATCTCCACAGGAGCTTTCTTCTTGAAAGCCTCAATGGCGGCAGTAAGCCCGTCCCGATCGGCGGAGCCTTTGGCATAGTGTTTCTGGGTTAAGGTAAGCCAATATTGAAGACTGCAACAAAGAATGAACCGCTTGCTAGCTCACGTTCGGCTCGTTCTGGATATTGGGAAGCTTGAAAGCAGCGATTGTCGCCATTCTGGACTGAATGTTGTGAATGAAAGGGGCAGACGAGCGAATTGCAAAGTGGGAAACGCTTGAGTTGGTGCTGTGTGATGATAACACCCTTCGGAAAGCGCCTGACATATCCAAAACTGTTGTTCCTTTTCCAGGAGAGCAATTGCTGCAGTCAAGTAGGTGCAGCAGCCTTATTTGACGAGAGTGAGCCAGCATCGTCACTGAAGCTTTCAATAAATTTCTCGGCTACAGGCGGCTTCGGGCGGGAACAGCGAGGGGCGTTTGACAATCTTGGCCGGTATGTGGAGGGGCAATCGGGTTGATGAATTGATGATCTACGATAAACCCACAAAAACTGGGTCTGGAAGTTTGTTTGCTTGTTTTGTGTATACTATCGAAAAGTGTCGAAGTGAATACTCGCATGGTAGAATTTCCGATAGGAGCTGCATACTACAACAACAAGCAACCGAAGAAAGCGAGCACGCCATCTTCATCGTAGTACAGCAAACGGACAGCCGCCAGTCCTTTCCTTCATCAGCCTTGCCTTTGTTTCGCTTGCTGCCACCGAGCCCTTGCCAACGAATGTGTTTGGGCCTACTTCTGGTAGCGAGTATCCCTTGGGATAGTAAATATCGCCACTGTCTCCGGGCAAAGGAAGGCCTAGGAGACGCGATGGCCATGCGGACGGACCCCAACGATTCCAAAACGTGGGCCTGACATAGAAAGGATACGCATCGTATCTTTGGACTGCCCTTCGACCTTTGCTGTCCTCTTTGTCGTCTAGCAAGCGATATCGCATAAAGCTTGGCCTTGGTAAAGCGATGTATTTCATGAAATACTTGCGAAGAGCAAGAACCACGTCGAGGACTCGAAAGTAGATGGGCGGAGGACGAGGATATCTAGCAATCATTAGCAGGAGACATGAGCCTGCAAAGCACCGACATGCATCATAGCGTCCCGCAACCTGTCGTCCATCATCGCGCTGACGGCGTGTTTCCCCATTGGCTTCAAAGCGTCAGGAATGGTTATAAGCAGCAGAGCGGTAGTCTCATTGGCGGTCTGGTGATTTTTCTCATTTGGTACCATATGCTTTATTTCATATTCCTCGGCCCACTGCCATATTTCCTCTAGCCAATGGATGCCATCCCTGAATCCTCGCTCTGCTGAGGGCAGATTTCCGTAGTCGATTAACATCGCGTCACCCATGCTCTTCATAAAAGTCCCCATTGCACATTTCTCAAGATCGGAAAACTTTCGCCAGTCGTATCGTTCAACCCACTTGATCGGCTCGATAGCAAACAGGGCGAGGGTGTAGAGCATGTCGTCATCGAGGATCTGTCCTGCATCTCGATAGACGCCATGCAGATAGTTCATACGCCCAAAGGAGTCAATGGCACGCTCTGAGGTTGGCTTATTTCCAAAGATCTCCGCAAGGAGGACTACTGTATCTGCATAACGCTTGCCGGCATTCTTCGTTGTCGACAGCTGGGTTGTCTTGACCAGCAATGAGGATATGGTTGGAATTCCATAAGTCTGTCACTCTTATTAGTTCACCGCATCATTTTATTGCAGAAGCTGAATTACTCTAAACAGTGCAAACTGTATTCCTATCGAAGCGAATCAGCAGAAGATCTGTGCGGAGGGTCAAAGTCAAATTTAAACACCTTTCTCGAACATAGTGGGGAATTCAAGTTCGGCGAGATTGTTAAATATTTCCCATGCTTCTTGGTCCGTCATTTTCGCCAGATCCTGTCTCGTGGAATAGTTGTATTTCGTCTTCATTGCGTTCAACCTTCGATAACGCAGGTACTGTTGCAGCAATGGATATCCAAGCAGAAGAGCCACCACCCACGGCAAGCTTCGAGGCATTGGAGAGCTCTCGGTGACATAGGCTGGACTCGAAGTGCCAAAGGTTGTTGTCATGTTGTCCATATTGATGACTTGAGATCGAGAAAGCTGAACGGCCGTTCGACGAGCTAAGGATTGTTGAGCAACGGTAAAGAGTGTCGGAACCACACAATTATTATGAAGCTTGACAAGCTCATGGGCCACGATTTCGATGCGGCTACACCCTGTCGACTCGGCCCGGTCGCAATAAGTTACAGGAAAGGATTGCTTTCTGTCAGCTAAACCTAGTTATGGTCACCTGAAGGCCGCCATACTTTCGGTCTAACACCTTCCCATTTCTGCCTTTTGACATGAGAGGCCCCTTCATTGCCTGTTGCACAAAGATATGAGAGACGGAATTTACCTTTCCAGCAGCAAGCTGAGGTGCAACTATTTATAAGAGCTGTTCTGGTGAAATTATCACGTATGAACGACGTACTCCACCTTTGCGCAATGTGATGATCTGCCAATCAATATCTCACACACATATCTTTGGTACTTACCTAACCTAGCGAGCGCAAAGCTAGACCTAACCGTGCACTTTTTGCACTAAGCTTTGCACTTAATTATTAGATGTTAGTTATTTTAGTATCTTAAAGTAATTATATAGCAAAGAACTTAAGGATTTTATTAAAGTTTATATTAATTATATTATTAAGACTAAGTTTCTCTTTATCTTTAAAGCTGCCTACTTTAATATAATAATAGCTAAAAATATTAAAGCTAGCTTCTAAGGTACTAGTCTTATATTATATAACCCTTAGGCTATCTTATTTAAGCTTAATATTAAGTTATAGATACTAATACTAATTAGACCTCCCTTTTCTTAAGCTAATCTATAAGTCTCTTAGACACTATATAATTATTATAAAGCTATTTCATAATTAGAGTATATATAACATTATATTACTAGGCATTAAGAAAGCTCTCTAAGTAGTGTTTTTTTAACTATTAAGCAGCTAGTAAAGAGTACAAAGCTAATTGCTTATTAAATAACCCTTTTATATAAGGAGGTGTGTACGCTTTACAAAGCTAATAAGGTTCTTATAAAGTGTCAGAGGGCCAAAAAAATACGCGTATAAGCTAGAGGTACACTTATTATAGAGGATGCATATAATTTAATTAAGCAAAAAGAGATTATATAATCATAATTGAGTAAGAGGTTAGTAGAAGAGGGTGTCACGCAAGCTAAGTTATCAGGCTTAAGGCATTATAGGAGATGCGGCAAGACTAATTATAATATACAAACCTATCAGGAGATTAAAGAGACATCTAAGGAAGATAGCGATATAGAGAATAATTAATTTTCTGGTGTTATAGCTATATATAATAGTTAGAAGGTTATAATATTGAAGAAAAGTGCGCTAGATACTTATATATACTAGACGCTTATAAACTATATTATTAATTTTAGATAAATTTAATATTTATTTTAAATTCAAATTTATATAATTTTACTAAAATAATAATATTATTTTTTTTTGCTTTTCTCTTTATTTTATTTTAATTACTTAAGTATTATTATATAAAGGCTATTAATTATATTATATAGCTTAGTAATTACTTATTTTTATAAGTAGCCTTTTTAACTAATATCTATAAGATTTATTTATAAACTTTTAAAAATTCTATAACAGATATGGTAATTGCCAAATTGCCTTCGCCAGTTTTTGATTCTGAAAATGACTCTGAATCAGAGTCATTAGATGTTACAAAAACGCCCAAAAAGATCTACGAAATTGCTCAATTTGCAGAGCAAATTCAGACGGATATAGAGTTTGATTCGAAGAGCGAGTTACTTGTGCACAAATTCATCAAGGGTGCTATGGCGCGTGTACAATCAGGGGCCCAAGCAGAGGCGGATTTAGAGCATACTCAATTAGCTGAAGCAGCACGCGCTGTGCGTGCGAAAGCCACGCGTCGTACTGTACAAAAAGGGGGCATTATTACTGTTGAGAGGGCCAAGGAGCGAAAGCAGAGGCGGATTTAGAGCATACTCAATTAGCTGAAGCAGCACGCGCTGCGCGTGCGAAAGCCACGCGCCGTACTGTACAAAAAGGGGGCATTATTACTGTTGAGAGGGCCAAGGAGCGAATTCGATTACGCACACGAAGGGAGCAAGAGAGTTGGGAGAAGAAGGAGTACTCTCGGCGTCAATGCCCTAAACGGGAAAGACCCAAGTTTGTACGCTTCTATAGGGCTATTTCTGCGCATGCCCGTCTTCGTATCGCCTCTATGGACTATGAGGACCAATTGGAGTATCAATTGAGCGATAGGGGGGGTCAATAGCTGTAGAAATAGAAAAAATCTATCGTTGCGCTGGGATCTATCGTTGCGCTGCGGTGCACTAAGCTGCAAAGCTTAGTGCAAAAAGTGCACGGTTGTATCTTATTATCACAACAAATTCTATTTGGTTGTAAGCCATCAAGTCTTCTGTTACAGCAAGCTTTTCCATCATGAAGTTTAGCTTGTAGACTCTATTTCAGGAATTGATGAAGAAGATTTTGCAAGTTCAATGACTCTTCTAGCTGCATCGTCAAATCCGTCAAACGCGTCAAACGCAAGTCCGCTCTCTGAAATCTATCGCATGTCAGCAAAGATTTGGACGAAGACAAGGCGACCTCACCATTTTCTGTCCAAGGGCTTCGTTTGTTCCACGTAACCTAACAACTACCGGAATCTTTGGCTCTAAATCCCGGAAAGCCAACAATATCCCCTCAGCGATCATGTCACATCTTGTCAAACCGCCAAAGATGTTGACAAATATCACTTTGACCCTCGGATCAGAGCAGACAATTTTGAAAGCAGACTTGATCGTATCTGAAGTCGCCTTTCCTCCAGTGTCTAAGAAGTTCGCTGGATGTGCTCCAAGACGGGTCAAGGAGTCGATCGTGTTCATTGCTAGGCCAGCACCGTTTACAATTGTGCCTACGCTTCCCTCTCCTTCAAGTTTGACATAGATTATACCACTCTTTTCTGCGTCGACTTCTTCAAGAACTTCGAACGTGTTGTCGCGCAAAGCATGGATGTCACCTTGGCGCCCTGCGGTTTTGAAGGCAGCGTCATCGAACCCAAACTTCGCTTCCTTGATTTGCACTTCGCTGTTCTCCGTAATCACTATCTTTGTTTCCAGCACGAACGCCTCTTTAGACACGAAGATGTCATGTAATGCACTGATCAATTTGAAAAGCCCTTTCTGCGCGGCGCCTGAGATTGCCAGATGACATGAGACATTTTCCAGCATGGCATCCGATATTGCACCGTCAGACCCATAAGCAAATGCGAACTTCTTCGATAAATAGAGCGTATCAGCTGGATCTGTGGATGGTGATGCGATGATGCAAGGTGCCCGTTCACTCCTGTCAACGGAGATTCCCAGCATGCATGTTCGTGACGAACACAAGGTATCCGACTTCCTGAAACCAGCTTTGGTCAGCATGTCCACGGCTTCTGACTGCTTAATATACAAAGTCCTCCTCTGGTCATTGGACATAGTTGCATTTTGCACTATTCTGGGTTGTTGGCATATTGTATGAAAGCCTCTTTGCTGGACATTATCCAACTGGGTTCTGAGCTTCTTCTTCTCAGAGGTTTCAAGTAGTTGCTTCATACCAGGACCAAACATCTCCGGATGGTCCACAATGACCACGCCTGCTTGCTTAAGAATATTGATCTTCTCCGCAGAACTCGCTTCTCCTGGAGCAGCCCAACCGCCAGCATGACCCATAACCCGTCCAGGTGGAGCTTGGACACCACCTACCAAACCCATGAATGGTTTAGGATTTCGTGTGCGTTTTCGGTACTCAACGATCCAATCTGCGGCTTCTTCTTCCGCTCTTCCGCCAACCTCTCCTACCATGATTATACCTTTTGTCTTCTCATCTTCCTCAAACACCCTGAAAGCATCTATAAATGTGGTGCCACTTAGCATATCACCTCCCATGCTGATTGCATAGGTCTGTCCGAGCCCAGCTCGCGTAACAGAGGCAACAGTCTCGTAGCTAAGTGTTCCAGACTTGGCAACAATGCCAATGTTCCCTTCGAGAAAGAATGGCAACGGTTGAAATCCTAGACGACACCGTCCATGCGTGTTTATGATACCGGGAGCATTGGGACCTACCAGGCGCGTCCTTGACTGGGTCCTTAGCATCTGGAAGACTCTGAGCATCTCATGGAGTGGAATATGCTCTGCTACTGCCACAACCAATGGTATTTCTGCTTCGATCGCTTCCTCAATAGCCTGGGCCGTTCCAACCCCTGGAACATATATAGCAGAAGCATCAGGTTTGAGCTTTTCTGCTGCTACCCGCACACTCGGTAGGACTGGCAGGCCAAGATGCTCCCCTTCAACCCCAGGCTTGACACCACCAACTATCTGGGTACCATAATCTAACGATTCTTTCGCATTGATTGTTGCTTGTCTGCCAGTGAACCCTTGATATATGACCTTGGTACGAGACCCGATCTTGAGGTTTCGTATTGTGTCTGAGTATCCGTAATATACTGAGGTTGTTGAAAAACGCAACCTTGAAATTCGCGCCACATACAACCTTGCAGCTCGAACACTTCTGTGAGGCATACTCAAATACTCATTCAAGGCAATCTCGCAAACAGTAAAGAGAAAAGATTAGTGTAGGAAAAGAGGAGGTATGCATATACATATCATTGTGTACCTTTTTAGGCACCAGAAGTGAGAGTAGTAGCCATGTTCACACATGAAAAGAACGACTGGGTAAGTACCTGTGCTTCAGGAGTATGGAATAGAGATCCCCGTTCTCAAATGGTAGGAAATGATAGACTAGTAAAATAGAAGCGAGTCCCCGATCTAAGTTAGGTGCAAAAGATATTTGGCCATGCTCTGGCGTCTATTAGATTCGTGGAAGCTGCCGAGGTTCGTTCCGCTCTACAGTCAATCTCGCTGTGTAGTCCCGTGAAGTGTCTTGGAGATGTTATGACTGGATATGGCTGGCCTGCAGTTGCGAACAGTGTCGGATGCGGAGAATTGGAGTTTGTCGCTGACGTCGTTGTTCCTACCAGTGTCATTTGACTTAAAATTGAGAAGGGTATCAGTTACTCTCCCTCTTATTCACTAATCTACTTTCGAGATACTGTACGACTACATCATCTCTGCGTCGAGTACAAAGAGACCTGTTGGAAAGAGGAATGGAGCCGAAGCTTGCAAAATTGTCAATAAATCAGGATACACCGAAAAAGCCGAGGGCGAAGCAACCAAGTAAATTCTCAGAACCCGTGGCAGACTCTTGGGACGACGAGATAGACTCCAGCGATACGGAGACGGAGGTCGACGACGCTGTGCCACCTAAAAAATCCCCTGTACCGAATGCGCCTCCACCAACCCCCGCTTCCCCGAGTTCAGGCTTTCCATCATGGGGGTTTCGGGATTCTATAGCACCAAGCGCCCCGATAGGTGATCACAATGAGAATCAGAGAAGACCCGAGAAATCCACTGCAGTAGCCGGGAGGCTGATTACTGCTGGCCTCGGCATGAAAGCACCGAAGAAGACTGAGGAGCAGAAGGCATACGATCGGGCCCTGCGAGAGAACGAGATCAAGAGGAGGAACAAAGAGAGGGAAGCGAAGGAGAAGGCGCGGGAAGAGAACGAACAGGCGCGAACAGCGATGTGGGAGTCCTGAGACACGATTCTGTGGCTTGATTCTTTAAGGCCACCTGGTAGAAGTCGCCTAAAGTGATTGGTTGCTCAGCACCGGTGGCTAGTCTCTCGTCAAAACTGCTATCATATGCATGATATGTGGCATCAGAGCAGCCCTCATATGTTTCTGCCTTTGATCTTTGCCTTCAAGATACAAGAAAGGTGTTGTGCAAAGCTTCTGCATTCAAGATAGCAAGCCAGTCGAGGCGTCTAGAAATCTAGGAACACGGATGCCTGGTGTGCTCGATAAAGGTCACCGTTTCCCCGTAGCGCTACCTGTCACCTGATAACGCCAACTTGAAACTCCTTGCCTGTTCGTCTGTTGATGCGCCCATGAAGTAGCCATGAAGTCTTTGATAAACTTCCACTACCTATACGCTGCAAGGCTTTTCAACGACCACCGATTTGCTCCTGATGGACTTCCAAAGAATCACCATCCGCCATGTCAAGCTATATTAGAAGTCAGTATTCTGTTGTTTGAACAAGTTCCGAGAAAAGGATGAAGAGACATGGCTAAGGAGGCTGAGGAGGCCGACGAGATCATGTGGTAGAGATGGTGGATGGCAGCGAAAAGGACTTACAGTATCTGGGCTGTCCGTAGGCTGAACCCTTTGTCCATCAAATAGGAACCGAACCGTACTAATTTGCTTTCCTTGTCTCTCGCAGAAAGCATTCATTAACTTTTCTAGTTTCGTTGAACGTTTAATTTTGAAGAAAACCTCGTTGTTTCCATCAGTCACCTTGATGTTAAGATGTTCAGAGGGAGGCTGAGGTGCATCCGCCGGAGGGCCACCGGGAGATTGATCTTGGTCTGACATATTGTATGAGGATGGCCCAAACGAAATGTAAGGTGTGCAAGATGGAGGCGCAATATGAGACGAGAGTGAAGAGCTTTGTGCTAGAGTGAAGCGCTTGTTGCTGTAGTCTCAGCTATATCTGGTCAGCAATAGCTACGAGTAAGCATATATTGACGTACAAACCAGATGTGTAAGGTTGACAGGGTGCGCGTTGCGATGCGATGCGGTGACGGAGAAGGCTGGCCAGCGATTTCAAGATCCGAAAGTGAGGTTCTAGAAGGTGTTGGAGAAGTCGTTTCTTTGAGTAAAGCGGCTCTGCATGCTTAGTGCCGGAGGATGGATAATGTAAATCCGGGAAGCCTTGCTGCAGGTAGAAGACAGACAAAGAACAGTTATCTCAAGCTGCAAATTTTGATGTTTGCGCATGCGACAATAGAAGAGTACGGGGAGCTCAATAAAACTCCTTCATCTACCGTCACATCATCCAGACTTCTACTTCTGTTGGACAGTTTAGTACATCAGTGTCGTAATGGTCAGTATACTAAGAGCAGGACTATGGATGGGAAAGTAGGATTGACTTCTACAGGGACTGGAAGAAGATCTTGCCACCAATCCACCATGTCACCCTCGAGCAGTACGTGACAACAGCATTCTCTAGCACTTTCAAACTAATTCCTTCTCAGTGTGCAATCCAAGGTATGCGAGCTCATGCAGAGACAGTTGCGGTGACCAGCAACCACTGAGAGGTTATAGACTGCTTAACCAGGAATTCTTACCAAGAAGACAAGTGCAGAGCCGAGGTTGATGCTTTGTATGAATGCTGCAACAAATTCTATCAAAAGAAAGGGGACGATGCAAAGACATTAAGCTGTCCCAAAGCTACCCTCTTGAGGCTCAAGATGGAGCAACGTAAACAAGGCTTATAGTATGGAAAAGGTCACTCTCTCCATGCCTGCCATTATAATTGTGAATCAACGTCTTCGTGGTCTCCTACACTCTAAGATTTTGGTAATGTATCAAGTCACATCGTAATCTGAGCCCTCTGATCCCTTGGAGAAGTTGGGCCAGTTGACTGGCGACTGGATATTGCTCTTAGACGATCGTGAGCACGCGAGAAGCCCTTTTGGGCCTGAACAAACACTGAAGGCGACGTCTGTTCCGAGACTCTAATGATCGCCTGAATGACATTTGTGAGAAAATAACATTATGCGGGTTGCAACGGTTTTTTAAATCTCTGCCAATGCTCAAAGCCACTAGTACCCTTGGCACACGCACTATCTTCTCCATTTCTGGTTAGACTAAGATCGCGGGTGTATTAAATCGCGTATCTACAAATTGTATCATTTGGCGGAAGCCCAAATATTCGAGCTTTTGAAACTATATCTGTACTCAGAATTATGGCACCTGTGACTCGGTCATCTCTTCAAGGACGCTCGATTTTGAGAGAAGGCAGCTGGCAAATCCCGACTGAAGATGATCTGCCATCAGACCACGCCGCTGACGGCGATGAAGAAGGGGTAGAGGATGATACCACAGCGAGAGATCACCCTGATGAGGGCTTGGATGATGACCTATTTCAAGAGCACCGAGGTATGTCTCTTTGCTCTACATATGGAGGAATGTTCTTACTGAAAAATTCGTAGGGCTAGGTTCACCAATCGATTTCCCTTCCAGCAATACGCAGCAAATCTTGCAACCCCTCCAACAGACTGCTGACCGGGTTAGCCGGCAAGTGGAGGACTTCGCGAGACGACTTGACCGCTTCCATTCATCGAGGAACACCAATCGTGCTACACTCTGGAAAGATGCCCTTGATTTGGCTGGAGCGTTTGGAAGCATCGCGAAGTCGAGAAGATCGCAGACTTCCTCCGACCTTCTGCAAGCACGCCATTCATCGCGCACAGGAGGAAGTCGCCTCGCGCTGGCCCAGGAAGGCCAGCACGAGGTGCAGAGAGCTCAACATGAAGCAGATTTGTGGGACCTTTTTACTTTATTGACCGGCTTTCAAGACCCAAAGCTCCAGACCAACTACGCAAAATCTCAGAAGTTGTGTCTCCGAGGTCTCCATCGCTACTCAGACGACTCCGAGATCTGGGAGGCCTTTTTAAGTGCAGATAAATCTGCCGAGGAATATATGGAAATTCTTAATTGGCTCCACAGAACTGCGAGTGCATCTCGACCAAGCATCGAGGACGTCACGGAATCGCTGCGACACAAAGCAGATCGAGGGGATGGTATTTGGAGCGCTGGTTGGCTTTTTACAAAGGAAAGCGTCAAGAGTCAGAAACGAAATCGATCGTGGCCAAAACCGCTCGATCGCTCGAATCCCGGCTTGCAAAGTTCGCACATACGGAAGTCAGACTCTCGGCCACTTGTTGCACAGCTTGACCCTGATGCCAAATGTCGAGAGGCGGCTGCCCTAGAGGAAGCAGATGAATATCATGAACAAGCTGCATGGATAGCCTGCTGGGAGATGCTGCGGCGTGGTGCAAGTGCAGAATTGGTGCGAGATTGGTGGTCAGAGCGTAAAGAAAGCTGGAGAGCGATAAGCCTCGGAGGAGCAATGCACTCGTCGTTGAGCGACCAAGATCGTCAGTGGACGAGATTCATTGGCTTATGGAGGATGAACGACTGGACCGCATCCTGCTACAAAATCTGCCGTTCAGATAAGGTTGGAAGTAAGCACGAAGCAGCAGTTTATGGTCTGCTGTGCGGAGATGTGCAAGCACCTCTGCAGGTGTGTGCAGCCACGGATGACTATTTATTTGTGCATCTAAACGCCTTCCTGATTGAACGGTACAGAGACTTTGGGACTGCATTCTCTCAAAAAGAATCGCGGCAGTCATATACGCCGGGACCATCAAGATACAACGAAATCAGGAGGCTTGTGCAATACTGCCAGCATAACGAGAAGACCTCAGAGGAGTTCCGGGATCCGTTAAACACCATACAGAGCACCATCATTTCCAAAGACTTTGGATCTTTCTTCCTTCGGCAGGGCAGAGCGTTAGCACAGATCGCTACGAAGAATGGACAGACCTCTAATCTCATCGTTAGTGACGGGGTTCGCGAAGAGAACCAGGCCGTTTACACCACAGCATCAAATCCAGACGGTCTGAGGATTATTGCCCATCAGCAGCTGATTCTTAAGTCTCTGGGATTTCTACAGGAACTGTACACCAAGCATGAAGCGGTTGTGGAGAACAATCTAACCGCCTACATCGAGTGGTTACAGCAAGAAGGGAAGATGGCTCTGATTCCTCTCTACGCCTCAATGCTCTCAGCAGAAAGAAGTGCGCAAGTGCTTGGAGCTGTAATCATGGACGTCACGGACATGAAGGAGAGGGATATGATGGTGAGCTTGATGAAGAGATATGACCTGGATATTTCCCGTGTGCTGCTCATGCAATATCAATTAAATGCTGCCCCTTTGGGATCGATTGACTTCGACAACCCCAAAACTCTCAAACCGGTCAGCATCACTGAATATGTTGGGGCAGGTAAGACGAAGAAGCTCAAAGTGAAATCAGGCTTCATGGGCGAGGAGATCGATGAATCAGAGGAGTTACTGATTCGATGTTTGGAGTGGTACGTGTACGGAGATAAGCAGTCTTGGGCCCAGGCTTGTCGAATAGGATCGACACTACACAAGTACTTCATTAGTAAAGGCAGGCTTGCCGCAGCACACGCCTTGTGCATGCGAGCTCCGCTTTCCACGATTTCCAAAGCTGCTCTGAAGGTTGATCTGAAGCACACAAGCTCATCAGGAGATGCCTCCGAGGACGAGGACGCCGAGATGGATGGTTTCACCGACGAAGATCGAGCTCGGCCGATCAGTCCTTCGAAACGGCGAAACGGTGCGAGAAGACATAGTGCTTTGGCTAATAACGAGGAGTCAGCAGCAGACTCCGCCGAGCTAGCGGACCAGGCCCGCACCTGGCGTCAGCTGGAGGAGCTAGTTGAGGCATTGGACGCCCTTGAAAAATGGAATGAGGTTGCAGAGGAAGTTGAGAAGTAAGTCGAATTCGATACACTCCTGGGAATAGACCGACTAATCTTATGACAGGACCAAGGGTGACATTGTGCATATGCGAACGATGAAGAAGGTCATGCAAGCTGCGCTGAATGACGTGCTAGTTTCTATGTATCCGCTCTTGAGGCCGGATTTCCTATCCAGACCATCTGATGAAGCCGAAGCTATTCCACTCGCCAAGATCCGCAATCACTACTTGCCTGAATGTGTTCTCGCCTACAACAGTGTCCTCTACTTTGCTGGCCACGTCATTACGCGCTCCTGGTTGGTTCAATGCATGAACCTGGCTCAAGAGGTAGCGACCAATGATACCCTGACAGAAGCATTTGTAGCGAGCTCACGCATGAAAGAGCTAGTCTCGGCGTTCGCACTGAGCAGTCAGGCATTGCTTCATGCCAATGAGCAGGGGATTAAGAAAGGGAAGAAGGATGAGGGCATCGAGATTTGGCAGGTGAAGCCGCAAGATGTGGGTCTGATAAAGGATTCATAGACTACATAAAGGCAGCCTGAGGCATGATGCAATGTCGTCAATTTGATCGCCGTCAAGTCAAGCGTCGTCATGGCGTGATCCATGCCAGATGTGCTGCTACATATTAAGAGTCGAGTCTCTTGCAAAGGGCTCGCCTATGCATATGCAACGAGACGCAGATCTGCCTGTTTTCTCGTGGATAGTGCTTGTTTCATGCCAATGCTTGCTCCACCACAAAGAGCGAAGGACTTCCCTGTCGTCCGGTATTGTCGGATAGCAAGTCCCCTCGGCTCTAATGTCAATGTTATTGTGTAAAAGAGGCATCTCTCTCTTTCGGGGGCCCGAGTACACCTGAATTCTTTCTATACGACCATTTGTCTGCAGCAGAAGAACCAGCCACCAATACTGTCCACTTCACGAGGTGTGTATTAATAAGATTAACCACGATTTGCGTTATGTCCTGTGATTGATCTTTCTTTGCTCTTATGATGGCCTCTGCGAACTCATCGCCAACGACTCTCTACGGCTTTACGCCACTCCCTGCCGCTGCTTCCGCCCTGAAGCCTGCCACCCAATCGCCCGCCCGAATGCCCATCGCATCCATCCCAGCGCCAGATTCGCCGCTGGTCAAGCGCATAACCGCCTACGCCCCGTTCCAAGTTAAGTGCCGACACCTTCGCACACAGCATGCGAGTCTACCACTACGGCCTCGCGATCGCGGGGCCAGTGGTTTTCCCGACTGGAACGTCACTCCGGGGTAGTTGCGCTGGCGGGGACGTGGGTTTCTGACCGCCATTCTACATGACATCGGCACCGCCGACGGATTTCTCGATGCCACCAGGTCTGTCGTTTTAGTTCTGGGGGGTGGCATGCATACCCACCGGATCCTGCTGCAGCCGGAGCTCACGTCGACAGCGGAGGGAGGGAGGAACAGCGGCAGGGCCAGCCGGTTGCGCGCGTCGAGCAGACGGAAAAGCGTCATGGAAGCCATCTTCCGGCATCAGGATATCCAGGACAAGGGCCAGGTGACCATGATGACGCAGCTGGTTCAGCTGGCTACCGTTTTGGGATAATGTGGGCGGTAATGCGGAGATGGTGAATTGGGAGACCATCGAGGAGGTGGTCCAGCAGTGGCCGAGGACGGGGTGGAGTGGGTGCTTCAGGGCGGTGTTGGAGCGCGAGAAGGAGATCAAGCCTTGGGCGATGGTTAGTCGGATTGAAGGGTTCGAAGACATGATTATGAACAATGAGACGATGAAGGAGTGGGAGTGATTTCATCATTCGTTATCTGTCTCTAGTATCAACTAAAAAGTGGACTACGGCTTGCTACACAAAGATTGATATTCATCCCGTACATCACGTTCAGCCACTGCCCAAGATGCCGTTCATTTCTTGCTCGAAAGCCCTCATTGCCTTCCGCCAGAGCTCGGGACCACAGCTTATCCTCGCCACTCCAATATCTGCCAATTCCTTGACCGTCAGGTACTGCGTACCCAGATTCAACTTGACGCTGACTCGGCCATCGAGGGCACGAGCGATCTTAGTGACCTCCTCTCTTGTCATACCTCCTCTCTTCGGACCACCCCAGACAAAGACAGTCGTCGCGCCAGCCTCTAAATACGCTCGACCTCTTTCGATCGCCTCATCCACCGTCCCACCCGCCAGAAGGACATCAGTCCTAGCATTGACGACGAAATCCGGCACGCCGACATCTCTAGCCGCCGCCAGCGCTCGTCGCACCCGTCCTGCAGCCTCTTCGACGGGATACATCTTCCCGGTCGCGGTATCCTTGTCCTCGAGGTTGCAGCCCACCACTCCCAGGCGCACGAGCGCTCGCACCGCCTCTTCCAGCCGATCGCCGTAGCCGCTCTGCATGTCCGCGGTAAGCGGCTTGCCCTGTTTGTTCGCGACAGCGGCAATGCCCTCGAGGGCCGCGAGATTCTGCTCCGGTGTCAGGTCGTCGTCCTCGACGCCGGCCGAGGCGGCAATGGCGTAGCTGGCCGTGGCGATGGCCGCGCACGACGGGTGCAGAGCGGCCAGTTTCGCAGTCGCCGCGTCCCAGACGTTGGTTACGACGAGGGGCTTATGGGGCACGTGCAGAGATGCGAGCTTCTTCGCCCGTGCAACGAGGCGAGCCGTCTCCATGTCGGTGTTGAGGTCAGAGGGTTTGACTGTCTCAGACTGGAAGGTGTCGAGAAAGCAGGTACTGCTGAAGGGGCTGTTTCTTCCTTCCATTGATCTGCAACGTCTCCATTTCTCTGCGGAGAAATGTCGGATTTGTCACAGGGCGTTGTACCACGCAATGCAATGCGATGGGTGCAGTGTGCTCCATAGCTGGGATTCTGGAATGATCCTTGGAACGTCGCTTGAATACTGCCTGTCGCTTGAGGCGCACAAATTGGTCCGGGAACCAAATCAGCATTCACCGTAGTTATCCCATATTATGTAGGGCGTGTCCCCGTAGGAAGCTGCGAGATTCTCACTTTCCATAAGGGGGTAGATTCTTGGCGCGCAACCAACAACGAAGTTCCTTCCGGGAAAGACTGATGGAAACTGGGCAGGGTCTTCGATCAGTTGCAGTACTACCGACAACTTCTATGTACCATGATTTCAAATAAAGTGATGCTTCTGGAGCATCAAACATAATGCTATCTTAGCTGCATGATATCTACTTTACTTGCTTGAACTAGAGGACTGACCGAGCCCAGATCATTAGTTACATACTGACGATCTGCCAAACCGTCGCCAAGGCCCAGACACAAGGCCACTTCTATATATCTTTGATTCTTGTCATGGACAATGAGCCTAACAGAGAGTCAGATAGCAGTAACCCAATGGATACAGTGGACGTATTCACCCTGATATTCTTATGGTGAGAAGAAATATATGTGTTATACGTGGAGATCGTGATTGGTATACAATGCCATCTGTCTTTGTATGTTTTTTTGGCGAATGGTACTGTATGTGCGACCAGCCCACGCTTGGGCCCACTGAACGTTTCGACGATACATAGTGGTACTTTGCATATATGATCTAGAGTTTGTGAAGGCTCTTGATGCTATCGTTTGTGCACAGTTGTGTGACTACCGGCTTTCTCGATTGTCTGCAGGCCATGGGACGGAATCCATGTAGACACTCTTCTTGGGCCCGTAGCAGCTTGCTTCATCTCTTCCGCCCGAGTTTCCACCAATGGGGACGTGATTCTGTTTCTGATTCTTGCGGGGAGGCACCATCCTGATCAGTGGCGTCACCGAGTTCAGGAAATGCGTCCTTGTGGCAGATAGCAAGATCGTGTTGTTCACTGCGCCGGGGATCTTCCACAATATAATCCTGACTATCTCTAGTTCGCTTCCTCGATTTTAGCGAAAACGCATCACATTCTGGAGCATACTGGGTCTTTACAGACTCACAAGGAGCTTTTGATCGTTTTTTCGTGCTTGGTGTGTGTGTTCTGGGTCGGATTTGAGATCATTCATATTTGCTGCTATACTTCCTTGAGAGATAAAAGAGGTGTAACTCGTTGGTGTTGAGCTGGTGACGTCGGAGCCACTTCGAGCCGAAGGTTCGCTTTCAGAATTGACAGAGGAGGGCACATCATCGTGATCCTGGTACAGGGTGGGCGGGGTAAGAAGGCGCACGTTCTGCTGACCGTAGATGCCGTTTGGTTTTGGTTTTTGTGGAGCCGCTATCAAGTCGCGCAGTGGAGATGTAGATTGACCAAAAATAACGGCAGCGTCATCGACTAGCAGGCCTGGCGGAACAACACGGCCGATAGCTGATTTTGGGACAATTTGTTGAAGGCGGATGCACTGGCACCGGTAGGCCTCGGGTGTTTGGCAAGGCTCGAAGAGGCTGGAATTGCCACGATGCCACTGCAAGTGTGTTGAAGTCAGATATGTCTGATCCAACCGACAGCCAGCGACATCATAGAGGTCTTTCAAGGTCTTGACACTTGCTGCAAGGTAGTCTTTCCATTTCGGCACGGTTCTCCAGAGACTACACAGGCTCTGGTTATTGTTATTTGTCTGTGGTCGTATGATATCTTCGTATCCATTCGCAAAAAGCACTAGCGCGTCGATATCCCGGACGAGGGCTGGCCACCCTCCGTTCGTTTTGCCAATTGTTTTTTGCTTCCGTCGAAAGGGTGAGCGTTCTTCAACAACAGCCTTGAATTCAAATCCATGAATGACGTCTCGCAGCTTCCCGGTAACCGCAGTGCCTGGTGTTCGATCTCTTCGCACATTCTGATCGATGAGAAACTCGAGCTGTGACCAGATGTTGATGACCATGTCCTTGAATGTGTACTCCCCGCAGTTGGAAAGATCCATGGATGCGCATTTCAAGAGGATTTCTTTCGCTGATGGCCCGGCTGGGCCAGTTGCAAGAAGCTTAACCCGCTTGCCATTCGTTTCGAAAAGCTCTAGCCTGTTACGGTGATGCGCCATGTGAAGCATAACGCCGGAAGCCGGGACAAGCCACGCTCGCTTCTCTGCCGTATCATAGAGAACGACAGGGGTCTTCTCGGCAGCAGATATAATCCTTTGGTAAGGACCACTCCGTTGGAAATGGCACTTGCCGTCTTTCGGGCCAAGTGTGAAGTCGAATTGCGCAACTCCAAGATGCTGAAAACCAAGCACTCCTCCCGCAAGCTTGAGTGGAGTATCGGCGTCGTTAGCTCCTGAATAGTCAATGTTCCCATAGTTGGCTGTATCAGAACCTAGGAGCGAGCTCGCAGCGCTACACCAGCCGACGATAGCACGAGTGGTACGGAGACTGCCGAGATCGACTTCATTGAGAGAGGCGCGATCCTGACAACGATCAAGGACATCTCGATAAGAGAGACGTGTGTCACAATTAGGACTGGATATAAGGTGCCACTGGACCCGGTTGCCACTCCGTCTCATTGGGACGAACATGATGGAAAACCCCTTCATGACCACCCCACCTTCATATTCAACCACGTGTCGAACACCTGCTATCCCCATCATGATTTCTAACGGTATCTCCAGACCCATCTCCTCTTGGCGGTCTGGTATCGGGAAATCGCGCGCGATGGATGCTCCGCAAAAGAGTGGGAGCCAGCAAGGATTCTCAGTGGGATGCAATCGTTCGCACTGGAAAGTTATGGCGAAACATGGGATGATTGATCCACTGCTTTGAATCGCTGCTTTGCAATACGCCAGCTTCTCGTCGTATGGTGAGGGCCTCAATACTGCTCCAATCCAGGCGAGCTGTTGCGCTAACTCCACGAGCATTTCCGCGGCTCCACGAGCATCAACAAACAAATTCCTTTTTGAAGCCTCGTTACCTGCAGCCAGACTGCGAAATGCCATACGGAGGTCCAAGCCGTCAAGAGAACCTGTCGGCGTGTTAACCAGGGACTAATATAGCGTGTTAGGTAAAGCAAAAGTATAAAGTTCCGCAAATCCCTAAGGATCCAGACCCAAAACTTCACTCGTGGGTCGAGCATTGGGATTCATGGATCAGCACCAAAAAGAGAGATCGGCAATAACTGGGCATATATGAGGGATAGAGGTGTGGGATAGCTTGAATGACCTTGCTCACCTGTATAATCTCTGTGCTCCTTACTACCCATTCCTTTGCCTGGGTCGATAATTTTTTGTAATGTTGAGAGAACGAATGAACCGCTGCGTGGCCAATTGGTCTGAAGATATTCCGAGCAAGTTGTTGCTTGAGCATACAAAGCAGACCCAGTTAGAGCCACCAGGGAGCCTATTCGAGGTGCGCGATTCCCAAATTGAGACTGCAAAAACCCTTGAGGGTCCCATGAGACCTGGAAACGGACGCTGTAGATGGGTCGGTGATCGCTGCATCCCTTGCTGTCGTCCTGTGGGCCTGAACACCTCGGACAGGGAGCTGATTCAGCCTCAGACAGCCTTTCCAATATTTGATGTGCGATCCGATCTATACTTGTTCGGTCATCACAGTAGAGGCTTCGGCGCATAGCGGTTGCTAAATCCTGGAACGCCTTGCCTGACACAAGAAAATCTCTAATCGGCGCAATGTCTGCCATATACTCGCCTTCGTCACCGTCATCGCACTCGTCGTCCAGAGCATTATCCGCATCCGTTCGGCCTGACGACGCTACCTTCTCAAATAGGCCAAGCTTTTCCGTGAGTGAAAGCTGCTTGCCTAACCCTTGCAGCCGCTCTGCCATCGATTTGGAGTTTGATGGCGTTGAAACCGCATGATCACGAAAGTACCGCGCGATCTTGGGTCGATATCTGCGAATGAGCTTAGTAGCACCCGAAGCAATGCGACGATCAGTCGCAACGGTTTGGTGTGGCTGCTTGTGCTCCATTTTCACTTCCTGCGAAATTGACAACAGGTCAGCTGCGTAATCCTTCAACATGCCATCGAGACGATGCTCAACGACCTCCGGCGCATGTTGAGCCAAAGCATATCCTGCCCAGGCACGGGCACCGGCTTTATCAATCAGCGTGTCTCCAAAGAACGCAATAAACTCTTGCAAGAAGTCTTGAGGCAGGCCAAGGGAGGTGCCCACAGATCCCAGTGAGCACACTGATTCCGTATCCGTGCCAAGGCCAGTATGGTATCCTGAATCAGAGGGCACTAACTTGTTGAAGGCTACTTTATTGTCTACTAAGCGGCTATCGCCATGTAGACTATTGGTGTCAGATGCGCTCTTCTTGCTCCCTGCTTTGGTGTTCTCGATTTTCTGCTCTAGTTGTCCGAACAGACGTCCTTGCTGTAAGGGTGTTGTCTTCTCGATAATATGTGATGCTGGAGACATAACTACCTTTTCTGATTGAGGATTAACCGTGCGATCAGCAATGGCAGACTCAGGCGGATAGGGCACGGATGGGCTTGACCAGTCCGCCGTATACCGAGTGCTCGGGGTCGTCAGAAAGTGTGGCGGGAGAATTTTTTGAGCGAAAGTGTCGATCACAACCATATATGCATTTAACAAGGGTAGCTCAGCTGGTACCTGAATATCGGGCTCCGGGTATTTTTTGTTCTCGTCTTGGGCGTTGTTATTGGTACAGGTGTTAATAGGATTTCCTGTCCTTTCACCAGGTGTGTGGCCCTCCGAGTACATAGGATCGAACGAAACAGGGCTGTCGTGACCCGACCCCAGATTGTTGTCGTAGATGCCAGCGGAGCTCGAATCAGAAACTGCAAGGGCTGGATATTGTGCCAGTAGAGCCGCTGGTAAGTACCCGCTAGGTGGTGCTTCAGGCAGTCTTCCCTCTTCTGTCTCTTTCTCTAAAAGGGGTTTTATGCAGTTTCGGCCAGCTTCGGTACGGAAATGACGCCCAAGGACCTCAGCCCTGGCAAATCTCCGTCCGCAGCCCCAGCTCCAACCCTCCTCCTTCAGCGTACCCTTGCAGACAAATTTCTTTTTCTCACTGTGGAGCCTTTCATGCCTTTCATGCCGTTTCACGTCATTATATCTTGCAAATCCTTTACCACAGACGGTGCAAACGAATGGCCTCTTATCTGTGTGTTTTTTTGCCAAGTGCGTGCGTAGATGGAAGGCCCTTGTGTATCGCTTGGGGCATAAGGTGCACTGAAAGGTCGCGGGTGATTTCTGAACTCGAGTTCCACTGGGTACAGCGGAGAACGCAAAGGAGTTGTCAACGTCGAGAACAGAATCAAGAATAGGTAAGCTTCTTGTTGTAGAGGAGTTGTCAACGTTGAGAACAGAATCAAAAATAGGTAAGCTTCTCGATGTAGAGGAGTTGTCAACGTTGAGAACAGAATCAAAAATAGGTAAGCTTCTCGTTGCGGAGGAGTTGTCAACGTTGAAAACAGAATCAAGAATGGGTAAGCTTGTTGTTGCAGAGGGGTTGTAGCTTGTTGTTGCAGGGGAGTTGTGAACGTCGAAAGTGAGGTCACGATTGGGTGAGCTTGTCATATCTGAACGGCAGGAGTAATCTGACTTTGGTGAAATCACATTGCCATCGACTGCGGATCGGCCCCGTAAGCGCTCCCGCGCTATGAGTTGTTAGAAATCTACAGGATGACTAGAACGTATAATTCAACCTACATGTCTTTGAGTGGCTAAGGGACCATCCAGAGCTGTGTTCCGTGAACCACTTCGGGGTAATGTAGGCCTCCGAAGGATCAAACTCATCGTTGATCTGTGGAATAGCATCTGACATTAAGACGTCTTCGCTTGCTGTATCATTCTGGATATCACCGCCCAAATCCATTTTCAGAGCGAACATCAGAGAAGCAGGAGCCCGTCCAATTGAGAGACGCAGGTCGTAAAGTTCTTAAGAGGGAAACTATATGTCCTTGACTCATGAAGATGACCTGTTGGGAACATGAGCTGAATGGTAGAAATAAAGAAAGGCCGACGTACTTCGCACAACGACATATCATACAGTCTGGCCATCGTGGTTGGCCGCAGCCACGCACAGCCTCGACGGGATGGACGGAGACCTGGTGTAAGACCTTGTGGCTGCCGCGCCCAGATGAGTGGGCAGTGCACAGATGTTGTACGTACGTAGTAGTAGGGCCTTAGCGCCTGCGGAGCCATTTCACCCGAACCTTATATTTAGACTTTCCAGCAGCTACACGTATTCCCAATTGACGTATTGGGCTGATAGTACTTACAATTGGTCCCTCGAACTGGAAATGTAATCAGGTAGTGCTTTGTTTTGTTCTTGATTGAGGATACTACCAGAGCAGAAAGTTTTGTATTAGCCTTACTAAGTGAGCTTACCCCTGTGTCCTTGCGGAATGGTCGGGTTTCTTTCTGAAGAATAGCGTTCCCATGAGCTTAAATTAATTAAAGTAGTTAGTTAGCTAGCCGATCCGGGGCCGCATCCCGCTGCAGATTTTGACACAATACCACGTAATAACTAGTAGTTAGTCGCTACATAACGATCTGCCGTGCACTGGTGACGTTCCTAGGGGAGCGCCTTGACGAGCTCAGGGCATATTTAAAGCACCTCTTGTGTGGCACCGAAAGAAATATCTCAATTGTTGAATGAGATGAATTCCCCAGACAGTGTTATAAGCGGCAGTCAGAGCTCACCAATCAAATTAAAACATATCAAAGCGCATCGATCCATCCCAACCGCATCTCTTCAAACATTGATCAAGCCTCTCCGGACCCGTCTCGTACAGCCCGGAAAGCCGCTGCCAGCAGGCTCCCAGAAGCTAGAGGTTCCAAACTCCATCCAATCAGACCACGAAGTAAAAGAGTATTGCATTGAGAACGTCTGGATCTACGACATCTCCCTCAAGCATGCAGCAGGGGAATCCGCACCCACCAACACCAGGCGGGATTCCAAGCATCATCGCCTCCTCTACTTCGCTGGCGGGTCCTTTCAATCCCCACCATCAAACAACCACTGGAAATTCCTCTCCAAACTCGTAAAGGAGCTCCACCCAACCTACGTCATCACAGTAGTCAGCTATCCCCTGGCGCCCAACAGCCCCGCCCCATCTTCCCTTCCTGTTCTCGAAACGCTCCTCCGGACCATCCTGCAGCAAGCAGCCCAAGACTCCGTCCCAATAACCCTAGCAGGTGATTCCTCCGGTGGTAATATCGCCATCTCCCTGGCCTTAAAAGCCGTCCCCTCCATTAACCACCACCTCGAAGGTGCACAGAGCCAAACGCTCTCTTCTATGGGAGAGGGGGGGACCCCACTCAGGAACGTACTCCTCATCTCCCCCGTTCTGGATATGCGCTGCACCAACCCCCAGATCTCAGAAGCTGACAAACACGACCCCGTCCTCTCCGCCTCATACATCGAAGACGTCGCAAAAACCTGGTCCGCAAACCTCCCGAGAGACGATCCGGCCGTTTCGCCCCTCCTCGCGGACCTGACGCCGCTGAAGCGAGCGGGTGTGAAAGTGCACGGTGTGCTTGGCACATTTGACGTGCTGGCTCCAGACGCGGATTTGTTCCGTGAAAGGTTGGAGAGCGTGGGAGTGGAGGGGGAATGGTTGGTGTGGGAGAAGCAGATGCACTGTTTCCCTCTGGCTTGGCATTATGGGTTGGAGGAGAGCGTTAGGGGCGTGGAGTGGGTGGTGGATGTGCTGAAGAGGAATGCCTGAAGAGTGGCTTTTTCCGCAGCAGATTGTGTTGGAAGCCACAGTTGCTAAAATTTTGTGGGGTTTGCTTCCAAAGGCGGGAGATCGCGTAATTGAGATCCAATGACTGTGATATTCTCGTCCCATTTCACCACGGCATGATCACAAGGCGCGCTATGAACTTAAGAAATAGAAAGCCATGCTATCACCGGAGCCTCGTCCACTTGACAGGCAGGCGGGCAATCCCAGCAACCTCAATCGTCATTTATCATCCATCCAACGCCACCTTTCACCAAAATTCCACCGAGCCAAATCCCTAACCGCATCCAATTTTTCCCCAGACAAGGCCCCTTACTCCATAAGGGTTCAAAGAATCGGAGCACACCCCGCGGCAATACAAGCCGCCTGACAAGAACCAAACGCCGAGTTACACGCCAAAACAGGTGCAGGGGCTGACGCACCGGCCGTGGCTCCCCATGTTGCACCTAGCGTATCCGACTCATCAGCCTCAGACTACCAATACAGTCTCACAGCCTGAGTGATAAAGAAGCGGAAGTGAAGCAAGAAGGGAAAGAAAGAGGAACGCGAGATGTCGAAGGTGGGAAAAGAAATGGTGTAGTGTGCAACTTACCAGCAGCGGCGTAGCAGGCCATAACAATCGAGGCGCAACCAGCTTGGCAGATCCCGTAGCTGAGGGACCCAGCGAGGGCGAGCGGAGTGAGCGTGAGGCTCAAGAGAGGAACGATGGCGGTGGCTTTCATGTTCCCTTTGAGCTTCGCTGACAAGGTGATGGTTGGCAGCCTGTTGCAGGTGAAGTGAGGTGAAATGAGATGAGATGAGGTTTAACGAATTGAGGTGTGAGCGGGTATGTGAATGAGAAGCATACAAGCTGTGAGAAAGGAGCTGAGCTTGGGAAAGTGTGGTGTTGGAAGCGGACCAAAGATATAGAGAGATAAAGGTCTCCTTTAATTCAGCATAGGCCAGTCAAAGAAGTCCAACTTCGAAGGTTGTGGAAGGGGAAAGATTATTCGCTTCTTGCACCGGCTTTTATGCAGATATCCTCTGGAGCTGCGCGGGGCCTGTGCATTTTCGTGGGGGTCTGTGGCCAATTGGAGGTGTATTAATCCATTTCCCATTTGCAATGGCCGAGCTGGACATGCAGACGATACTGTGACAGGCCACGAAGTTAGAACCGGTTCGTAGTAATGATAGTTCAAGAGGCGCAGTTCTACTTGACGCAGCAGGCTTTGTACTGGGTGGAAAGGTCGGGCTCGCTTGCTGGTATGTATGCGATTAATGCATCAACGGCTTAGATCCTCTATTCATCCTCATCGTCGTCAATGACCCTCCGCTTTTTCCTCGCATGTGGGCTCCCTACTACCGCCGCATCCTCTTCTATCTCTTCTTGAGACCTCTTCGGCGTCCCCTGTCTATCACTCCTCGACTTGGATTGCAAGACAGTCTGTCTGCCCTCAATCTCCAGGTCATCCTCATCCAGATCAGTCTCTTTTGCATCATCCTCGTCATCGAAGATCTCAGGTTCTTCGTCGCTGGCCGCCAGAAACCCGTCATCTTGATCATACTCATCTTCTCTCGTTCTGCCTCTCGGGTAGCCGTCATCTTCGTCATCGCTATAAATGTCGCCTCGTCGGTTGCCACCCTTCCTAGCAGGCTTCCTAGCCTTCGCAGTAGGCATCCCATCCTCATCCTCGAGACCACCAACAGTTAAACCAACGCTTCCTCTGCCGACCCCGCGTCGACCTAGGACCTTGTCCTTGCGACCAGTTTCGCGCTCGATCTGGGCTTCCCGTTTGCGCTCGGCACGTAATTTGTCTTTTTCTGCTAGCTCGGCTCGTGTCTTAGCCAATTCGGGATCTTCTTTCACGTTTCGAATTGCGGCGAAGGGGTCGTGAACTGCCTCTGCTGCAGCTAAGGACTTTTGTAGGGCAAGCACTGCCTCGTCCGCCTGCTCGCCAGAGGGGAATATCTTCATGGCTGCAGTGAAAGGGTGGATGATGCGAAGAACTTCAGCTTTGGCGTGAGGTGTGGATAGGTAGTGTTGCGAGTCCTTGTCCGGATTATAGTCTTGTGATTCGCCCAGCTTCTTGTTCTTACCATTTCCAAAGTCTTGTCGTAGTGCAGTCGTGGACACCCGGTAGTGATCTCGTGGTTGCGAAGCAATTTGTAGTGTCATTGAACCATCTTCCCACTGGATGAGGCGCGTGTTGGATTGTAGCTTTGATAGGTCCCGAGGATCGTGTCGCCAGAACGCTGTGGTTGATGCCACAGAGAAGGGAGAGAATTTGTCTGCAGGAGGTTGAGCTGCTCCATGATGTGTTGTTGGTACCTCGTACGTGTCCGGGTCGTAATTCTCTGGCCTCAGACCTAAAAATGGCGGAAGATTCAAAACATAGAGCTGCCGAGATCAGCTTTAGACATATATAGGTGCTTTGCCCTACTCACGTCACCATTGCCGGGTTCAGGTTCGGCCATACGCCCAAGATCAGAAGGATAGATTCGAACCACTTGATCCACCACAGCCTCCTGCTCGTCGTCCTCGTCTTCGATGGTATCCGCGATTCTGTCTCGACGGCCCTCATCATCTCCGGAGTCCAATTCTGTATCATCAAGTTTCCGGTCACCACTACCAATCGTTAGGTAATCCTATAACACCGACCTCAACTGCGTACGGTTTACTATGTGCATCGCCGTCATCGTCATCACCAAACAGGTCTGCATCCCCATCTTCGCTTCTGACATCCCCATTTGTATCTCGTCTCGAGCCTTCTTTGGTGTGAGAAGCGGCTTCTCCGTTGATCCTGTACTGCGCTTCATTGGTGTCTGAGCTTTGTTCTCTTGAGAAACCACCGGAGCTCTGAGTTCTATCCGAAGCCATGCTGCAAGGAACACGGGCAGGGCTGAAAGCCCCTTGAGGCCAGTGGGCAGAGCTTTTGGAAAAGGTACTGTGAAGAGGTGGGTTGGAGCAGACCAAATTTGCTGCAGGTATCAAGTGTAGACGCACATAGAAATGAAATCCTCCTTCAAGTACAGAAAGTGGTTCACAAGAGCCCGTTCATGTCTATGCTGTCCTGCGCAGTAAAGTATGTAATTGAACAGGTAAATATGCTGGACCTTCGGACCCCTGCCAGCGGGAGGAACTGAAAGGGCTTAGTGTAGAATATCCGTATGCTATTGCGGTGACACTCTTCAGACTTCATATTTACAAGCCTCCCATCTGTCAAGTGGATGTTCTTTTGGCATATTCTAACTACTACGACGACTACGGGCCCAAAATCCCCGAAAAGTGGTGTGAAGGTGTTGGCATCGCGGTGCTGGCTCAATCATGACCTTCTTTGCAAGTGTGTATGTTCACCTGCCGTGTTCCCCTCGTTGACTATCCCCCGGTTCGCTTGCAGAGTGAGGTGTCAACTGTAACAGACACCAAAAGCACAAGGGGCTGACCCCATTTGTGTTTGTTTGTTGTCGTCCGCATGACACCTCACTTCAGATTGTATCAAATCCCACAAAACACTACCTCCGCTGACTATAAATCACTTGTCTAGACGCCAGGGCTTTGGCCGCGCAAACACAAAGAGCAACAGCAATCTCAAAGCAGCAGCAGCAGCAAATGGTGCTTCAACATCAAACTCAAACATCCCGCCATTACCTTCTATGACAAATTCTCCTTCAGTGTCATCATCCTTGGGTATGGACAGCAACTACAACGACGGCGAGCCAAAAAGGTTCTTCAGTGAGAAATACGCCAAATGCTCGGTCAAGGGAAACTTTTTGACATTGGCTGCACAACCCAAGAATGTGGAACTGGGAGAGTGGTTGGCACATCAGTGTGAGGGGGCTAGGTTGGCGTTTATCGATTAAAGCTGATAGGCCATAGTGGTTGAGATGAATCGTCTTCTCACTGGTATGATCCAAGTGATCCAAGAAGTTGACACCAATACTGGCCTTGCAATCTGTAATGAGAAGAGCTGCCCCACTATGTCAGCTGGCCGGTATGTGTCCATCATGAACATCCATGTATCTGTGATGCTCTGACAAGTTCCAGGCTCACATACACTTGGCTCGAAGGCGGTCGCCCTGCCAAAATCCCTGCTCCATCTTATATCACTCGTGTCCAGAAATGGATCGTTGGCAAGATTCACGATCCGGCCACCTTCCCTACCGACCCCCCCACGTCAGTTGCATCTACCGCCTTCGCTTCTGGTGACACATCGTCACCTGCCAACTATTCTACTGGAGCTCCTATTGCTGCCCCGCCCACTTCTCTCTCCGCTCCGCTCTCCCAACTCTCCGGCCAACAAAATGACTGGGTGGGCAAATCTTCCGGCTTTCCACCCAATTTCCATGCCGATGTCCGAAGCATCATCAAGCAAATGTTCCGCTGCTATGCACATCTGTACCACGGTCACTGGGAGAACCCGTTCTGGCACATTAATCGGCACTTGGAGTTGAACAGTTGTTTTGTGCATTTCGTCACTGTCGCCATGTACTATGACTTGCTAGGCCGAAAGGACATGGAGCCGCTACAGGGATTGATCGACATATTTGTTGGCCAGGGGGTGATTCCGAGGGAAGCTGTCCAGCAGCATACGGGCTAATCGGTCAACCGGACGTGAAGTTTTATTTTACTTCTGTTCGGTGCAGAAGAGCTTTCGCCAACGAGAAGAAGAGTTGGTCCAACGATACCGGTACGGCATAGCATTTGGGAATCTGGGGCTCGGCGTTTGGCGGCCATAGTCGTGGCTTATGGAAGTTTGGGATTGGCGCATGAGCTGACGACCTGACCAGAAGGTCAACAACTAGGATGAATATCGACTTGAACCGAAAGTAAGAAACGTTGAGATATTTTGAACGCTGTAGCATAGGAATCGTCTACGGACAGCTAGCGTTGAAGCAGACTTTGTGGATGGCTTTATGACATCAAAGCCTCCACCTTCATAGAACATCAAAGACAATGCCGTTTACTTCAAGTATACTCACAAGTGTCTCCCAACAATGCAACGCTTTCCTCGGTCTTTTCAAGGTCCAAAAAATGCAGTAGCTACCCAGCAAAAAAAAAGGTAAAAGCAAGCGCTGGGCTCGAACCATCTCTATAGATTAGGTCCACTAATCATCTCTTTCCCCATACAGAACCAAGAACCCACAACCCACAACCCAGAATCCCATCCCATTAAACAAGCCGCAGTAGAAAAACGAAAGAAAGGGCAATAAAACTGTGCCCTCGATCCTCCTCACACTACCAGCCCAAAGGGGAGGTGGTGTGAGGAAGCGAGGCTCAGGAAAATCAGACGAACTGAAAGTTTTACTTTGTCAGGTGGCCAAGTTTGGTAGTGGTTATCTGCGAAGGGCGTCCCCTCCGCAGATTACCACTACACCACTTGGCCACCCGACGGAAAATTGTGGAGTGTAAACATTCATATATGTGTGTTTTTGTGAGGGGTCGGAATGGGGAACACCGCTCTTGAATTTGGTTACAGGAGTATAATACATGCATGTATATGATCGTAGGAGACTGAGATAATTCTAAGAGAGGGTGTCTTACTTGATTTCACCTTCGACTTATTGTTACCAAGTACGTGATTGGTTATTTTCGCTCGCGTTAACGTCCTAAGATATCATTCAACCTGACCTGCCACTCCGTCCTCCTTTCAGGGTCTGCCCGGGTATCTAGCAGCGCCAACGTGCTCCTGACCCCTTCCACTATCCGAAGACATAAAGCCTCATTCTTCTCGTGGTGCGTCGCATTGGACATCTTCGATCTTAGCTCCTTATCACAATTAACCCTTCCTAGCGTTGCCGAAGCTTCAGTGCTCTGGTAGGCTCGGGGAAATTCGCCGGTTGCCACAACAAGGCCGTGGTAGGTCTTCTGACGGCGCTCAAAGGCGTCACAGAGGTTTTGGAGGATGATGAGTGGTGGCTTGGAAGGGCATGCCGACGAGGAGGCGGATGACAGAATCGGACAAATACCCGGTAGGTGGATGCCAGGGGGTGGAGCATCCCCGAACACGTATTGACGGATGAGATAATGCGCAAATAGTTTCCATTCTGCTTCTTCGGTCTCGGTCTGGGAGTTGGCTGTATCTGTGCTGGTGGAAGAGCGGACGTTGGGGTCAATGGAGAAGCCGCGGGCTAGATCTTGGGGTGAGGTGCGGAGGATACGAGACCAGCTATCGGCGATGCCGCTTAGAAGTGTGGCGAGGAGCATGATGTTTTGCATGTTGGATTGGAACTTTTGGGGACACTTGGGGCAGTAGAGGACGTTGTGGCCGGTACGGGTAGCAGTTTGGAGTGTTTCGATCGTGTTCGGATTCATGGGAAGGGAGGTGAGAGTAGACAAGTTAGATAGAGCGAGGTAGATGTCTGGAAGACAGGTGCAGGGTAGAGCAACCGGAGAGGGTGTAAAGGAGGGTGGAGCTGAGGTTACTACGGGATTATTGTGGTGAGTGGGAAGCCCATCTGATGCAATAGGAGGTAAGTGGGTTGACGTCCGTATCTTCGGGCTGCAGGCATTTGAGACGCTGACGGGGAGATTGGTTGTGTTGAAATGATCGTTCCAGTCGAAAGTGGAAGGAAAGCTTTCGAGCATGGCGGAAAGCGATGGGGTGGGCGGTGAGTGGGATGGAGGCGTGGCATCATTGTCGATATGGTTGATACTGTTACTAAAAGAGCCAAAGTCGTCAAAGAGCAGATCTTCATCGGGTACAGGTGCTGATGATGGAGCTGTGGCTGAACTGGTGGAGCTGGGCATTGGTATTGGACATGAGTCCTGGTGAACGGTTTGAAATCCATCCTGAACAAGTTGGTTCGCTTCATTTAGACCATTCTCATTCGACACTAGCATCTCGGCCAGTGCTGAATGCTGCAGTTGGCCCTCTCCGGGTTCTTCAGCAATTTTCCGTCTCTTTCGCGGGCGTCCCATCTGCATCTGTAGGGAGTAGTGGCATGTTAAGTGCTGTTTGGTGCATCGGGTACATCCCGTGGGTTGACCTGAACATCTGAGCTTTCGCTTTCCTTTGATGAGATATTAATACTTCGGGCGATGGTCAGAGGACGTCCAATGACTTACGACATTCATCACAGGCAGAATGCTGCTTTGCGCTGGTGTCGGTCTCAGACATTGCGGGACGTTGGAGAGCAATATCAGCTCAATGTATCGATTGGGGGAGGGTTGTGTAACTAGGAATCTAAATACGCAGGCGCCAAGGCCCCACAACGTGTTGAGCTTAGTATTGGAACGAATAATTCCTTGAGATGAACCCGAATACATCAAATTTCGAGTTATTCATTCTTGCTACAACCGTGTGTGTGGAGATGTAAGATAACAGGCAGGGTTCTAGAAGCAGTGTGGTCGAAGTCGGCGACTTTTACGCACAACAGGCTGCAACTTCGGAGACATAAAGGCTTGGCAACACAAAGGAGAGCGAAATCTGGTCCACACTCACCTCAAAGCCTACCTACTGTTCAGGAAAGTAACCCGCAGACCGCTCTGGAAGAGACGTGAAGCAAGGATGGAATCATCATCATGAGCCACACCTACAAAGACGGTACATAGCCGCAAAGGATGAGGAAAGAGCTGAAGTTGGGTGACATGTAACTAATATCCTCCAGATTTTAGAGCCGATCAGCATGCAAACATCTATCCACGTAAGAATTTCACGCTAGTCGGGCTCCGCTGATACTATATCCGCACTTGAACTAATCAAAAACATGAACCAACCATCCTGCCTTCCTTTCACTGCTGTCCGCCCTCATGACTCCTTAGTAATCACAACCGACCTTGTTTCCACGCTCTCTCGCGGCGGCACCTTGGCTCCGGCTAAGGGATTCTTGAACGAAACATGTGGGCAAACTAAAGACTGGTCTAGTCTGAACGTTTAATACAGTTGAAGGTCTACTTACATCTGGCATGAGTGCCGGCTTTGGTGTCAAACATAACAAATGCATAAGGCTCTGACCTCTTTTGTGTGGATAGCCAATACCTGTGCAGAATGTCAATCAACAATTTAGGTGTGTTCAAATGCGGGTGAGAGACGAACCACTGATGTTTGGGGTTGAACTTGAGATAGTAAACCTCCCCAACACGATCTGGAACTAGCCGATCAGCTGCCATAAGGTCTGTTTCACCAACTGAACGACTATCACAAAGAGCCAGAGGCTGATCCTCTAAAACTGGAAGCAAGCTTCGCCAGGTACTATGAGCGTTCATCAGCAAAAAGATCCATGTATGCTCTACAGCAAAGCTTGGACATCTGTTACTTAACGATGCGAACGCGGTAGCCAATCCTCAAGAACGCATCCTTCTCTGGCTGTGAGAGATATCTGTTTATCACCTGGGGCGCTGAATCAATTGTTATATCTGGTAGATATTATTGACATGGCGAGAGTGTGGTCTAACTACGAATCTGGCCTCACCGTTGTGCGCTCCTCGCGCCGGTCCTTCTGTATGTAACGGGTTGTTTAGGTCAAACTCAGTTCGCTGGAACACGATGTTTTTTCGCAGTCGAAGATCATAACATTTGACATGGGTTGCTCCAAGAGCTTCCATCAGGAGCTGTTCGGTCTCTCTCTTGTATGCCTCAACAGCATCCGCCGCCGTAAAGGCTGGGATTTCAGTGTCATGTGAAAGGACTTGAAAGCCATAGTTCTCAAGACTGACATCGCCTTCCAAACCGCGGATATCACTGATGGCAACGTTATGATCTTCGAATTCGAGATTGTCTACTCGTTCCTTGTCTGGATCGAAACCCTTCTTCGGTGGTAAGAAACACCAATACGGCTTCTCGGTCTCATACAGTTCGAGATCTTGCAGGTATCTCTGACACATTAGACGGTAGGAATAGTATGCAGTAGATCTTCGCACTTACTCAATTGTTCCTCGAACATCAGGCATTTTAGAATCATTATAAATAGTAGTAAGTTAAGAGTCGAAATTCTAGACCGTCACGAGAAAATACAACTGTGGGAGAGGCTGCTGTCAAGTCAGATATGGTCCTGAAAATACCCCCCCCCTTTCCCGTCATCCGGTCGTTTCAGCCTCCATCGCAATTGGCCTGGAAGTTCGTCCTTGGATAGGCCAATTCCTCCTCCTTATGTGGGGGTCAGATATTAGCCGTTCTGCGCCCTCGGCCCCATTCACGCAATCCTTGTCAAATGCCCTTACACTGACGAGACCCACATTCTCTGGGGTGTCTGGGCATATACCGATGAAGGCAAATAAGATCCGTTCGCAATACCAGACAGGCAGCATCAGAGATATGCATCCGGATTCTCCCACCAAGACCGGCGAACACTTCAACTTTCCCCCACACAGAGCATTAGGAAATCCCCCCACCATGGGAGAACAAACATATTCCGTACGTGTCAGTCGCATCTCGATTCAATATCTCAAGTGACTAACATCATTACACCATGTAGGCTTCGCCGGCGTTGCCTGGTCCAAATACAAATGACGACTCTCCGTCTCCCCCGAGTCCCTCTCCAATCCACGCTCCCTTGCCTGAGCCGGTCGTAACGTTCTTCGGTAGTGTGAGTTCTGAAGGTTTTCCCCGACCGACACCAAAAATACAACCATGGAGAAAGATTTGGAAGGGCCCACAAGCACCATCACCCGATGGTAAGCTCGTGGTTGCATGCCCGAGGAGGTGTAATTATGGTACGTATGCAGTTTTTTGTTGCTTTGAAGGAATCTCGGTAAGATCGCCAGGTCGGATATCAATAACACCAACGAAAGCATGGCATCAGTACCGGATTGTGTGCCTACATCAAGTGAAATTGGCCCTCATATGAAAATCAAGATATAGGGTTTTCTGGCAGACACATGCCAGGCTCGCAGTTCTTGCATGTTAGACCGCAAGGCTGACTTCTGAGTGTCACTACACAGGCAGCAATAATCTCGGCGGTTACTAAATTGACTTCTCAATATCGTTCACATTCGGCCGTTGGGTCAGGACATTCATTTTGCATCTCTTGAGGATCTTATGGCGAGCATTCCTTCCATTCTCGCTGCCAGGTAATGGACATTCAGTCTATTACAGACACGCTTTCCTCCTCTAAAGCCTTTCACTTGCGATGCATTCTGCCACAGGCTTGGAACAGCAGCAATAACAAAGTCCAGTATGGTCTTGCACTTGGCTTTTCAACCAAAATACAATGGATTGAGGCTCTAATACCACAATCTCGATCGCCAAGCACAACGACTCTGGGGATACTGCCTTGTGTGTCGCCTTGTCCTATGGGCTGCAGCGTGATTAACTCCCTTTGGAATAAGTTGGGCACCATGCAATGCATATGTATGACCCGGCATGACCATCACAGCCGGAGTGCAAGCTGAGGATAGACATGCGGCCAACCTGATTGAGACGTCTCTCGCCTTGTCTGCTGCTTCATCCGCTAATATCTCGTCTTTTGTGTGGAGCGGGGTATTTAAATCCTCGTTTCCGCGTTGCATATGTCTGGACCCCGCATGACTGTTTACGGCTCACATGGCCTGATAACTGGCTGTGATGTCGGGTAATCATAGACGAGAACTTGGACGAGAACCCTGACCGCTCAACTCAACCGTGTCCCTCAATTTTCTGCGCACAACAAACTAGCGTAAGGCATTCTCTTGCTGGGTACTTTGGCAGTACGCTAGTTATCTTCACTGGCACCAACCACCAGACTCGAAAGGACTTGCTGTTGGCAACTACGCAAAACTAACCACGGCAATTCGAGACCTTGGATCGCAATCAAAGCATCGTTCAATCCCAAGGGTTCTAAAGTGCTTCCTTCTACGATGACCGAATATGATCTCGAGCATGGTGAAAAGAAGAAGGTAAAAAGATCAGACACCTGGGTAAGTAAGATAGTAATAATGATGCCCAATTTCGTCATCATAAAATGCCTTGAAGCCTTCTCTTGAGCTGACCAGCACACATGAAGAATTCCATATACGCAGCCAGATTCCGTCGACCGACCACCTTATCAAATGTAGCTGAACGAACACCAGAGGTGCATGAAGCTGGTATGGCTGTCTGATTGTTGACCACCTCATGGTGGTTTCTCCTGACCTGGTATTGTTAACTTCTTCGCAGAATGGGTTGCCAAATTGACTCCACAGGAATTCCAGAAACGAGATGATCTTGTTTCTCTACTTGTTGGCGGTGAAAGGATTAAAGGGTCACTGGCGGATTCGTGCTTGTGGTACGGTCGATATCTCCAATCTAAATTTCATCACCATTGGCACCTTCTTGCCCCAGCGCTTGTCGGTCTCGAGGACAATGTGACACCTGCATCTGGAGACCTCGTCATTGTCTACTGCTTTGTCATTGAAGTCGCAAAGCTTTTAAAGACCAGAAAAAACCTTGCACTGGTCGAAATCGTGGATGAGTTGGACAATCAGCAATTGCTAAAGCCGCAGATGGATGAGGAACGTGCAATCCTTAATCAGATCGTGTTTGCAACGTTGGGCTGGCTCAGTACGGATCACCCGAGCATCTTCGTCTGCGTGAAATGGCCAACTGATCTATCGGCCAGGTATGCTGTACGAAGCAGTTCCGCACCCAGCAGCAAACAAACTTGAAGTGGTCAGGACATCTACCACCTCATCCGGATATCGCAACTCGCTCAACACGAGGAAATACCACAGCTACATGCGGAACTTCGACTACATCGACTTCCCTTTTTTCGAACTGCTGGCAAGATTTGGAGAGCTGACCCCTCAATGGAAACCACATTTCGCCAATGAACTCGGATCATTACGGCAAGCAGAAGTCATCTCGGTAAAAGATGTTTGCTTCAACACGTTACAAGGCCTCGCGGATCTCAAGATCGAGTGGGTCACATCGTTGGCCCTTCATCTGGAGATGGATAGTAGTAAGAAGACACTGAAATTGTTCCAATTCCCCTCGTTTTGTAGAATGATGGTTGTTGAAAATGAAACCCATTTACTCTCTAGGTGAACACCTTCGCTCCTATCACTGATTGAAACATTCTCTTACACCGGTAGGCTTCTGACTGACCATGCGACCCGGCTTTACGAGGACGTCAGAGCACCAGAGGTGGTGACAGAACAGTTCTTCAAGGAAATCCTGCTTACTTACCGGTTGATATTCGGACAAGATGATCGATCATACAAGGCCTTTTCACGAATGGTCCCAGTCTGGGAGGAGCAATGCGGCCGGAGCTCATGGGAGACAACCTGGGCCTGCGATCCAATGTTGCTCACTCTCTGCGGTAAGAGCGCGACTAGCGACGAAGCCCGAAAGATCTATGACGAAATCGATGAACACGAGCCCGCTAATTGCTACAATGCACACCATGAATTTCCCTTCTTCGCAAAACGATTGCTCGAGCTCCAGGAATTCATCAAACACCACCAGCCGCAGAATTTGAGAGCATTGCTGAATGATCGTCGAGACGTGGCGGCTTGGTATACCCTTTGGAACAACCAGGTGAGCATGAAATGCCTTGTACCGGTTCGTCAGCCATTACTAAGACATGCATCCACAGCTTCTCATCATCTTTGCCACAATCACCATTTTGTTGATGATGCTCTCCCTTGTCCTCCAGGCCTGGCAAGTCATGCTGGCCAGGCAACAGCTGCAACAGCTTGGTTAGGCTTCTCCTCCGATCTGAGATTTTGAGGCAGCGGTCCTCATAAGTCCTTGGTTGAAGAAAAAGCGTAGTTATAGATCTACCCAATTCAATTTAAACCATACCCTTTCAACTACTCTACCCCACTCGTGAATAGAGCATATCCATTCGTTCATTATGTCTTCTTTTTCTTTCTTTTGATCCGCTCAGTAGTATTCCCCAAAGCTCACCCGAACCCAAACCAACCCAACCGAGTAACCAACCAACTACCAATAAAACAACGGCACCAACGCATCGTGCGTATCTTCCTCTTGATCCCTCTCCGTATCATTCCCCACAGCTCACCAAAATCCAACCCAACCCAACCAAGCAACTAAGCAACTACCGATAAAACAACGGCACCAACGCATCGTACGTATCTTCCTCTTGATCCCTCTCCCTATCATGCTCATCCACAAACGGAATACTGCCACCCTCCCCCGACGCAATCAGCTTCTTCCGCGCCAGGTCGGCTCGCTGCCTCAACGCATCTGCCTCGGAGCTGAATTTGCCCAACACGTCGCTCTCGAGCACGACGGCGGTTTTCCAGAGGATGCGCGCGATGACGCCGTCGTCGTGGGTGGGGGAGCGGAGTTCGGCGATTTGGCGCGCTTTGTTGAGGTAGCCTCTGGTATTACATCAGTTCAATTGTGGGAGATTGGAAGGGTTTGTGGTTGGGTCTAAAGGGGAAGGGGGGGTGGGCTTGAGGCGGAATATGAGGAGGCAAAATGCGTACTTGGCCACTTCGGCGTGATCCTGGGCTAATTCCACATCGGCGAGCGAGTAATATGCCGCGGCGGTGATGGGGTGGGTGGGCATCTCCTGGAGGGCGATGCGGAGACATTCTGAGAAGGACCGTTGGGCGATGGACCAGCGGCCTTGTAGGACTTCGCTGTAGCCGTAGGCGAGGTGGACGCTAGAAGCTTTGTTAGAAGACTGGAATAGATGTCTGAAATCGGATGAGGGCAATTACTGAGCCATGGCGACTGAGGGGGCACCTAGCCGCATGAACATGGATTCGGAAAGAGTGATCTTCTTCTCCGCTTCTTGGAAATTGTTCGACAGCATGTGCATCCGGCCGACGCAGAGATATGTCAGTGCCAGGTGCGAGGCAGTAGCATCCCCGCCGGCAATCCAAATCAGTGTCGCTCTTTCGAAGTAGTCGCTGGCTTCGGTGAGGTTACCGGAGGCCGTTTCGAGGTTTCCGAGATTGTTGTATACACCGGCGACTTTCGACGATCAGAATATAACACCAGGAAGGGGAAAGGCAGGTAGGGGCGATGTGCGTACTTAAGGGGTCATCATGGGCAAGAAGCTCTTTTCGAATTCTCAGAGCCGTCTCCCACGCGTTTCGACAATCAGAAAGCCGATTCAGGTCAAAGAAGCGGGAGCCAGCGATATCGACTAGGCGGGCATAAAGCCTGGAGGTTTTGTCTTCACATGCTCCAATGGCGGTTTCGACCACAGGTCCACTTCCATCGAAGTCTCCGATCTCGTAGAGATACCTTGGTAAAAAGCTCAACTTAGGAAAGGTATACAATTCAGGGTTCAATCTTACCATGCGCAATTTCTGAGCAGTTGCAAGAAGTAATCATGTGCTTTAAGCTTGCCAGACGGAGCGTATTCGGAATACTTCTTGCTCAAGTACACGCCATGAGGAATATATTCTTGACACACATTCCAGCTTTCGTAAAGCGACTCGCTCGTCCTTTGCTTTGGGAACTGCTCATAGACCAGCCGAGATGCAATGTCGAAACTTTCTTGGAGATCGTCCAGGTCATGGTAATTGACGGCTTCCTGGACAACACGATGGATTGACAGAACATGGCGGTCTCTCCTAATGAGTTTTTTTGCCAATAGTTCATCAACCGCCTTTTCAAATTCTGGCGAAGGTGTGACTATACTGAAGAGTGAAGCTCGATCTTTACTGTCGAGATAGACAGAATCTTGCTTGCAGAAGGCAAGGCGACCATCTAGTGCACGCTGGGTTCGTGGAAGAAACAATTGAATCGGAATGCCATCTATTACTGTGTCAGTCTTTGGATGAATTTTGGGAGCTCAGTCCCGAACATACCGGGTGAAAGCCATGCAAGAACACCAAGAAGACCTCTGGAATTTTTGGCTAAGGAGTTAAAAGTCATGTCCCAAAGGGCATCAAGTGGTTTCTCCGTGCTAGAGCGATCACTCAGGTGGCGCTCCGGAAGTGTTCGACTCTTCTCTTTGAATACCTCGTAAGTCTTCGCGATTGTGGGACCACCAATTTCTGGATTTTTTATCAAGATAGCTGCTTGTCGAATTGCAAGCGCCAGCCCCCCGAGCTTTTCAAGCAAGCTTTTGGCAGCCGACACCTCGCTCGGTGGGATATGGCCTTCTCGCTCCATTTTCTTCCAATCGTCACCAAGGAGTTGGAGAAGCAGGTCCCAGCTCTGCGCGGGATCAAACGGCTTGATGGTTTCACCCTTTCGTTGCAAGTCTTTGGAGAAATTGTGGTATCGCCGCGAGGTGGTGAGGATGGCCCCAGATGCTCCCATGGGCCAGTACCCCTTGAGGATCTGGTCATGTTCTTGTTGATGAGTTAGCCGAAGAAACGATTTTGAGTAATATCTGCCATGTCACTAGAAAGGTTCCAGATTGAACGTACCCGCATTGTCGAATATCAACAACCATTTCCTTGCTAAAAGAAGGGCACGTCAGTGTTCAATTTATAGCTGTTCATCAGGGGATAACCCAACATGTCTTTTTCAGCCAATTCTGGACAGCCAGTTGATTTTCTTCGTGATGGCCATCTCGATCAGCTCCTGGCAGGTTTAGAGCCACGGCCACATTGGTGAAGCTTTGACGAATGGAGACAGATGTCTCGCATTGGATCCAAAAGATGGCATCGAAACCAGCTTGGTTCATATAGGCAAACTGCAACGCAATTTCCGTCTTGCCGACCCCACGGCGGCCATATATGGTGTAAGTTCTGAGCGACTGGTCGTCCTTGGGGCTTAGATACTTTTCAATTTTTTCCAGTTCAACTGCGCGACCGTAGAAACGCGGATTCTTACTGAATGGCAAGATGATATTTGGGAAAGTTCCTGGTTCATCACTTTCAGGCATTAGGGCATGCCTCAAGGACATATTTCTGATTTGACGATCCTGATTGGCTTTTGAATAGCTAGCAACTTCGTTCACATGCTTCACGATTCCCTCGAGCTCCGAGAGATTCCAGTTGATATTCTCGCGGAGGTCGGGCCATGCCTGCTCAGCAGCGGTATCTAGAGACCTCCGTGAGTTGTGAAGAACTATCAACTAGAAAACTCTGGTGGGAAAATAAGACTAACCGGAAGCGTATTTATGAAGATAGGTTATGGAATCCGATAGGATGATGGTGAGGGGATCAAGAAAATCCACAATGTTCAGCAACACCTCGTTCACCTGGTCACACGAGGAAAGACATTGGTTGAAGAGCACCACAACTGTGCGAATCTTATTTAACAAGTCCGCCGTTCGTTTGAGCCTGTCCGGAGATGTGTAGGAGAGCTATGACGTGTCAATAGACGTTGAGTTTCTCACGCCGAGAAATTTCTTACTTTCAAATTCAAGTAGATCATGCCCCAGAGCAAATCGAATCTTGCCACTTGAGGTGCTACCAGGTTGGCAAAGTGTCGAGTAAGGGTACTGAGAGTTCGAGGAAGAGGTTGTATTCGACCCAGGAGCCTCTTCATAGCCGTTGTAGATGACGTATCCATGAGTTTTCCGTGAATCTCTTCCTTGATGTCGTCCCAGTCATCATATTTGGCAATTATCTTATGGTCTACACCCGTGAGCCCGGATTAGCAATTTTTAGATTTCCCTAGACCGACCTGATGCTGAAAGTCTCTCGGCCGTTGCCCTCAAAATATCTCCCCATCGAAAAACGGCAAATGCTCTCGTGTCCCTGGTTGGGTAAATCAGACGCCGGAAGTCTCGGCATGAAGGCTGAGGTGCTCACTCGAAGTCAACATCATACTCGTCTTTCCGAAGAGCTCCTGGCGTCTCCGAGACATGGACATCGGACATTCCATCTGCTATCTCGTTCTCTGCAACGGTGATTCCGTTGCTACTAGATGAAGGGGTATAAATAAGGAAGTCGGATCCTGAACCTTCCTCCAGATCTGGGGTATGTAGAACCCCATTTCCATTATTTTCATTTCCTGGCATACCTCCAGATAAGGTCTTCGATGGAGTTGTTTGTTAGACCAATCAGGCTTCAATGCGTAGTCGCAAACCATCCAACACCGACAATACAACGCCCTTGCCACCAAAGTCAGTCACATAGAGTGTGTGCAACGGAGGAAAATGGCCATATTTCTAGCAATCAAAGCTACCAATAACCAAATGCGGTTCAAACCATTCGGAATGAGCAGTGACAGGGAAGACCCACGGGAGTGGGGAGAGCAACAATGCGGCCAGAAGCTTCATTTTTAGGAGATTGCAAAAGTGAGAGGGAGGAGGTAGGTTAAGTATAGCCGAGATATGCATTCCGGGGTGGCCTGCTGCGTGCTTCGTAAACCATCACTTTGATTGATACGCTCTGCATGGGCAGCTTCGCACCACCTTTCGCACCACTCTCTGTGCGGCTTGATTTTAATGGGTACCTCGTCTCGACCACTGAATGCCTTGCTTTGCTCAAGGTAGTAGAAGTAGGGCGCCCGAAATCTGCCTTATGCTAGGAGATTCCCCGGTTGCCAGCTGGTTAAGTAGTGTCCAGAAAGAGGATAAACACCTGTACGATTGAGTCGATCATACATCCATGCATTGGAGGAGCATGGTCATGCTTATGCGGATTCAGGAAAGTAGAGGGGTTTTAGGAAGTACGGAGGGGAGGCAAAATCCCGACTGAAGGACAGTAGCGCTGAAAGGAATTGAACCTAACCAGTAGTTTAGCCTCCTACTGGCTCTTAGAGTACTACTACGGACTACATAGGTTAGAGAAGTAACAATACCAGCACCAGAACTAGGACCGATTGTGTCAACGCATCACTTTATTCCTTCATCAGCTCATCCCTTCCATTCGCCCATCCATCGACCAGCATCAACATTATCATCATTCCCGAACCCTTCACCCACCTTTCGTATCCTTGCCTCAAACACCCTACCCTGCCCTACCATACCCTAGTCATTTTCTCTCGACGCTCGCCTGCATCTCACCCTGATCTGGGTGAGACCGGGGTGAGCTGGAGCGGCATCACCCTAGGCCCAGTCCGGTGGTGAGCTCGGGCCAGATTTTGCGGCTGCAAGGCCTGATCAGGTTTGCAGCGCGGAAACTTCCGCCTTTCCCCGAAAATTTATGTCTCTGGTAGGTGGACTTCGACACAGCACATTGCACGTCGCTGGTAATGGCTTCATTGGAGGTTAAAAAGAAGCGCAAAGCTGTAACTCGAGATGTTGACTCAGGTCCAGCCATTGTATCTGGAGATGAACCCGGGTTTGCTCAGCTCGATGGCACACTTGCAAGCAGCGACGACTCAGAGATTGGTGACAACGATGATAGTATCTTCGACTTTGGGAGCACAGAGGAGTCTAGCGAGCCGGTAGAAGACTTGAGCGATGATGATGGTGGGGGCAGTGCACGAAGCTCAGACGATGGATTGTCGAAAGGCTCAATTGACCAAAAAGCCAAAATTGCGCAACCTGTGGACATAGAAGTCGAAACGACTGGGCTCAGTGGAGAAATTCCTGACAATGAAGAGGAAGACGATAGGCCGAACTTTCGAGTGCAGAAGGATGCAAATGGCAACGACCGCTACATATATGATGAGATCGACCCAGACGACAATTCCGAACTGGATGAGTTGGGACCCGAGGAGAACACGATTGGCAATATACCCCTCTCGTTCTACGACCACTTCCCCCATATTGGCTACAATATCAATGGGAAGAAGATTATGCGACCAGCAAAGGGTGCCGCGCTTGATGCATTGTTGGACAGTATGGAGATACCAAAAGGCTGGACAGGCCTAACAGATCCATCCACAGGAAAGCCATTAGAATTGAGTCAGGAAGAGCTGAATTTGCTGAAGAAAGTCCAAATGAATGAGATTCCAGAAGATGGTTATGATCCCTACGAACCAACTGTGGAGTACTTCACAAGCAAGACTGAAATCATGCCCTTAAGCGCTGCTCCCGAGCCGAAGAGAAGATTCGTTCCTTCAAAGCACGAAGCTAAGCGTGTTATGAAGATTGTCCGTGCTATTCGAGAGGGTCGAATACTGCCTTACAAAACACCAGAGGAAGGCAGAGAGGATGACGCCGACGTTCAGAACTATGACATCTGGGCTAACGAGAAGGCGCGCCCAGAACATATTATGCATGTTCCAGCTCCAAAGCTACCACCCCCTGGATTCGATGAGAGCTATCATCCTCCACCAGAATACCTGCCTGACAAGGGTGAGAAGAAGGCTTGGGAGGATGCAGACATAGAGGATCGAGAGAAGGAATATCTGCCCACGGACCATGACTCGCTCAGAAAAGTACCTGGGTATGAGAACTTCGTCAAAGAGAAGTTCGAACGCTGTCTTGATCTATACCTTGCACCTCGTGTACGAAGAAGCAAGCTGAATATAGACCCGGAATCTTTACTGCCCAAATTGCCCAGCCCTGAAGAGCTGCGACCATTTCCAACCACGTGTGGCATCATTTACCGAGGTCACAAAGGCCGAGTGAGGTCATTGTCAGTCGATCCATCTGGTCTATGGCTCGCCAGTGGTGGTGATGATGGCACCGTGCGTGTCTGGCAACTCGACACCGGTCGTCAGATTTGGTCAGTTTCTTTGAGCAGTAACGAAGCTGTCAACGTTGTCAGATGGCGTCCCGGCAAAGACGCTTTCATCTTGGCTGTTGCCGTTGGAGACAATGTTTACCTCTGCGTACCGCCTATCTGTGATCCAGACCTAGAAGCAGCCAGTCTTGAGGTCCTAGACGCTGGCTGGGGCTACTCGTCCTCGACCTCCACCACGAAGTTACTAATCACGTGGACGCGTCCGTCGAACAAACTTTCCGACAATGGCGTGCACGCTCTCATCTCCCTCGGTCACACTGCGAAGACCCTCTCCTTCCACCGCCGAGGTGATTACTTTGTCACCGTCTGTCCCGCCCCCAGCACTCCCTCGTCGTCGGCTATAGCCATCCACACCCTCTCCAAGCACCTGACCCAATACCCCTTCCGACGACGCCTCAAAGGTGGCGGCCCACCCCAAACAGCACACTTCCACCCTTCCAAACCCATCCTCTTCGTCGCCAACCAACGCAGCATCCGCGCCTACGACCTCTCCCGCCAATCCCTCCTCAAAATCCTCCAACCCGGCGCCCGCTGGATCAGCAGCTTCGACATCCACCCCACCAGCTCCGCCATCTCAGGAAGCGACAACCTGATCGCCGGCTCGTACGATCGCCGCCTGCTCTGGCACGATCTCGACCTCTCGCCCCGCCCCTACAAGACGCTGCGCTATCACCAGAAGGCTATCCGGGCGGTGAAGTTCCATCCCAGCGGACAGTATCCGCTGTTTGCGGACGCGAGCGACGATGGCACGGTGCAGGTTTTCCACGGAGAGGTGGTGGCCGATATGATGAGCAATGCGAGGATTGTGCCGCTCAAGGTGTTGAAGGGACATAAAGTGGTGGGTGATCTGGGCGTGTTGGATATTGATTGGCATCCGGTTGAGCCGTGGATTCTGTCGGCGGGCGGGGATGGCACGTGTCGGTTGTGGAGATGATTTGGTGCCAGTCAATAATGAATGGGTACTGTCTCGAAGACTTGCTCAAGTACATTTGTTGGCTTTTGCGTCAGATCTCGCGTTAGAAGCAAAAATATATGTCTGTGACTTGGTGGGCAATCCGTGATACCTAGGTGAACATGTATGTTCAAAGCTGTCGTCGCACATATACAGGTCTGCTACAAGCCATCCGAATGTTCAATACATCAACGATGGACCGGATCCATGAACCTTGTTACGACAGAAGAGCCGGTCCAATACCTCATAACTTACTATCTCTTCCCACCCTCTGCCTACTTGTCTCCCTCTCACCCCTCCTAACCAAAATCCCGCTATCCGGATACGGATCAAAAGTGACCTGGTTCAGCGGATTCAACTCACTCGCCCGATAAAACATATCCTCATAAACCTTGCCATCATACCTCCCTAGACTACTATCGAGCTGCCAATCAGGAAATCGCCACGCATCCACCAACCGCACAGCATGCGGTCTAATCTCCTCCAGAAGCTTCATGACCGCCTTTGTGTGTGCGAGCTGGATCTGGCGGACCGTGGTGGCGGCGCTGGCGAAGAACTCCGAGGCTTCGCGCTCGAGGGTGTGGAGGGCGTGGAGGCGGAAGAGTTTGTGTAGAAGAGATAACGTTTCCGGGTCGAGGGAGGATTTGGTCATGGGGTCGTCGAGGGTGGCGTGGAAGTTTTTGATGACGAGGTACTGCGAGTGAGCGGTGCTAAGGCGCCAGAAATCGACGAGTAAGGAATTCCAGGATCTCTTGTCCTCGTCGCGGTGCTTGAGGGCTTCGAAAATAAGGAAGGCGGTGCGCCAGGCGAAGGCGGCGACGAGGTCAGTGTCTGAGGTTAGTACGTCGAAGGCCGCGCCCATATCCTGACGTGCGAGGAAATGGCGGAGGATGCGGGTTGTGTCATTGTCAGCGGCGGTGCCTTGGAGGACGGAGCGTGCGGACTTGAGAAGATAACGCGCTACTTGTTGGGTGAGCATATAGTTGTCGCCTTCCCAAGTGGTGGTGGGTAGGTAGTCGGCATACCAACTCGCCGCAGGCTCTACGACAGACTTCGAGGCCTTCAGCGGCGGTGGTGCTGGCAAGGGCTTTCAGACCGCAGGAGGTGGCATGCAGGTCTGCGAGAAGGTCTGTGCCCGGGTGGAGTTCTTCTGGACCGGCACCACGATCAGTGTCGGATGCTTTGCCTGCGTCGCCTTCCATGCGCTTCTGATTCTCATGGTACAGAACCATCATGCCCTTTCCCGTGAAATGGAGTGCGAATGTGGCTGCAAGGAGTGGCAGTAGCCTAATCTGCACCATGGTGTAATTCAGCACTTGATTTTCTCCCGTATCCGAACCTTCTGCATCTCTGTCCTGAAATTGCCTCCTGACTGCGCAGTATCGTGTGGCTATCGTCACTCCTCGTGCTAAAACACTGCCAGCTTGCATGACGATGGTCGATCGCACATATGTCAGCGTGCCATAAACCAAAGATGGCGAGGATGGTCTCAGATACTTCCCCGTTTGCGGGTCAACACTGGAGAATCGTGCTAACATGTTGACATGGGGGACTTTGACTCTGTTAAGCAACAGGAAACCATTGTCCATTGTGTTGTATCCAAATTTGGGCCTATATCGCCGACGTGAACATTCTCAAGAGGCTCATGTGTTTTCAAATCTCTTATCTGGACGATGAAAGGATGAGGACCATATGACTTGCCATTGATTTTCAATTGTGCCATGACCACGGCATGGTTTGCTGTCCGTCCTAGAGATCCAATCCACCATTTCGATGCTGTAAGATGGGGCGAGTGAAGAATGAAGGTCCTATCCTCCTGGTTCCATGTTGCCGTTGTCTCCAGGCCTCTCACGTTGGAGCCATGGCCCAACTCAGTTTGTGCATAGCATCCAATGTATTCGTACTTTTGGGCCTTCTCGAGGAATAACTTATGCTGCTCAGGAGTTCCCTGATCTCTTAAAGTGACCAAGAACATAGAAGCATGAAGACCATAGGGAGTCGGTTCACTGATTAACTCATTTGCCATTTGATATTCTTCCTGTGTCCAGGCATGCTGGACAGACAGCTGCCGCAGTCGCTTTGCTCTGCTCAGGGCATCCAGAATTCTTTCATTTCTTCCATTGAAATAGTTTTGTGATTTCTCGAACACCTTCTCGGCTCGAAGAATGTTCAGTAAATTGTCCTGCCTATCGAGGCACTCTTTCGTAAAGAGAAACTCTGCAAGTTTATCCACGTCAAGGTTGGATTGGTTGCGCTCCTGCTGCAAGAGGTCTGAGCCTTGTGGCCCAGAAGGCTTCAGATTCTGGACCCAATCCGGATTCGAAGGCATTTCTCTGTCGGTAGACTCGGGTTCTAGCGTGGAACTCGATGCAGCACATCCCAGCAGAGGTGTGTTGCCAGTCACTTTATATCTAGTGGAGCGGTGGTCTAGCCATTCATGACGATCTCATCCAAGCTGAGGGACTTTGCCGAGGTCCACATGAGGATGCATCTCTTGGTTCCCCGAGAGGACAAGCAATCTTCCTCCACGGCCTGTGGGAGGCTCAACATGACATATGAACCCAGCACATGTGAGAAGATACTACGGTAGTAGTAAAGGATTGGTGGATCATATCAGTCATGGGGTGGACCGAGAATGGTTCATCACAAGGTAAGCTAGTACAAGGTGATGCAAGTCGAGATGGCAAGATGGTTCCTGAATCTGCACAACATCTAAGATCTAATTATATGTAGTACTAGTAGTCTGACCAAGACAATTCGGGGTAGCCAAGAATTCAGGCCTCGTCAGGTTGCCGCTGTGCAACTTAGCAGGAACAGGCCGTATGAAAGTTATGCCTAATTTACCATGAATGTGTGCTTAGTTTAAGCCTAAACGTGATATGATCTACGTAGTACCTTGCACAGAGGTATGCAACTAGACATCTAATATCCAATAAAATTGTGTTATTTCTTTTGTCCAAAATTATGGTCATTTGAGCCCTCTGATGATGCTTACAATGACAAATTGTCTGTTAAATTGCTAAGGATCAATACCCCGTCATTTCCGGAGCCCTTCTCTACGTGGCTTGACATCCGGGCACTGCAAATGACACTTGTCACGCGACAAACCTTAAAATGATGACTTGAGGCCTTCAAATGCCCCAGAATGGCGCGTTTTCGCTGTCGAAGCAGGAAACGCTGGGGGAGGAAATTGAGATGAGGTCTGCTGTCCATCTCGAAGACGAGAACGTCGGCCCTGAAGCCCCTTTGATCTCGGGAGATACTGCTCTTGCCCCTGACCACGGTGACAATGGCAAAAGTGCAGCGAGCAAGCCGAATCCGCACCCTTCCGGATCCAAATTTCTATGGATGCTCACCTTCGCGGCCTGCATCAGCGGTCTCCTGTTCGGCTATGATACCGGAGTCATCAGCGGAACCCTTGTTTCTGTCCGATCAGACCTCTCTGCTCGACCTTTGACAACCCTCGACAAGTCCCTGATCACATCCTGTACAGCACTGTTTGGGCTTATAGCAAGTCCCTTTGCGGGTATACTGGCGGACAAATGGGGTCGGAAGGTTGTCATACTTATAGCAGATGGCCTGTTTACTGCCGGAGCTTTATGGCAGGCTGTGACTGGCACCGTATGGGGGATGATCCTTGGGCGGAGCATTGTGGGTCTTGCTATCGGAGGAGCAAGTCTGATTGTTCCGTTATACATTTCAGAGCTGGCCCCAGGCCATATTAGGGGTAGACTCGTTACTGTTTCTCTCCTCTTCATCACTGGCGGCCAGGTCGTTGCATACATTGTAGGATGGGGCTTCTCGACCATTCCAGCAGGATGGCGCTGGATGGTCGGGCTTGGAGCTGTACCCGCAGTCTTCCAATTTGCACTACTGACGTTGATGCCGGAAACACCTCGATGGCTCATCAAAGCTAGATGTGAAGAACGTGCAAAGCGCATTCTCGAGAAGGTCTATCACGACGAGAGATATCCGACAGAGGACGCAGTATCCTACACGCTGCAAGCCATTAAATCAGAAATCCTAGAAGAAGAACATGCAAGTCTAGCGAGCCCGAAATCCTCGTCGATCCTCCCGCCAACGTTTTCGTCCCTCCTCTTCCACCCGCCACACGCCCGAGCACTTACGATAGCCTGCCTACTGCAAGGCTTACAACAACTCTGCGGCTTCAATTCTCTAATGTACTTCTCTGCCACGATATTTTCTATTCTTCGCTTTTCTTCACCAACTCTCATCTCCCTAAGCATTGCAGTCACCAACTTTCTGGCCACCATCGCCGCTTTCTACCTGATCGACCGTGTCGGGCGGCGCAGAATCCTCCTCTATACCATTCCGGGCATGGTTATAGCTCTCCTCCTCTGCGCGTTCGCATTCACATTTATCAACCTCGCTCCACCAACAGATCAGCAAGGCACCGTAGCTGGCTCCTCTACACCCTCTCGCCTGCCTGCTGTTGCAATTCTCATCTCCCTCCTCCTGTACGTGATTCCTTACGCTACTGGCCTCGGTCCAGTTCCCTGGCAGCAATCCGAGCTTTTCCCACTTTCTGTCCGCAGCCTCGGCTCCTCGCTCTCCACCTCCACCAACTGGCTTTGCAATTTTGTTGTTGGCGTGACTTTTCTCCCGATGATGGACGTGCTGACGCCGTTTTGGACATTCGCAACGTATGCGGGCGTATGTGCATTGGGATGGGTGGCTGTTTGGGCAATCTATCCAGAGACTATGAACATGGATCTGGAGGATGTGGGTGAGCTATTGAAAGATGGCTGGGGTGTGAGAGAGAGCTTAAGGAGAGTGGAGCAGAGGAGGGCGGCAGGATGTATGGATCGGGTGGGAGGTTAGATCTAGACAACTCGGAAGATAGATCAAACGCCCTACATATTTGCATTTACCGCTTGTTGCTATGGTCGCTCAAGCTCCTTTATACCGATACCTCAACCTTTCCAACTCTCCAACACCTTTGCCAACGTCCTCCATGCTTCGCAATGCCACCTCGACCATTGCCCATGCGATACTCGGTAGTAAGCAGAAGATCCACATCCCATCGGCCTCAGCTTCCACACGTCCTGAACCACTGCTTCTGCCCCTTCTTCGATATAGCACCATGGCTGCCAAGCCTAGCACAACACATATCGCGCCATTCAGCCACGGTAACGCCATCCTTAAAGGGCCATTTTCTGGCACGGCGTCCAGGAGTCGATGCTCAAAGTCCGTTATCTGAAGCCAGTTTAAGATTCCCGAGGTAGCTGCCTGGTTGGCTTGTCGAGGAGGTGGTGGCGTCGGCGATGGTGATGATGATGGAGAGGAGAAGCGTATCCGGCCAGTAGATATGAGGAGAGAAGTTACTCCAAGGATGCTGAGGAGGGGAGAGAAGCGAAAGGTGAAGATGAAGGGTAGGATAAGAAACAGAGGGAGGATGGTGAAAACAAGGGTGTACAGGGCGTTTTGTTGGGCGTTTTGGTTGTGGAGGGTGGAGATCAGGTTCTCTTGCTCTGAAATAAGTCCTGTCAGCAAGGAGACTTTCAGGGCACAGGAATATCATGAATATATCCAATATATGGGTCAAATTCCAGCAGGCAAATGCCACTGATAATAAGAAAGGAGAAGTTTCTTGGCACTTTGTCTCTCAGACTCTCGGTGTTGGTTGACACAGAGTAGTAAGGTGGTTACCACTATCCCTCAGACCAGAAAAGACAGCATTTTGTTGGACTGTATATCTATACACTTCCATAATTCAAAATAATCCATCATATTACGAAAATGCTTACCTTCCTCGTCAAGCTCTTCGCGTGAGGCGTCCGAGCTTTCTGAGTCCGTTGGATATTTAAACGTCTGTCGCAGTCGAGCGCCAGTGGATGTCATGACTGTATGGGAAAGGGCAGTCGTAAAACAGACGGGTGATCTAGGTGTAAAAATATGTTTGTAGAAGTTCCAGGTGAGACTGCGACCAGAAGTTAAATTCGACGCACTGTCTGTTTTTACGGCCACGCTCTACCTCATCGACTCGGATGCATCAATATTTTCAAGCTTTAGCATTGAATTGGTGTGGCATGACCTTGTTTGCTTGAGCTCCACGTATGGTGAACATAATGACATCTCCACGAACAATTCCCGCGCCAAAGGGTGCAAGATTCCTCCAGCCGGCTTCTCAACTTTTGCTCCGCAGGCCCTATCATTTCACCACTCTGCTTCAACAATCACCCCAAGCTGCAACATCGCAAACACGGACGCCATATATTCCTGCTCCCACTGAATCGTCCGGACCTCTGCTCTCGCGACGGCCTGATCGAGAACTACCATCCCTGAAGAAGTCCCACATATGGCTGAAGACTTTGCCTCTATTCTTTGCCATCATTGCGGCCTCCTCGCTGGCCTTATTCAATTACCAAAAATCCAGCTCTTCGACTGTGAACAGCATTCTTTATGCACTTAGAACAAACCATACATCAAGAGACATTTTAGGCGAGGAGATCTACTTCAACAGCAAAGTACCATGGATATCGGGCGAGCTTAATCAATTACACGGCAAAATTGATATAAGCTTCTGGGTCAAGGGCAAGAAAGGAAAAGGCAAGGTTAGATTTGTTAGTGTGAGGAAAAGGAGGGATGGCTTTGTACGTTGTAGCTCCCGCAGTTCGCAAAAAGCATACTAACAGACATCACAGTTCGAAACCTTAGAGTGGAGCTTACAGACAGAAGACGGCAAGGTCGTACAGTTGCTTAACACTACTGATGGTCAAGACCCTTTTCAGAAGCCAAATACTAGATGAAGAAGGCCTCGGTGCTGCAAGCCCCCTTTCACAATCATGCACTCCCTACAAATCATTTTGCATCCGCTTTTGTATCGCAGCCCCTGTTCCAAAGGTCAGCTCCTGCCTGTACTTACTACTGCGCTCGAATGCTTCCTTGGCTGCTGCTTTCCTTGAAGTTGCTCAAATCTTCTCCCGCTTCCACGAAAGGGCAACTTGTACCAAACGTAAGGCAGCTACCGGCATTCAAGCAGTCTATGGTATTGGCGAAGCCCAGACCTCTTCCTTCTGCTTTCATGGAGATGATCCTGATCTGCGAACTCCTGGTGGCCCTCAAGGTTATATAACAAACTATTCAACACCAGCTTGATTAATCCAATCTTGTGGCTTCTTTGAGCTTCTCAGAAATCACCTCATCTTGGTTGCATACATGACGCAAAATTTTGAGGGTGTCTGAGCGAAAGGACATTCAAGTACATCGGAGAACGGTATCGACCTCTCGGATCATGGGAAAGGGATACATAAGATGAATTCAGACTGGGTGCGCTTGTATCGTTGAATGAAGCGTGCCACAGAATACAACAGAACAGTACCTATGGCCTCGTCAACCTGCAGGACCACGGGAGATGCCTCTATTAATCTGCCGCCGTTGGTGAACGTTGGAAGATGGGGAGGGCCCGCTTCTCCCATAGCAACGCAAGATGCAGGTGTAAAGAATGCGATGTGTACAGCAGCAGAGTGCAGGTTAGGTGTTGGAAGAGGTCATGGCCAAACTCGACATCGGTGTGCTGGTGTTGGTAGAGATGATGGGTTCCCAGTTTCAGTGGCTAAGTACTTGCACGAACCCTGCTCAACAGTCAGTACAATTGCCAAAGCCCACTCATTCTTCTCTTCCTCCTTCCTCTGAATTCTCACCTCGACTGTTTAGACCTCCTTAGGTCTCTGTGTATTCATAGCTTGTTATATCGCACCCTGTCCCGTAGTGCTATGAAACATGAACTTCGTGTTGCGTCTAACACAGCACTGAGGTCATCCATCAGGGGTAGAGTTTAAATGGCCCTCGAAGTCTTTCTATAAGTGGACTGGAAACACTCAACTGCCTAAACACAACTAGTTTAGAGAAATATAATATAACACATGACAGCTCCAAATGTCCTCTGGACACTTAGTGCAGCGGTCTTAACTACTGCGTCACGCAAAACCAGCTTTCCAAATTACTTAGTCTGGACAAGCGAGTTTTCATAGCGGATCATGTGTTTCTCCCCTTCCAGTATCTAACCTCTCCTACGGCAAAGTTAGAGAGTGGAGAAAACATGTTGAAGTGAACTTTTTTGCTTTTGGTTCTGTTTATGCACAGATCATGGTTTGCCCTTGGTTGGTGTGGGGAGACTCTGGATGTTTTTAGCATAATGTCTCTAAGATATACCAGGGGTTGGAGCTGGGGTGATGAAGATCGAGTGGAAAAATGACCATGGCTCAAAAGAGAATTTAGCGATGCCAGAGTAATAAACTGATTGCCCGTTCTCGTTCCATATATGCAACTGCACATTATTAAATCTCTTAACCATTATTTATACACATTTTTTGAAACGCCGATACGGCGGCTCATCTCTAGTCTCGCCCCTCCATCTCCTCTCGACCTATTGAGGCTGCGTCGGCTGCTCCTCAATCAGCACCTTTTTCTCCGTCAACAGATCCGCCAACGTCCCATCCTTATGCATCCCCATCAAGATATCACAGCCCCCCACAAACTCGCCGCCGACATACAGCTGCGGAATCGTCGGCCAATCGCTATACTCCTTGATCCCGCTCCTCAGATCCTCATCCTCGAGCACATTGAACGCGGTGAACTTTTCCGGGTCGACGCCCTGCAGCCCGAGGATCTGGATCGAGGTCCGCGAGAAACCGCATTGAGGCGTTTCGGGGGTGCCCTTCATGAAGAGGACGACGGGGGCAGAGGCGACGGCTTTATCGATGGCGCTGCGGACTTCGGAAGATAGGAGCCGGGTTTGCAGGAGAGAGTGGTGTATGAGAGGGGTGAGGGTGCTGGATGTGGCGGAGGGGCGGAGGGCGGAGAGGGCGCCGCGGAATGCCTATGCTGGGTGAGTCCCCAGGAAGAAGTGCTGGGAAGAGAGTTACGTACGGGTGACAGTATTGATCTTGATAGCATCGTTGACATACTAGTAGCAGTCTGCAGAATGGAGAGATGATATTTACGATGAAAGCCGCATTTGATGTGATGCCTCGGCGAAAGAACTTTGAGACTGCCGAAGTTTTGCCGATGGGTTGGGGCTGTTCAGCACCAGAGACTCCAACGTTAACAACCGCCTTGCACAAAATCTTTCGCCATGACAACGAGCCTAGAACTGCAGCAATTCTCATCTTAAGACGAATATATGAGCATCACTGAGACCATGGCGTTCACCAACACTCCACCTCGGTCTCCCTTCTCCGCTGCCAAACATGCAAAAGACGGCAAACACCACATCCTCCTCGCCGCAACAGGCTCGGTTGCAACGATAAAATTACCCCTCCTTGCCCGTGCCCTGTCCGAACACCACCCCATCGTCTCGATCCGCATAGTTCTCACACCTTCCGCCAGCCACTTCCTGCAGTCTCAATCCGCCGAACAACCGAGCCTCTCCTCCCTTCTCACCCTAACAGGCGTGGACGGCATTCATGAAGACAAGGATGAGTGGTCCAAACCTTGGGTGAGGGGTGATGGAATCCTTCATATTGAATTGCGGAGGTGGGCAGATGTGCTTGTTATTGCTCCCTTGTCGGCAAATGGCTTGGCGAAGATGGTGAATGGGTTGAGTGATGGTTTATTGTTGAGTGTGGTCAGGGCATGGGATACTACTGGGCTGATTGATGGCGTTGATGGGAAGGGAAGAAAGAAGAGGATTTTCGTTGCGGCGGCTATGAACACGGCGATGTGGAGGCATCCGGTTACTGGGAGGCAGATCAGAGTCCTGGAGGAAGAATGGGGGAGCGCTGATGGAATCGAGGAAGAAGTTGAAGGCAACGGACAAGCTGGGCCGGGAGAAGGATGGATTACAGTGCTGAGGCCGATGGAGAAGGAATTGGCGTGCGGAGACGTTGGAGATGGTGCGATGATGGATTGGAGGGAGATTGTGGCACACGTGGAACGACATCTCGGGTTGGACTCGAAGAAGCACACAATAGGGACAAGCTGACCCTACACCCAATCAATGCGCTTTGGTCTATTTGACTCCTCGCTAGAGCGCCGGACAAGATAATCTCCGAGTAGGCCAGCTGCAACACTGCCGCCGGTGAGCCAACAGCCGTTCTTAAACCACCACCAACAGTTTCGGACCTCTTTCAGGCGGACTCGATATATCATCGTTGCAAGAGTCGCTACTGCTCCGCCGCAACTGCCAACGAAAAAGACAGGCCCAGCACCAGAAAAATATCCAGCAGTGGCGAGGAGTCCGATCTGCACAATGGACAACCCTGTAAGGACCGCTTTCGTATTGTGCTCATGCGCAAGAGCGATTGACTTGATTCCAGCATTCGCATCATCTTTGATGTCCATGTAGGCATATATCATGTCATAGCTAACCGTCCACGCTACACAGCTTGCGTAAAGCGCCGCAGCTGCTGCAAGGGAGTCAAAATCGGAGAGCAGATCAACTCCAAGTGCCGGGAAACCCATGATGGCGCCCCAGGAGAAGGTCAAGCCAAGGACAAACTGAGGGTAGTTTGTCACTCTCTTTGCGAGCGGATAGCTTGCCACTAGCAGAAGACTCGGAATGCCGTAGAAGAGGCACTGAGTGGGGAATTGGAGCAAGAGACCGAGCCCCGCTAGCAGTTGGAAGCCTGTGAATATCACGGCTGTTGATGGCGTTATGGCCTTACGAGCAATGGGCCTGAACTTCGTTCTTGCTACATGAGGATCCAGGTTTCGATCCCATAGATCGTTGATGGTACATCCAGCTCCACGCATGATCAATGCTCCGGTGAAGAAGAGGGCAGCAGTCGACACGACTGCTGCTGGACTCGCCATTGGTTCAGCCAGTGGCGCTGCAAGGAGTGTAGAGAAGACGCATGGGAAGAATAGGTAGTACGTTCCAGTTGGTTTGTCCAGCCTGATCAACTCCGCATATGGGATCCATGATCTTGGTAGGTGCGAAACCAGGCCTTTGTGTGGTGGTTTGTAGACAGGCCGGGAGGGAGTCTCGGGGGCAGCGATTGTCCCAGCAGAGCTTGGTGCTGTCGATGTCGAGTATCGTGGTCGTTGAGATTTGATGGTTATATGAAAATGACGAAGACCACAACAGTAAGATGTGCGGTGACTCTCACGTTGTACTATAACAGATGAAAGTAGTGTCCTCGCTTTCAGTCGAAGCTGTGATGTCCTTACTGGTGGCAGCACCTTCAGGACTCCTCCAAACTTCACCAATAGGGGCATTTTCGGAACAACCAAATTGATAGAGAAGGCCAGATCTATCCACAAGTTCCAGCATTGCTGCGCTCATTCACCAGTGTCGTAAGGCTGATGTAGAAGCTGTAACTCCCATTCCGAGAGCGTGAGAAGCGATGCCGAATTATGTCAAAAGGAGTAATGAAGTGGGTACGAGCGAAAAGTCGACATTTAGAGCCAAGAATCTCCTCCTTTCTGCTTGGCACGCGACGCGATTTTTCCAACCTTGGAGACACCACGTACATGCTGTACACGGGCTACTGGCTTCAAGAGTACCTTGGCGGTGCCAGGGTGCAGATTCACTAGATGTCCAGTGTCTTCAAATCGTCTATCTCATCTCCCCGCCAATAGTTGTGTTCGTCACTGCTCACTCACACTCCTTCTTCCTCCAGTCGAATATGCACCGAAGACCATCCGCGCTCAAGCATCTGCAATATCCAACTAGAAAGACAGAGCGCTCTTGAATCGTCGAAGCACTCGAGAGCAGTGGGAAGAAATGCCTTCACAGAGACCTTGCGCGGCATTCGAGCCGATCTCGCCTGACCTAAATCTTGCTGCCCTGGTCGAAACAACGCCAAACTTCGAATATGTTGTGAGGATACACTGTGACATGATAGATCACCAAGGGATCGAGGCCTTTGAGAAGCTGATTCTGCTACACGTCGTTATTGGTGGAAAGCCACTGGTGATTGAGGGCTATCAGGAGCGCCTGGATCGGTGGACATTCGCCCTACAATGGCTGAGGGACAACTGTTCTCAGAAAGGTATGAGCTGCTTATTCTAGTGTGCTTGTATGCGGCGTCGCTTATATTGCCCCAGTCGAAAATGCGCGCGACCTGACGAAAAAGACAAACTTGCCGCTTTCTATTGGTCATTACCTCAATAACATGGCACTTCTAACAAATCAGTGGAATTCTAAGAACTATAAGGACCCTGACAGGCAGCGAATATATCTGAAGGACATTGATTGTCCTCCATTGTGGCATGATAAGCTGAGTCACCTTATACCACCGGCGCTCTTCTATTTGAACGAATCAACAGGAGAACACGGCGGCCCTGGAGCAGTGGAAGAGCCTAACCCCAACGGGCCAGGCACTCGAAGAGGTCGAGCCATAGCTCAGGCTGGCGATCTCATGAGCAGTCTCCCGCCTGAAATGCGAGCAGAGAACATGATGTGCTACATTGGACACGAGGGCACATATACTCCTGCACATCGAGAGATGTGCGCTAGCTTGGGGCAGAATATCATGGTCGAGACATCGACAGGTGCTGTCGAAGACGGCAAGCCAACCAAGCCAGGCTCCTCCATCTGGTTCATGACCGAGACGAAGGACCGGCACGTTGTTTCTGAATATTGGCTCTCTGCACTTGGCCACGACATTGAAGTCGAGAACCATTTTGCACAGATCAACGCGTGGAAAGCTGCCCCTTTCAAGACGTGGGTGGTGGAGCAGCGGGTTGGTGACTTTATACTTATCCCTCCACTTGCTCCTCATCAAGTATGGAATCGGGGCACGCGGACAATGAAAGCTGCGTGGAACAGGACAACTGTAGAAACCTTAGAAATGGCGCTGGAAGAAGCCCTACCACGGGCGAGGATGGTCTGTCGAGACGAGCAGTATAAGAACAAAGCAATCATCTATTACACGCTCGTCAAATACTCGAAGCTTCTCACAGCAGCTGCGAATCTGAAGCAAAAGGCCTCCAACAAACCCCCTGCGAAAGTTCGCCAGCTACAGAAAGACTTTCGACGACTTCATACACTCTACACACAGATCCTAATCTCCGAGAGTTTCGCGCCCGGTCAAGAGGAGAGGAAGCTCGAATTCATCACATACGATAGCAACATCACCTGCTCTTATTGCCGATGCAACATTTTCAACCGCTTTCTGACCTGTCCGTCTTGCATCGGCGAGCTGCCTAATGGGGATGAAGATACTTACGATATCTGCATGGAGTGCTATGCAATGGGCCGGTCATGCCTGTGCATCTCGAAGCTAAAATGGGTCGAGCAGTTCTCCTGGGGAGATCTGACCCAGAAACACGAGCAATGGCGACGCCAGATCATCCAGGCTGAAGGTCAAGTGACAGAAAAGTCGCCTAAATCGCTCAAGGTTGAGCTGGAAAGGTATGGGAAACGATCGTTGGCTGAGATCTGTCAGTTAGAGCTGAAGAAGCGACCCTGGAAAGATGTAAGAAGACCGGTTGCGCCTGTGGATGACGGGAATGTGAGTGATGAGGTTGTGGTCAATGGAGAGGGCATTGTGCAGAAGAAAAAGCGGAAGCCTCGACAGTCGGAGAAGTTCAAAAGAGAACACAAAGTGTGCCATTTCCACACTACGTGGGAGCCGAAATGGAAGCAGATCGAATGCTCGCAATGTGATGCCAGCTTTTGCTATGGCACACTGGCTCGAGCATTTGACATGAAACCGCAGGAGATTCTGGCTGAGAAGGACTGGAAATGTCCTCGGTGTCGCAATTTCTGCATCTGCAGACGGTGTAGGGAGAAGCCGGGCTGGAAGATGATCGAGCCTCCGAGGATAATGCTTGGCCATGATACGAAAAAGGTTGCAGATCCACGAAGTGTGGAAAGCCTGGTCGATTACAGCCAATCGAACATTAGCTGGTTACAGAAAGTTGGCGACGATGGCACCAAGGACACCAGAAGGCTCCAAAGGAGGAAACAGGCAGCCGAAAAGGCCAAAGCCAAGCCTGACGAGCTTGGTGACCATTATGTCGAGGATGCGGACACGACAAGGCCAGAAAATAGCGCGGTTGAGAACGGTCTCCTTCGCCTGGCTCGCCAGGAAGGCATACCAATTGATCCTAACCTGGAGAATGGGGCAGGGGAAGCGACCACGGATGGCGAATCTCAAGAGGAAGAGGACCGCTACAACGAGAATCCTGAAGAAGCCGGCGTGGGAGAGGTCTTCGAATCGTATCGTCAGGGCCCACCGCAACCGCAACATGTCATCCCGGCTGGAGGCATCATTCGGGATGCTGAACACGCTTATGATGCGACCGAGGCCATCACCTTTGATTATCCTGATCCTGAGTTTGAGCAGCAAGTCCCACAGTCGGACGAACATGCAGTACTAAAAGAGCCAGCACCTCTAGGGTACGAGCCCGCAGTACAGCCCGAAGAGCCAGCCGAGATCGAAATGGTGCAAAGGAAACGCAAGAGATCTGGTGCTGAGGCTGGGGATGAGCCATACAAAGCTCACAAGAAGGTCAAGGACATGAGTGCAAGAAAGAAGAAGCAGCGGAAGTCTTTGGTGGTTAAGCTGAACATTGACAAGAGCAAACTTGGAGAGCTCAACAAGATGGCTCTCATCGCACAACGAGCTCTGAATGGCGTTGAAGAAGATGAGACGCCTGTTATTTCCTCGGATTTGAGAGCGCTAAATGCGGAATCGGGTGCGGCAGATACTCGGCTACGAGTCAAGAAGGTTCACATTGAGCGCGATGACGAGGATGACGACTTTACTGGACCCAGGGTTCGTAAAGACCGACAGAAATCGGCTCCGGAGGTGCATTCAGTGCCAGCTCGAAGAACTCGAACTCAGAACGTCGCCTATGAAGAGTCTTCCGATGGCGAAGGATTTGCAGAGGTAGTTGGTCCGCACAAGAGGCGAGATTCACGTCACCTTGAGGGGCCAGATTCATATGACAACGGAACGCAATCACAAAGCAACAGCTCCACTGCTGCAGATAGCGGTGGTACTGACGCCTCTTCTCCAATCAACGCCGACGTCGAACCTTCACTGGAGCAAACCGATGTGGTTGTAGGTCTTGATCAAGCCCCGACTACTTCTCAAAAGACCGTCTCAAAGAGAAAGGATGGTATTGAATCTCCGGCAGACTTGAACAAAAAGAACTCAGCTGGACATGAGATTGTTAGCTCGACTATAACAGTTGATAGCACTATCAATGTGGAATCCCAGAATCGCACGGCTATTCAGCTAACTGGAATTCAGCGTTCGAAGTCCACAAAAGGACCGTCGGCGTCTCCACTGATCTCTGTGTCGTCAGTGAATACTCCGCGAAATGGAAAGGCACAGCCACGGTCTTCTGGGGCGTTGGAAGCGGAGAAGAATCGCAAAGCCAAGCTGGCGGCTATGCATTGGGCAAGAGGTGATAGCAACGACTTGGAAGACGAGACATGGTCAGGCTCAGAGGAGGAGGAGGAAGATGATGATGATGAGCCAAACAAGGATCATTTCGTTCCAAAGGCTCGCACACCTCGCCAGCACAAGCCAATTGAGAAGTCTAGGCTAGGGGTACCAGATCCCGTTCGTCCAACACCAAAGCCGGTGGATTCGGGTGCTGCCAACAGGGCTTCGGCACGCAAGGCAACACCGGCCGATTGGAATAATGTAATCAGCTCCGATGAGGACATGGTGGACGTGTCCATTGAGCATTCCAAGGAGCATTCCAAGCCATCAGTCTCATCTGCCCGGGCTAAGCGTGTTGCCGGTGCGCTGAAGGCGGCATCACCAACCGGAAGGAGGCGGTGATAGAGTGGTCTGGGCATGTGAGACTGGGAGAGACATGTCCAGCGGTGCGAGAGGATTCAACTACGTGTTGGAGCATTATGTTAGCATGAAGGCAGTTGGTAGCTTTTTAAAGGTCCTTGCGGCCTGTAGCACGCTGATCGGGCTTGTAAGCTCTACGGAGTAGTTATTCGGGTAATGAAGAAACATCAGATCGGATGACTGTTACCCCTGTCCGCCAACCCAGCCCCTAATTCACATATGCGCCACTTAGTTACGGTATTGGTACGGTGTGGCGTACTGGTAGCCTGATGCATACAGATGCATGACAGCTGCCCGACGTCAAGCTGTGGCTGAACCAACTCCAAATTTCCCCCGGCCAGCGCCCATCGCCCATCGCCCATCGCCCATCGCCCATCGCCCATCGACTTTTTGCTTGCAGCTTCGTCACCTTCCCTCTCAGCTCGTCCTGCTCTCTCCCGTGCCTCTAGGTCGATCCGGTCGCGGCACAAACCGCACGGTAGACATGGAGTCTATGCGCCTCCTTCAACAGCGCGCTCTTCGTCAGATCTTCCAGTTCCGACCTCTCCGAACTGCACGAGCAGTCCGACACATCAGCTCCAACAGGTCCGCAAACCAACAACAATGTCTGTGCAGATCTCAAAACAATTCCTCCAGACTTCCAAGTATCAACAGACACTACCCGCGCACTCCTTTCTCATCTCCCCGCTTCACCAAACCCACCCGCCGCTTCTACTCGTCTCAAACCAGCGGCGCATCTCCTTCCTCCTCCGAAGAAACCCTCACCCTCTCCCAACGCATGCGCAAACTCTCGCGCGAGTATGGCTATGCAGCGCTGGGCGTGTATCTCGCCCTGACCGCTCTCGACCTCCCCTTCTGCTACCTCGCCGTCTCGTACCTCGGCACCGAGCGCATCGGGCGCTGGGAACACGCCATCATGTCGTATGTGAAGAGCATTGTGAAATGGCCGATGGGGAAGGAAGGCCAGGAGAAGGTGGATGAGGGGGCGGAGTACGTTAGGCGGAAAGTGCCGCTGGAGGAGGAGGTGGTGGAGGGTAGAGAGACGACGGGGAAAAGGTTGCTAGAAGAAGAGGACACGACGCCCGTGGTGGATGACCATGGCATCGGGGAGGCGGAGAAGGCTAATCGGGGGGACAATGCGAGTATGTCGTCCTTTTCCCTTTCTTCCTCGAGGGGTTTTCAATCTTCCAGGAAAAATCCATTATGCCGCGGCATTTCAAGTGAGGCTGACCTGAATATTTTTGTGTCTGCTGCAGGCTTCTGGACCAAGCTCGCCCTCGCCTACGCCATCCACAAATCCTTCATCTTCATCCGGGTTCCCTTGACGGCGGCGATCACGCCCAAGGTGGTCAAGACCCTGCGCAGCTGGGGTTGGAAGATCGGCAAGATGCCGACCAAGAAGAGCGTTGCTGGTACCACGGGCATCAATACGGGGAGAACTGGGGTCAAGCCGGATAAATGAGCGAGTGGGTTGGGGTATCGGCAGTGTCTGGTGAGTGTGTTGGCTTGAGTTCAGGGAGAGCATGATCAGGGCGAAGGGGGTGCATCTTTAGAGACGAGAGGTTCTGTGTGGGATTTTCTGAGAGGCGGAGCAGATGGTTGGGAGATATCAGCTAGCTGTTGATACCCGCGTTAGAGCATCTGCTGGCTACAGTTGACATCGCATCTCTGCGTCGGTTCTACTGTTGAACTGAACATGGCACAATATTCCGGAACAGGAGCCCACTCGTAACAGTCCGATTGACTTTTCCCGTCTCTATTCCCTCTCAAGAAACACCGATTACTATGTACATACATACATCCGAACGCCCCCATATAGCTCAACCATCTCTACCTGCCACAACAAGAACTTCCTCCGCTCCCGCCCCCCCGCTCACCAAAAATTCAAGATGATCATTCCTGCTCCTCCTCGTCCTCCTCCAACACAACCCCCCACTCATGTTGCACAACCCCGAACATAATCTCCCTCAGCCACCGCTTGATCGTCATGGCATAGCTAGCCGGCACGCCCCTCTTCAACGGCAGCTCAATATCCAACCCTCGAAATCGGATCTCCGCCACCGGCGCGATAAAGAAAGCGGTCCCGCAGCCGAACGCCTCGAGCAGCCCCTGCCCTCCTCGCTCGCCTCGACGATCTCCGCCATGGTGAAGCGGCGTTCAACAACCTCCATTTCCATCTCCATCTCCACCTCCACCGTCCCCTCGCCCTGCCCCGCGCTCCTCCACCCCGCCTCTCCCGCCCGAGAAGGACGCACAGTCGTCGCCCAGCGCTCCCTCACCAACTCCAACACGCTCGCCCTCGTCACGCCGTCGAGGATGACGCCGTCCCCCAGCGGCGCCGTGACCAGCTGCAAGCGGCCGGCGCCGCCATCCTTGCGTTTCGTCCGCCAGATGACCATGAAATTCGACCCGCCGGCCTCGGTGACGTAGCCTTCGGCTCCAAACAGCCAGAGGATCTGATGGTAGCCCTGGGCGCGCGCCTCGCCCTGCGCCACCAGGCTGGGACCGTAGTTGGCGCCGACCTTGGCGTTGCCGAATGAGTCGGTGGACGAGGCGAGGAGGCGCATCCCCGCCTCGCTCACTCCGAGGTCGGTTTTGGGCGGAGGGGTGGAGACGACGCCCGCGAGAGGTGCGAGCGGTGGTGGTAGGCTGGCGGTGTGGGTCGCTGCTTGCGGCGGTAGCACTGCTTTCTGCGGCTCGTCCAGCGGCGGGAAGCAGACCGCGACGAGGAAGAACAGTGCCCCTGTCGGTCTCTGCACGCCCAGTGCGTCGCCTGTGCCGATCATCGTGGGGCGGAGGTATAGATAACTCCCGCTCGCGGGTTCTGCCTCCCCATCGCGCTCGGTTCGAGGCAGCCATCTCGGCCCTTCCAGGGCAACGAACTTTTCGATGCACCCCCTCAACTCGGCCGGCTCGAAGCCCGGTAACGCTACCCGCGTGGCCGACTTCAACATCCTCTCACAGTTTCGCTGCGGGCGGAAGAGCCGTAGTCTTCCATCGTGGCTGCTGCGGTAGGCTTTCATGCCTTCGAAGCACTCGGTGGCATAGTGGAGGACTGAGGACATGGGAGAGAGGGTTAGTGGGGCAAAAGGTACGATTGCCGGGTCGGACCAGCCGGTTAGGGCGCTCCAGCTGCAGGTGAGCATATGGTCGGTATGGCATTTTTGCGACCACATTTCGGGGGAGTTGGGCAGCGGGACGGGGAGAGGGTTTGTTGCATGGGTAATCGTCAGCTTGGAGGCGAGGAAGGAGTTGGTGTTGCAGGGAGGAGTGGTGTGAGTGTGGTTGGGCGCTGGTTCGCTGACTTTGGAGGCAACCGAGGTGGGCGTAGCAGATTGGGAGCGGTCTGGTGTTGGAGGGAAGATGGTTGTGTTCGAGGTGGACCGGGTCATAGACATGGCTGCGGTGGAGTGGAGGAGGAGGTGGGCAGAGTAGGAGAGTTAGACGTTATGGCCCAAAGAAAGATATGGATATGCAAGACGGCAATGGCGACGAGAGAAGTGAGGATCAGAAGAAAAGGAGAGAGTGGAGGTAGCAACTGGCTTCTTATGCCTATGTACCCAACAAGACCTCTGGACTATCACATGACTCCTACAGCGTGGATGTCACGTCAGAATGAAGCCAGCAGATCTTAGCCTCTTGATATTCCGGACCAGAAAGACAAAGATAGCTTCAGGGGATGTCATTGTACGCTTCTGAGATGCCGTGTTATCCTTGGAGGGCCGCAACACTGTAGCCAAGTATGCGCGCCCTTCAAGGGATGAGAAGAGTGGAGACCTGCGACCAGTGATAAGGGTGGATATCCTGAGATGCGCCAGGGAAGGTTCAATATCAGGATCTCTGACACGAGGGATCCACCGATAACGGAGCAACAATGCTGTCAATTGCCAGTCCAGTGTAGTCGAAGCGGTGTTGTTTACATGCTACGTCGCAGCACTTCTCGGCTATCCACGGCGGCGGAATGAGCTCCGCCCTGCGCCAGCCGCGCGCCGTAAGTTACAGAAGAGATTTCATGCATAAGTATCAGGGCCTTCCAAGTCAGGTAGTCTGGCATCCGCTCTCTGCGGCCGACGTAGACACTCCTATGAATAGAACAGAACAGACCGACATTCGAGCACAGCATATGGAACTTCGGTGTACCACGCTGGCTATATCTGAAAGTGTATGCTCATAGTTGGTATGCTGAAAGATTCATCACAACAGCCGCTCGACAAAAAGATCAGTCTGCCTCCATTATGATTTGCTTGATCTTCTGAATCTTCTTCTTCTCGGTAATCCTCCATTCCTAGGTTGGCACGCCGTGTTAGCTGTGTGAGGCATGGGAATAACTGAGCAACTATCGCACCTTTTCTTGCTCGGTCAGATGATTGATCGCTTCTCTAGCAGTCGCACGAATGGACCGTTCCATCTCAGCGGCTTTTTTTTGGTATTCCGTGTGCCTGGCCTCGTGTCCTCTGTTCTCGTCGATAGCGGCAGTGACTTGTGCTGTAAGGCTCTTGTCATCCTGGTTGCGAGACGCTTTGACTCCAACAGGCCCGAGGACTTCGACTGCTAGACGCACCAACTCCAAATTCGTAGCATACCATTCTTTCCACAAGCTCTCGAGCTGAGCTGCTTCCGCTGAAAGGACCCTCTCAAGGTCTCGCATCCGGTCGGCCAAAGTGGCATACTGTACCGAAGTCTGACCACCTTCTTCAGCCGAGCCAACAACGATCTCGAGCCTCTCCTCGGAGATCGGGCTGAAGATCTTGCTCTCAAAATCTGCCACAAGCCTGAGCTGCCCACCAAACTCTTGAGTAATCTCCGCCAGCTGCTGGTCGAGATCATGTTCGGTCTGTGCAAGCAGACGATCCGTCTCCGAGCCGAGTTCAGTGCGATAGGTATCAATGGAGTCTGTGCGACGCTGGTGAGATGCAGTGCTACTGTTAGCTTTAGCTGACTTACCCTTGAAGCGGTCTGTCAACGTGATTTCGTTGTGACTTCTGCGCTTCCTCACACCGGAGGTCAACTTCTCTACACGGTTCGCTGGCAGGTTGTGGGTTGAGGCAGTTTTGGGATGTGAGCCCAAGTCCGCTTTTGCTCGAGCACCTTTAGCATTCTGAAACCTAGATTTGAGGGAGATGGCATTGTTGCCCATTTCTCATACGACTGCTGATCAAGTAAAAGGGCTCAAAGAATTAGGCACTAATGGCCTGCGCCACGGCGGAGTAATGATCACGAATGTTCGTCGGCTTGAATGTGGTTGAAGTTGTTAATTGCAGAAGGATCGAGAAGAGCAGGGCGGGAAGCTGCAACTGGGAGACTGCGACTGGGAAACTGTAATGTGTCATCCAATCTCCCCACTGGCAGCCGGAAACAAAATGCACACAGCTGGATCAAGGACCTCTCAAGATTCCCTGGATATTTCAGTGTATTGACTAGCAACTCGTCACAGCGCTCGCGCCCTATCTTGCCACCCTCGACTAGCGATCAAGGCCTCCAGCCAAATCTCCACACCCTTGAGAAGCCCACTTGACGCCACAGCCTTGAAGTCTCACTTTCACTAACCATCCAGCCATCATATCTGTATTGTTGTCCATCATCGCCCTCCTCTCATCGCCTCGTCTGACGAAGCTATCATCAAGTCTATCCATTCACGACAGTACCTCCATTTGGATGCAAGCATTGGCCAGATATGAAGCTGCTATCCTGACTCGCCAAGAAGACGAAGCAGGTCGCAATCTCACTCGGTTGACCCGGTCTGCCCATTGGAGAGGTGAACGAGTCCTGTGCCTCGTCATCCATGGTTGCTGCAATCAGTGGCGTCCAAACAGGTCCGGGGCAGACAGCGTTGACTCTAATACCCTTGCTGCAGAACTGGTTCGAAAGACCCCGGGTGAATGCCACAATGGCCCCCTTGGTGGTTGTGTAGTCAAGCAGGTCGGGACGACCAATGTAAGCGTTGATTGATGCATTGTTGATGATCGTGTCCCCAGACTTCATATGAGGCAGCGCCATCTTTGAAAGGTAGTAGAACGGGTGAATATTAGTGTCGAAAGTCTTGTGCCACTGTTCGTCGGTGATGTCGTGAATACTCTTTTGCATCATCTGAAAGGCGGCATTGTTGACCAAGGTATTGATGCCTCCCAACTGAGAAAGAGCAGTGTTGATGACCTTCTGGCAGTTCTCCTTGCTGGTGATGTCCATGGCCAGCAGACTGCACTTCTTACCCCATTGCTCAACCTGCTTCTGCGTCTCCAGGGCATCGCTCTCCTCCTGTGGCAGGTAGACAATCAGGCTATCGGCACCCTCCATGGCAAACAGAATAGCGATAGCACGACCAATTCCAGAGTCTCCGCCAGTGATGATCGCCTTTTTACCCTCCAACTTACCAGCTGCTTTGTAATGCTGATAACCGCCATCTTCAGAAGGCAATTTGGACGAGACAGGCTTTGGGCCCAGGTCAGATTGCAATCCGGGTGGGTCTTGGTGTTGAATGGGGACTTTGTGACCTGGATATAACCGTTATGACACCCATAGAGAAGAACAAACTATATTCTTACCTGGCTCGAAATGTGAGTCTGACCCTGTCGTGGTTTTGACGTCGTTCTTAATCGTCTCCATGCTGGGTGAGGAATCTGGACGGCGTTACTTGGGGGAAGGTAATCGAAGATGATAATATTGAAAGAAATGTCTTGACGTTGGAATTTTGAACCCACAATGATATGTGCTGGAAGGTGATCTTATGGGAAGGTTGCATATGAAACCACAAATTACATCATATATAGATGACTTCACTTGTCATTTTGACTACTAAATATATACATTGAACCTTGACCTGCAAAATGGACCGTGCTCCCGTGGTGAAGGTTAAGAAACAGCCTCGACCTTCCATTCTGTAATACTTTATGCAGGTGATGGCAATCATAAACATCCAATTGTGGAGTAAACAGTTGTAGTGGTGTCGTCTACGAAGCGAGGAGGGAAAATGCCGCAAACACCTCCCATCAATAGGATGCTGGAACCTGTGGGACCTCAAGATCACCGTTAGTCATGCCTTCGCATGGTGCACCTAATTGTCCATTTCTTAAGGAGAGAGGATTTAGCAAGAATCCAACGCGGCCACAGTCGGTGCAAAGAATACAAGTGTTTTGCGTGTTCTCAGTGTTTTAGAGCGTTGCGTTCGAGTGGTACAAAAGTGACCGGAGAAGCTTAACAATTCCTAAAAGTGTTTTGTTTGTGGACTGCCGCCTTGCCCGAAGGAATTGATCGGCTTCAGGTGAAGAGGGATGCCCAGGTTCAAGTTTTCGCTTGGCAGCTTCGGCAGGCACTGCAGGGCACTGACTCTCTGCCATTTTCTTTTTTAGTCCGCCTTTCAGCTGCTGCTCCACCGCACACTCCCAGCGACTTTCAAGCGCCCATTCACCCATCGTTCGAGTCGAGTCCCTATCCGCCTCCTCTTCCCGCTTGTGCCTGTACATTTTGTGCAGCTACATCCCCTTATTTTTAGGTGGCACATATTTCCTGCTCAGCGGGATCGGCCGCTGACTGTCTACCTATTCAACGTGGCCGAGCCCAGCAGCCTTGATTTATTTGCACAGTCGCAGTGTCTTGTCAAGGCTCCTCTTGATCCGCTCTGTCACAATATTCGAAGAGCTGCATGATACAACAAGAACACAACTGAACTAATGCCCCGCACCTGAACTACCTGTGTGGAATACTTGCAGAGCTCACCCATTCACAGTCTATCCTTCAATACCTCTCACTTGTCCGTCACTCGAACCGATCTACGTTTCACGATACCTGGTAGGGTCATTATCTCTAGAACAGCCTCACTGTTAGGCAAGACTGGCACTTGATCCTCACGTTCTCTGGATCAAAGAGTTAAAGCTAGTGACGGCAACCAGAAGAGCTCTCTGGGTACTGCTATTCGTTTGTGGAACCGCTGAGCCAAGTTGAAAGGAATCATCCTCGAAGGCCACTTGGCTGAAACAAGCTGCATTACCTATCCTCTGTCTACTACACAAATTTTTCACTGCACTCGCTGTGCCTGAGACCGGAGTGGGCGGGTTGGTCGTGAGGGTGTGGCCCAGTCTGGCCATTTGATCTGCACACTGTGGGAGTAAAGGCAGAAGCAGCAAAGAGTCTCTGACTCTCCGGAAGACGGAAGACGGAAGACGATCCTATTAAATCAGATAATAATACGACGACATCTTCCAACAAAATGGCAGCAACAACTAGTCCAGCACTACCAGCATTCTCTTATGCACAAGCAGCGAAGGGTTTGGCTCCGGCTGTCTCTACTGCACAATCTCAAGCAGAACCTTCTGTGAACAACCCAGATATGTCATCAACAGAGAGGACGTCATCCATTCCTGAGCCGGAGAAACTAGATTCACTCAATGTTACAGCTGATATTGTGAAGGACAACGAGATTTCGAATGGGCCTATCTCAAAGATGATTCATGATGATGGGAAAATCGGTTCTACAACCAAATCCACCTTGGACAACAGCTCTACTTCTAATACCAAGCAAACATCTTCGTCACTTTCTGGCTCCAAACAGGTCTCAGAAAGCACCTCTCCGAGCCTAGTTGCTTCTGTCGCAACGTTACCGCGGGAAGATGAAATCTCCTCAACCCAAAACGGTTCTTCTGAATCCTGGGACAAACAGTCACAAAACTCAGCTTTGGTAGAAAGACCAGCGCAGATGGCAGACAATGGGAAAGCACACAATGCAGACGATGATTGGGTCAATGTTTCAGCGCCGAAAGCCGAGAAAGAATTAAAAGCAGCACCAATTCCTGTTGTAAATATTTGGCAGCAGCGAAAAGAAGCCCAGGCCGCAAAGGCAAAAGCGGATGCTGCGTTACGCTCCTCTACCGTATCTGCTGCTCCAAACAAACCAAAACCACAAAGCCAGCCCACTCGGCATGTGGAAGCCCAGGGAGATGATGATGAGACCAAGAGAAAGTCCTCAGCAAAGCTTACCGAAAAAGGTGATGGCAATTCCAAAAAGAAGCAGTTGGATGATCCAAAAGCTCGAGATGACGGTAAGTGTCCAGTCCTTCGCTGTTAAGCATTGCCTGCTAACATGACATACAGGTAAGAGACTAGCTCGTCCAGGAAGAGCAAGCGAGCCAGACAAGGAAAATACGGAGTTCTCGACCGCACCCCCTTCAGTCGGCGACGCGTCATCTTGGCCAACACCCGACACGGTACTCCATGACGAAAGAAAGAAATCTCAAGCACAGGACAAGGGAGACCCCAAAAGCCCAGGCATGAAGCCAAACCAAAAGTGGGTACCTGTTCCATACGTGCCTACTGCAAAATTCAATACGCCATTGCCATCGACTATGTCAAGAAGAGGTGGTAGACCAATCAGAGGCTCACGTGAGGGTGGTAACCGCGGTGGTCATGTTCCTCAAGGCCAAGGCAACATTGGTGAAAAGACCGAGAAGACCAAACCAATGGGCCCTCCTCCTGTTCCAAAGCAGGCTTCTGACCAACAACGTGGCAGAGCTCACGAGACATTGGCTGGTAGCCGTGCTACATCTGCTCCGACGCAAGGTCGCCGAGCTGCAAGTGTAGGTGCAGCATTTCCCGACCACCGACGATCGACGCAGATCGATGTCTCCGATGGAACTACCTTTCAAGGCAGAAAGCAAGCAGCTGGTGGATCGCAGGATTCAAGCGCTGCTCCTGCCCCCATTGAGAATGAAGAAGGTGCAACATCAACCAAATCAAGACCAGATTCAAGATCTATCTCTCACCAATCTTCATTGTCATACCGAGCAGGAACATACGATAGTGCAAGACAGGCCTCTGGTGAAAGTCATGCACACCCTCGAAGCTATGCTGGGACAGAGCGACGGAACACATATGTCGAGGTCGACAGGCAGGCTGAGGCCTCTGGCCGTCGCGAACGTCGTGAGTCCAACAAAGATTACCCTAGGACACGAGACTTTGATTTCAAAACGGAGAGTTGGCGAGATCGCGAATTTACCGGTGAAAGAACTGAGCAGCGGAGTGGACGAGGTCGTGGTGGCTATCGTGGACGTGGCAATCACTCTACCTATACCCCCAGCCAGTCCAATCAGACCCACGCTTTCACTGCCCCCTTACCACAGCAGCCATTCTCTGGTGGTAAACCACATACTCTGGGCGAGCGACATCGTCAATCGTCAGCGCCGTATGCTGGAATTCCTCCTCAGCCAAATCATCGCAGTGCTTCGAGATCACAGTCTATTGCTACTCATGGCGTGTATCCAGGGGTGCCCAACAATTTCAGTACAGCATTAACACCGATTCAAACAGATATGCCTGGCATGATTGGCGGTTATCCGACTCTGTATCCTGGTATTATGAGCGCCGTGCCATATAACACTGCATTGGAGCCGATGGCTTTAATCTCAATGGTATCAGCTCAACTTGAATACTACTTCTCCATCGAAAATCTCTGCAAAGACATGTATCTGAGGTCGCACATGGATTCGCAAGGCTGGGTTCCTCTAAGTGTTATCGCTGGATTCAACAGAATCAAGTCGTTGACTGAGGACATGGGCTTGATCCGACATGTTTGCCAGGTGTCCAGAAACATCGAATTCAGACCAGGTGACGATGGGAACGACCGCCTACGGAAGCCAGAAAAATGGGAACACTGGGTCTTGGAGATGGACCAACGACAAGCACATGCTCGGAATGAAGGACCACCGCCATTGCAAGAACCTCAATCGCCCCCCCAATTCAATTCAACCTTTCCTTCCATGTCTCAAATGACCAGTCCGACCTGGGCTCCTGGACCGTTCTACGACGGGTACGCTGAAGCACCTAGCTACAACGCAGCTGCCTCTCCGTCTGGGAATCCAGATGCATCCACGCCAAGTCCGAGCAATATTCCTGACCTTCCTGTTAGCGAAGACTTTTCCCTGATGAATGGTCAGGCTGAGCTTACCCATGGTCATTCTGATGATGTCCCAGATACCTCAAATTCGGCACCACTTGCACAGACCTTCTACCCCGCTGGGCCTGGTCGGGTCAATGCGGACATTCCTACTACGAATGGACATGCTCCTGCCAGTCCACAAGAGATTGGCATTGAAAATGTGTTCAGCAATGAGCGCATGAATGAGCTACATGTCTGTGTACGACACCCGACACCTCAGTATCCGCCTCCGTTCATCTCGCCTGGTGCCCGAACATTTTCTCATGGCTCTATTGACTATCAAACACCTGTCGGCACGCAGCTGGCAAATCCACTGCCATCCCTGCGTGGAGGAGCTGGTAGTCCCAAAGGGTGAGATCTTTGATGCTTTACTAAAGACCCCTGCTGACTACACATGATAGCCTTGATTCTTCACCACACCATTCTGCATCTGTCGAAAATTCAGCTGACAACACTGATGGAGGCGTTTTCTGGATGAAGGACGGCACACCACCAGACAGTTGGAACCAAGAAGGCTCAACGTCTGAAAAGTATCAATCGCTTCACGACCGGGCCTTGGCCGAGCGCTCTCCTGGCATAATTACGGACGACATGGATTGGCTGTATCAGTTCTGGTCTCATTTTCTTGTCCGCAACTTCAACTCCGACATGTACAATGATTTCCGCACGGTTGCCTGGGAAGATGCTGCTGCCGGCCAGGACGGAGGCCTCAATCATCTCAGTCAATATTATGGAGCTATTCTGAACGGCCAAAGAGTCCTCACTAAAGAGCTTGCCCGTGACATTGTGAAACTTGCAGAGGCGGACCTTCAACACAAACGACAAATGTTTTACAAGCTTCGATCTGCCATTAGAGATGGGGCTTTCAACATGAAGAGCAGGATCATGATTGAGAAATTTCTCACTCCTCAATTCAAGGATGAGCTTGAAAGATGACTCACTTCATGCTTGCTGGTGGAGACGTGCTTCCGCAAGCTGTTTCCAACGAAGAAAACTTGTCTTAGAAGGTGCTTCTAACATCCAAGATGACAGCACAGGTGTCAGGGAATTTGTCCTTGCATGTTCTTCTAGGGATTGTTGGGCGTTTAAGGGAGGGTGGGATGCCTGTTGTGCTCCAAAAGTCTGCTACTCAATTCGATCAAAGATTCCCGTCGGCTCACGACAAGCATGCGTCAATAGACCTCCAACCACATGTCCCACTTTTTTCTCTCTTGCCTCCAGAGCAAGGGCATTGATGGCTAAGGCATCATATGCCGAAAGGCACTTGTACCCATTTCTGTTGAGTCGTCAAGGCGAACATGTCAACGACCTCTACGACTGAAGATGAAGTCAACAGATGTTCCTTGCTTGGCTTGCATAGCATGCTCTATTCGCAACTCTTCACTGCATGATGCCTGTTACTTCCAGCAGAGGGATGCTAGGACACGGCGTACTTACTCGTTCTGCATGGCGTTGCAAGGCAAAAGCATCAATCTCTAGCCGTTCAGTGACGGAGAAGAGTGACTAAATACAATAAAAAGGCATTGTAATGATATGCTCCTATGATGAAGTAGCTATTTTCTGGCTTGAAATTGTTCACACTGATGTAGTAGTGCATACTGTAGGACCAGGGTGGCCGAATCGCCGGGCATCCTCGGGCTTGCATTGTAGCATTCACCGATTGTATACTGTAATTTATGTACACAGCACCAACTCGCCATTCCCACAACCAAGCTCTAGCAGTCTGGGAATACTGGCGTCTGATCATAGTTAAGAACTATGGTGCTGAGATCACCGCCTCTGGCGCAGTCATTCTTGGGGATGAGCCGTGCTCAGATCCAACGAGGCGCTCTCAGAGATGTCCACCATCTACCTGCACCAGTATCGCCCATGCTGATCTGGAGCAAGCGGTCGTTCTCCTCAGGGTCATCCCGGTATCTCCCTGCTCCAGCGATTGGAGGCCCTGCTGGCTCTACAACAGCATACTTTCAGCGACCTACATTACCTGCCAATACTATCATCCGATTTGTGCCGCAGCAGACTGCATGGATTGTGGAGCGGATGGGAAAATTCAACCGCATCTTAAAACCTGGGCTTGCTATCTTGATCCCATTCATAGATCGAATAGCATATGTTCAAAGCTTGAAAGAGTCTGCCATGGAGATACCGAGTCAGAGTGCAATCACTGCCGATAACGTCACGTTGGAGCTGGATGGCGTACTCTACACCAGGGTTTTCGATGCCTACAAGGCAAGGTGAGCTTTGAATATCTCCTTTCTCGATCCGGCTTACAACGGTGTCACAGCTACGGAGTCGAAGACGCCGAGTATGCTATCTCCCAACTGGCCCAAACTACCATGCGCTCGGAAATCGGCCAGCTCACTCTTGACCACGTCCTCAAAGAACGAGCCGCTCTCAACACAAATATCACACAAGCCATCAACGAAGCTGCTCAAGACTGGGGAGTAACATGTCTGCGTTACGAGATCCGAGACATCCATGCTCCTGAAGGCGTGGTTGCTGCCATGCATCGACAAGTGACGGCGGAAAGATCAAAGCGCGCCGAAATCCTTGACTCGGAAGGGCAAAGACAGAGCGCTATCAACATCGCAGAAGGGAGAAAGCAGTCCGTTATTCTCGCATCAGAAGCCATGAAGAGCGAGCAGATTAACTTGGCTTCCGGTGAAGCAGAAGCAATATTTGTGAAGGCGCAGGCTAGGGCCAGAGGAATTGACGCAGTAGCTCACTCGATCAAACAAGGCAAAGAGAGTGCCCAGGCGGCAGTCAGCTTGAGCGTTGCGGAAAAGTATGTGGAAGCTTTCAGCCAGCTGGCGCGCGAAGGCACTGCGGTTGTTGTGCCAGGAAACGTTGGCGATATGTCGGGAATGATTGCAAGCGCAATGGCGGTTTATGGGAAGGTCAATGAGAGCCAGAAGAGGTTGAGGCATGAGAATAGCAAGGGTGAACAAGGCGCAAGCGTGGTGGAGGCTGAGCATGAAGAACATGAAGGGAAGAGCGACGAGATGGCTAAATCTGTGCTGGAGAGCTTTGACATAACAAGAAAAGCGAATAGGTGAAAGCCATCGCGCCATCTGGTTGACGTGCGCGGTGTGACTATTCCACTCAGTATAGCAGAATTATGTATAGGTAGCGTGGAGTTGTGGTCGGGGCATCTCCACAGCAGCATGAGAGTTGTCAGTCCGACACGGCTTCTGCTGCATCTATCTCAACATATGTAATTGCCACTTTAGCTGGTCTCACGCCTACTTCGATTTCCTCCTAGCAAAGAAGACATCTTCTGAGTATCTGCAATGCGCTGCTGAATCCTGGGTTGCTTCAAATATCCAAGAACTTCCTTCGTTGCGACTCAAGCTCCGCAAAGCCGTAGACGCAAATGCTCCCGACGATCTTAGCTTAGGCAGATACAGCAGACTACAAGACTTTACAGAAACTTCGACAGACGCTCCAAGCATGCGCGAAGTTCGACCATCGCGGCGGCAGTCATGCATATAATCAAGCCCATTTGGCTAACTCATGGAGGTATGCCTCCAGCTTCTCGAAAACGCGTCGCCTCCTTGCCATCTGGACGTGCTGATTGAGTCTTCATGCACATGCTGATGCTGACCTTTCGGCTAGGTGAGAAGAAGGACTTCGAGGTCTACAGTTGCCATGTCTCCCCAGATGGAAACCGCCTTGTTACAGCTGCCGGAGGTAGGACCCTCTGAGCAGTACGAGCGAGCAGCGAGCAGCGCTGACGCTTTCTAGATGGTTACGTCCGAATATGGTCGACCGATGCGATCTACAATACGGCTAGCCTTTCCTACTCCAAACCGAAGCAGTTGGCGTCCATGAGCTATCATTCAGGCACGATCCACGCCGTCCGTTTCTCGCCTTCCGGGCGGTACGTTGCCTCGGGAGCAGATGACAAGATCGTCTGTATCTATGTGCTGGATCCTAACCAATCCTCGCACTCCTCCGCCTTTGGTACGTGAGCATGGAGATACTAGGTTTGGGCGCAAATATGCTGATTTGTGGCGCATATTCAGGCTCAAATGAGCCACCTCCCGTGGAGAATTGGAGGATCTTCCGGCGTCTCATAGGACATGACAATGATGTACAAGACCTCGGCTGGTCCTGCGATGGCTCGATACTGGTATCGGTAGGGCTAGACTCCAAGGTGGTGGTGTGGTCAGGTCATACATTTGAGAAGCTCAAGACACTCTCTAACCACCAAAGTCATGTCAAGGGCCTGGCCTTCGACCCTGCCAATAAATACTTTGCGACGACCAGTGATGATCGAACAATGAAGATTTTCCGTTTCACCAGCCCCGGGCCCAACTCAAGCGCTCATGACCAGATGAATAATTTCGTGCTCGAGACCACCATCAGTGCACCCTTCGCCAACTCCCCGTTAACTACGTACTTTCGCAGGTGTAGCTGGGGCCCTGACGGACAGAACATCGCGGCTGCCAATGCCGTCAACGGACCAGTCAGCTCGGTGGCTATAATCAACCGGGGAACTTGGGACGGAGACAACGGATTGATTGGACATGAGGCCCCAGTGGAAGTGTGTGCCTTCTCCCCAAGACTGTATCGTCGCCTTGTGGGGGCACCCGGCAAAGAAGGGCAACCAGCTCAGCATGTCACTGTCATCGCCTGTGGTGGCGCAGACAAATGTCTTAGTATTTGGACGACAACAAGTCCAAGGCCACTTGTCGTCACGCAGGACATGACAGGCAAAGCAATATCGGATCTCGCGTGGAGTCCTGATGGCATGTCATTGTTTGTCACATCTCTAGATGGATCAATAGTTACCCTTCGCTTTGACGAGGCAGAACTTGGCCATCCGCAAGAAGTTGAAGAGAATGAGCGCTCTCTGGCAAAATACGGAACTGGTAGAAAGGGTGTCGGTATCATCGAAACGCCAGATGGCTTGTTGTTGGAAGAAAAGAGTAAAGCTGGTGAGCTGAAAGGAGTTGAAGGTCGAATGGGGGCGCTTATGGGAGATGCTCAATCCTCCCAGTCAGCAGTCGATGGCGCTCCTCAGGCCGATGGCGGTCTTCCTGCAAATATGCCCAATGCAGTCAACGGGACCATCAATGGAGAAGCGGCCACCAAGGACAGACCAGACCCAAATCAAGCCAAGCTAGAAAGACTGAAACAGAGAGTCGAGATTACCAAGGATGGGAAGAAAAGAATTAAACCATTGCTGGTCTCGAGCACTGGGGCGGCAGAGTCTTCCTTGCCTCAGACAAGACTTGTGAATGCTGCGGCAGGAAACCATGCAGCAGGCGCCGATGCACCGCAGTCAGTCATTGATCTTTCGAAACCATTCGACGGGCTACCCAAAGGTGGCCTGGCCACGCTCCTACTTGGGAACAAGCGCAAGTTGGCACAGCTTGAAACCGACGATGACGGGCACGCTGAGAAGAGGATTGCTATGGCCAGTAGAAATGGGGCAACGCCAATTGTCACGAATGGTCCTGATGGACTTCTCCCTGCACAGCCGGAAGCTTCTGTCACCGGACGACAGCCAACCCCTGAGTTCATTCGTCCTGCTGTGGTGAACCCCGTGCTCTCGGTCAGCCAGCTGCGACTTGCTATCCCCAAAGTCAGGAGCGTGATTGTGCAAGCTGTAGATGCTGCTGGCAATCCGACATCTGCTCCTTCCACCACCGATGTGGCTGCGAAGTCTAAATCCGACCTTGTTTTTGAGGCACGGAATCCGCCTGCGCAGTTAATTACTAACAGACCTCAAGATCGCGAGCCCACCAGAATTACCTTATCCAGACGTGAACAACCCATCTGGCAGGACTTCCTACCAAAAACGGTGCTGCTGGCTACAGGCAACAAAGACTTCTGGGCCGTTGCTGACGAAGCTGGATCGGTGAACATTTGGACACCAGCAGGCAGGCGAATGGTCAATCCTCTTGTGCTCGAAGCTCAACCAGTGATTCTCGAGTCCAAGGGATTGTGGCTTCTCTGCATAACTGCGGTTGGAATGTGCTACGTCTGGAATACGAAAACCATGTCATCTCCTCACCCTCCGGTCTCGTTAGCCCCAGTTCTTGACGCTGCTGTCCATTCTTTAACTGTCCATGCTACCGGTGCGCCGGCAATTACCAACGCAAGGTTGAGCTCGGAAGGCAGGATTGTTATTTCTCTGAGCAACGGAGAAGGCTACGCTTACTCGCCACAAATGTACACCTGGCAACGACTCAGCGAAGTGTGGTGGGCGGTGGGCAGTCAATACTGGAACACCACCGACGCCTCCGTTGGCAATATCAAGCACGCCGATAAGCATAAAGATGCCCTGGAGGATGTCCAGAATGTGTCTGCAGGGATCATTCCGTTCTTGGAGCGGAATACAACCAATGAAGCGTTGGTACGTGGTCGAGCGTATTTCTTACAGCGACTCATCAAAATGCTGCTCTCACGTGAAGGCTTTGAGGGCTTAGAATCAGGCATTTCGATCGCTCATCTTGAGAACCGGTTAGCCGCCGCATTAATGCTGGGTGCACGAGAGGAATTCAGGTTGTATCTGCTCATGTATGTCAAACGTCTTGGTGCCGAGGGATTGCGAGGAAAGGTGGAGGAGCTTTTGCGAACCCTACTTGGAGGCATCACGGAAGACGAGAACAGCCCACAGGAGCACGGGAATGAGAGGACATGGCAGGACAACAAGGACACCATCTGTGGCTGGGAGAGGAATGTTCTGTTGAGGGACGTGGTTTTAGTTCTGGGTAAGCATGGATGGTTCATGGGGCAGCGATCATGCTAATCGATTGATAGGTAAACACCGTGACCTGCAACGAGTCATGGTCCCTTATGCACAGCTTCTCGGCGTAATGGATGCAGACATTCAGAGATCAGACGCAATGGTCTCCTAGCATTTTCAAGGATTCAAAGGTGTCAACCTTAGCGACGGCGTCCCGGGAACACAATTGGCAGATACAACATGAGTCGGTCAGGAAAGAATTTCAAGGGCGGCTTTCTGTCATATCTGCGTGTGCTTCACGAACAAAACATATTTATGTAAGTAATGTGTCTAGGGGCCACAGAGGTTTCGTCGAACTTAATTGAGCTTATTCTTAAGTCTGAGCTGCAAATCAGCATCTCAACCCACATCTGGCTTCTTCTTTAGAAGCGATCTTTCTATGAATGCCTTTGGGGCTGTAAATTCTTCTGACACCATCACTACTCCACGTCATGTCCTCACCTATTCTCCATCACATCTCTGCAACCCCAACCATCAGTACTGCCACCGAAGATCCGTTTATCTCCCCTGACTTCCATCTGCGAGACCGAAGCCTGAGTCCGGCGTCTCGTGTGTCGGTAGCGTCATCAGCGGCCGCCAGCTTTGCTGATGTCTCAACTTCTCAGCGTTCCCGCTCCGCGTGGTGGTGGCCTATAGATGCCCCATTTCGAATCTCACCCTTCAGAGCGATTCCATTACGATGGCTTGTGATCTTACTCTGCCTCAGTATGGCTTTTATCATCTGGCACTTGCCCCTACCTACGACGCGCGAGCTCACACCGCAGTTCCCGGGATCCCACTCTACCACTGCCCTTCAAGTTCTTCGACCTCACAACTCTGCCGGAGTCCCTATAAAGGACCCTGAACAGTGGTTGAGAGAAAACTCGGAGGACGCTGTTGCGAGGAACGAGAGGTGGTGGAAGAGGTCTCCGCGAAAACCCAGGGCTGCAATCATTAGCTTAGTACGCAATGAAGAGCTCGAAGGAATCATGCAAAGTATGCGCCAGCTAGAGCATCACTGGAACAAGAAATATCAATATTCTTGGGTGTTCTTCAACGAAAAACCCTTCAGCGAAAGATTCAAGGTACCCTCGAGGCAAACAACCATGCCTGATATATCCGCTGACACCTTCAGCAGGCTGCGACCTCGAACCTAACCTCAGCACGAGTCTACTACGAGCTGATTCCGATCGAACATTGGTCGACGCCCGAATGGGTCGATGAAGATCGTTATATGAATAGTCTTGACTACCTGGGGACTATTGGCGTTGGCAAAGGTTGGATGCTCAGCTACCGCAACATGTGCCGGTGGAATAGTGGTTTTTTCTACAAGCATCCTAGGTTGAGAGATTTTGATTACTACTGGCGAGTAGAGCCAGACGTAGGCAACTCAAGGCGCTCCCCTTAGGTGCCTGAGCTGACGCTTCCACCAATGCAGGTCCATTTCTTCTGCGACATCAACTACGACCCGTTTCGTTTCCTCCACGAAAATAACCTGGTCTACGGGTTCAATATGAATATTCTCGATGATGCTCGTTCTTTCCCGACGCTTTGGGCAAAGACAGTAGACTTCATCCAACAGCATCCGGACTTAGTGCACCCAGACGCCGACCTCGACTGGCTTGTGGACGAGCAGGGTGAGTATAACAACTGCCAGTTCTTTTCCAACTTCGAAATCGGAAGCCTCAACTTCTTCCGAGCCAAAGAGAATGAGAAGTACTTCGACTGGCTTGACAAGCACGGAGGATTCTACTACGAGAGATTCGGCGATGCACCAATCCACACACTGAGTGTGGCGATGTTTGCGCCCAAGCAGGCAGCGTGGTTCTTCCGCGATATTGGCTATCAGCATGATATTAATCGGCATTGTCCGCCACACAGTGAAGATAGGTGCTCATGTCAGCCAACCAATCTTGACGAGAACTTCTACAAACTGGTGCCCCTCGAGAGTCCACAGATGAAGCCGAGGGACACTTGTATTCGGCAGTGGCTGGGTTCCGGAGTCAATGGCCGAGGAGTTGATTGGCTCAAGAAGAAAGATGGATGGAGTCAAGATGCCGAGAGAGCGTTTGGGGGAGATGGATATGGTGGGTACGTGGTTGATGGTATGGTGTGAAGGCAACATGACCAACCCAGGGTTACAGGGCAGACGGCAATTGGCGTTGTGCTGTGTTCAATAGCAATAATAGAGCTCCACTAAGAGAAATAGAAGGAGCTTTGACAGCGGAAGAAAGCTGATCGATACTTTCAATGCAGTGCTCGATCAAAGGGAGATACATAGGGCTGATCTTGCCAAGGCTGCATCGGAGAACTTTCGAGGCATCAAATAGAGAGTTACAGGCGAACTGCTCTAGGTAACTTACTGGTCACTAAAACAAACTTCATACTTCAGGCCTTTCTGCGTAGCTACTACGTAGTACTTGGTATGCTCTGAGAACAGGGGGCACCAATTGGCGACTCCGGTGTCGCAGCTTGCCAACACGCCTCCTCTGCGTATCAACCTTCTCTTCACTTCTGCTCTCCTACATACTTTAGACCTTGCAGCTGGCCCTGCACTTCAACTGCAACTCCCACTCCTTCTCTCGCCTCTACACCATTCGCGAACTCCTTGTCTGACTTCCCATCGCTCGTACGCCAAAAGAAGAATGCCGCCCAAGAAGCAGGTCAAGGAGGAAAAGGTCCTTCTGGGCAGGCCTGGGAACAACCTCAAAAGTGGAATTGTCTGTGGCCCGAGACGATGGAAGCACGAAACAACGACTGACAGCATCTCAGGTCGGTCTGGCCAATGTTGGCAAATCTACACTCTTCCAGGCCATCACCAAATGTTCGCTGGGCAATCCTGCCAATTTCCCCTTTGCTACCATTGATCCAGAAGAGGCTCGAGTCATCGTACCAGACGCGCGATATGACTGGCTCTGCGAGCACTACAAACCGAAATCCAGAGTGCCGGCAAACTTAACCGTCTACGATATTGCTGGCTTAACAAGAGGAGCGTCCACCGGTGCAGGGCTCGGCAATGCCTTCTTATCGCACATCCGAGCAGTTGATGCTATCTTTCAAGTTGTCCGATGTTTTGATGATGCGGAGATCATACATGTTGAGGGCGACGTCAATCCCGTGCGAGACTTGGATATCATTTCCGAGGAGTTGCGGATCAAGGACATCGAGTTTGTGGAGAAGGCCAAGGAGAACCTGGCTAAGCAGACTAGAAGAGGTGGACAAAGTCTGGAGATGAAAAAGCTGAAGGAAGAAGAGGCGCTCGTGGACAGAATCCTGCAATGGCTGAAAGATGGCAAGGATATCCGGAAAGGCGATTGGACACCGAAGGAGGTACGTACGTTTTTGCTTCCATGCAGTATTGTCTTTGATGATGAACAAGAGCTATAAAGCTCGAAATAATCCCAGCTCGTCGAACGCTCTCGTAAATATTAGTTGAGGCCGTCTTGAGATGAAATCCAACCCTGATCCAGCAGAGACACACACCATATCAACTCTCCTTCTCGATGCTGATTCATGCTGATCTGTACCTTTCAGGTCGAGATCATCAATCCACTCATGCTGCTAACAGCCAAACCAGTCGTCTACCTCGTCAACCTGTCCGAGAAGGACTACATACGACAGAAAAACAAGCATCTACCCAAGCTAATGGAGTGGATCAAAGCCAATGCTGCTGGCGACCCGGTCATACCGATCAGTGTTTCGTTCGAAGAGCGGCTTACTCGCTTCGAAACAGACGCCGAGGCGGAAGAGGACTGCAAGAAGCTCGGGACCAAGAGCGCTTTACCCAAAGTGATCACGACCATGCGTTCCGCGTTGAATCTCGGGAGCTTTTTCACCACGGGAGCAGATGAAGTGAGACAATGGACGATCAGGAAGGGAACCAAAGCACCGCAAGCGGCTGGTGTCATCCACACGGGTCAGTGACCACCCGTCATCTCTTTTTTTCACTTATAAAGCTAAAGGCTGCTCCCAGACTTCGAAAAGACCTTCATTCAATGTATCGTGTTCAACTACGAGACGTTACGCGAACTGGGAGATGAAGCCGCGGTGAAAGCAGCCGGGAAGGTCATGACCAAGGGTAAGGACTATGTCGTGGAGGACGGTGATATCATCCTCATCAAAGCCGGTGCTGCAAAGGCTTGAGCTGGCATGATTCGATTCTCACACCGGCACAAGTATCGGCCAGTTCCTAGCTGTCTTCCCATCTCAAAGAAGCTTGTCCAGGTGAACCAGCCAGGAGATCGTGCTGAGTGCTTCATCAGAAGCAGCTTACCCACACCAATGATAATGAAGATCTGGAGATGCACGATATCCACCTTGTCGTCTTGTGATGTCCTTCTCACAGAACTGTGCCCCGTGTTATCCATGATACCCGCGCCAGGCGAAAACTGGAGGCTCTCGCACTGTCGAGCGCAGCAGGCTGGCCTCAACCTCGACTTCCCTGCCACATGAGACCGGACCTCCCTCTATCCCCCGAGTTTTCGGACTCCGGACTCCATAATACCCATGCGCAAGAGCCATAACTTTAACAAGCCGCTACAACTGCGCACGCAACATGCACTCCCAGACGCGCATCGGCTGCTCCCACCCCTCCCCCTCCTCGCGCACCACCCTCACCAGCCCATCCGCGCCAAACTCCCTGACCTCCCTCTCCCCTTTGGTTCCCCACCCGGTCCCGGTCCCGGCCCCCTCTCCATCACCCTCATCCTCACCCTCACCGTACAGAAACCGCCCAAAGGGCTCCAAAAACCCTTCCACCTTCCCCCTGTCATCCTCCTCCCCACC